TAGAAGGGTAAAAACACCATGTTCTTCCAGTGGCTGCGGCCTCCTGCAATCTCCGCCTTCGCCTTGGAGAAGAAGGACCGGCTGGATACAGAGGGAGCTATAGATTAGATAAGACAAGACAAAAAAACATAAAATATGATAAGATAAACTAATAAAAGACAAGATAAGGAAAGGTGAGATAAGAGGAGATAAGAGGAGATAAGATAGAATAGAATAGAATAGAATAGAAAAGAATTAGAATAGAATAGACAGAATAGAATAGAAAGATAGATAGATAAATAGATCGATAGATAGATAGATACGTAGGTAGATAGGTAGATAGCTAGATAGGTATATAGATTAGATAGATTAGATAGATTAGATAGATTAGATAGGTTAGATAGGTTAGATAGATTAGATAGATTAGATAGATTAGATAGATTAGATAGATTAGATAGATTAGATAGATTAGATAGACTAGATAGATTAGATAGATTAGATAGATTAGATAGATTAGATAGATTAGATAGATTAGATAGATTAGATAGATTAGATAAATTAGATAAATAGCTAAACAAATAGATAAACACATGAAATAAAAAGAGAAATAAATAAACACATATATTGATCGATCGATAAATAAACACAATACCATAAACACATCCACGCAAGTATGGTATGTATACATATATATATATCTTACTTATATTTATTTTATTCATTTATACACCATACGGTGGAAGGTTGCGAAATCCTGCAGCCTCTGATCCATCACCCTTGGCAAGTTGCTTGATGTCCTGTCTCATGAAGTCTCGGTCGAAGCGATCAGTGGTGCAGGGCGATTCAAGTCGCTCAAAGAGACTGTGCGGCTGTGAAAGCGCTTCACTCATGGGAGTGGGATCTAAATCGGTGACCAACGGAGGATCTGACTTCGATTTCCTCAGCTGCTCATGCGTGAAAACGATAGCCTCAAACACAATGGCTGGCTGTTAACAAAATCCTCCAAAAATGCAAGTGAATTGGGGATGAAAGTCGATGAACATCATGTTCAAATTTGAGACTAACAATCAGTTCAAGTGGTTGTGGGAGCTGCGACCATGGGGGCTCAACACCTGACAAAGAAGTTGTTTGGGTTGCAAGGGGTTGCACGGTAGGGGTTGCCAAATTCTGGCCCTCCTTCTGCTCTCTAGCTATCAAGTTTAAAAAAATGCACGAATCTGAAAATGTTCCTCTTATCTCTTCTCGTTACAACATATAACACCATCGTGTTGACCCTATTACGGACCATCAAACTGACTTGTTGGGTTTAGCAAACCCTTATTCCAGCCTCAAATGTTTGGACATTTTGGGGCGGTTACCCATATATATATACCCGTATATATATATATATATATATCCATTATACCCGTATATACCAATATACAGACCATATCTAAGCATCATGTCTACATATGTCTACCCTACTGACCACCATTAACCCCATTTCTGAGGCTAGTCAACCCTCCATGTTGTCGGAGTGAATCATCACATGCACCCCATATAAGTATAGTACACATGTGTTAACCATAGACCATAAAACCACATTAGGCATGTGTATAAAGAGGCGTAGGCTATATACCCAAAAAAAGATGGTTGAATATGGTTGATAATAATTCCCCACCTGCCAGGTGAGGGTTGTTAGATTTTATCAGAGCTGTTCTCCTCCTCCTCCGCCTCCGCATCCTCCTCCTCCTCGTCCTCCTCCTCCTCGCAGTCCAGATCCCAGTGGGCACAGCCGGACCTCCACTGCGAGCGCCAGATCCCAGTGGGCACTGCCGGACCTCCACCGCGAGCTCCAGATCCCAGTGGGCACTGCCGGACCTCCACCGCGAGCTCCAGATCCCAGTGGGCACTGCCGGACCTCAACCGCGACTTCCAGATCGCAGTGGGCACTGCCGGACCTCAACCGCGACTTCCAGATCCCAGTGGGCACTGCCGGACCTCAACGGCCAGATAGAATGCCAGAAGATATGCCAGATAGAATGCCAGAAGATATGTCAGATAGAATGCCAGATAGAATGCCAGAAGATTTGCCAGATAGAATGCCAGAAGATATGCCAGAACATATGCCAGAAGATATGCCAGATAGAATGCCAGATAGAATGTCAGAAGATATGTCAGATAGAATGCCAGAAGATTTGCCAGATAGAATGCCAGAAGATATGCCAGAACATATGCCAGAACATATGCCAGAAGATATGCCAGATAGAATGCCAGAAGATTTGCCAGATAGAATGCCAGAAGATTTGCCAGATAGAATGCCAGAAGATATGCCAGAATATATGCCAGATAGAATGCCAGAAGATATGCCAGATAGAATGCCAGAAGATATGTCAGATAGAATGCCAGAAGATATGCCAGATAGAATGCCAGAAGATTTGCCAGATAGAATGCCAGAAGATATGCCAGATAAAATGCCAGATAGAATGCCAGATCGAATGCCAGAAGATATGTCAGATAGAATGCCAGAAGGTTTGCCAGATAGAATGCCAGAAGATATGCCAGAAGATATGCCAGATAGAATGCCAGATAGAATGCCAGAAGATATGTCAGATAGAATGCCAGAAGATTTGCCAGTAAGAAAATTTATAAATGCCATGGTGGGGATCATTCGAAGTGAAGTAATTTTCCCTATTCAAATGGCCATAATTTGCCGGAACAGTTATCTCATTATAAGCAATCATTTGCACACACATGATTTGATGGATGTGTTAATGCATCAACATGAAGTTGGCCATGATACCCGGCAATATCACACAATTATCATGTGGCTGGCAAACTCTTAGCTCCTTGGCTCCCTCCTAACCACTGGCCAATTTGGAGGTTTCCTCAAAAGGTGGTGCCCCCAAATAATCCAAAAAATAGACCATTTTAGTATTGAAACCAATGGTTTTGGGGATACCCCAGTTTAAGAAACCTCCGTATCTTAACTAAGTGAACCCCCTGTAAGTTTTCACAAACTCTTCATTCGGCAGCTTGAGGCACTGCAGCATTGCCCGAAAGGACGCCATCTTTTGCATTTTCGGTGGCACGTCCAGCGGTGCGTCCATGGCGGAAACGAGCTGGAGGACACCTTTTGTTTATTTCGTCTTTAATGGTCCATGAGGCTACCAGTTGATGTGTGGATCATTGTGCAAGTATCAGTATTATATATATATATAAAAATAACTTATTTATTCAATGTATTTCACACATGTACTGATATGTATGTATATACGGACCGTGCACTGAACATAAGAAAGCCAATGGGCATGGAAGCAATCCCTTAGGACAAAGTCTTTGCGAGGGACAATCAACCGTATGAAACTACTAATTAAGCGGAAAGATTTCTTTCATCGAGACAATACTCAATCTAAGTTTCTGGGCTAGAGCATTTTTGGATTGACCATTTCACTTGCTGACTATGTAGTGATGTTCAAAGGTTCAAAGAGGTTGTGGTGAGTCACACGGATATCTAACAACAACTATCGGCTTGGGCCCGCAAGCCGCCGACCAGCCACAAAGGTTTCTGTAGCGAAAGTGCTTGGCAATGTGATGGCGGATGCGGGTACCCAAAATGGCAATATTATAATCATGAATCATGAATGCTGCAGATCAAATTGAGGTCTCCCAAAAAAGGCGTCACCCTACTCAGCAGCCAGGGCGGCTGACGTAATCCTGATAGTCTCACCAGTTCTACTCAGTTGAATCAAGAATCAAGACTATATAAAATCTAGACAACATAACAGTAATTCCCATGTCCAGCACAAAAAAAGTCATTTAGATGGCAATCGTTCCTTAAATTCCATAGATCATCTTGTATGTTGAGGTCTCTCATTAAGGTCAACCTGAACAATACCCAAATGGGCATAGATCGAAAATAGGTCAACATGCTCAAACTTTGAGTCCCTCCAATCCACAGATTGACCCCTCATTGACATGTTCATTGCCTTCAGCAAGCCAATTCTTGGGCATGCCGGAATGCCGGTGGTGATCACTCAGAATGAAGGGACGACCAATTCTGCCTCGTAGCTCTTCGCCACTCTTCATGAGATCTTTCACAGACTGCAGACCTTGGACATCACCTGGCGGCGAATCTTTGGATGGCTGAAAGATCAACACACGCACGCCAGATTATATAGATGGGGTAAAGATTGGAAAAACAAACTGCCAATGAGCTAAGTGTAAAGCTGCCACACTCAGGATGAAAGTTCTTGTGCAGCCACAAGCTGCTTAGCATGATATAGCATGATTCGACTTGATGTGTTGGCGTGAAGCTGTACCATGTTGTGTTCACCGATATGGGACCCATGGGAGCCTGAAAAAACATAACACTATAAATAACACACTCAATATATAAATAGGTATATTACAGTAAATACAAGTACAAACACACACACACACATACACGTATCTATATATATATACAGTATATATATATATACACATGTACATGAAATAATCCAGGGTTCCTGAGTGGTATTTCATATTCGGCTTTGCCAGGCTGACGGATAATGCGCCTGCACCGTTCCGAAAGCCATTGGCCTCTCCTGTCATGGACATTCAAAGCTCCATCACACAGGTACATGCTACCTCTGTGAAACCCTGTTTTGGTGATTTTCCTTGGGGTGGGCACCCTCAGATTTTTCCAATAAACCGGAAAACCATGAAAAAACATCCCAACCGCGGCACAGAAACAGAATAGTTTTCACTGTTACCTTGAATGGGGTTGCAAGTTCCATGGCACGGCTAGGGGTTCTGGATCACTGTGCCACAGCGAAGCCTTGGCCCTCCGTTCCCTCACTTTGATTTGTCACTACATGTTACCAAGTGAATATCAAAAATGGCAGTGAGAAACCACGCTTGGCTTAGCTCGTGATTTTGCCATCGTCGCAGTTCTAGCATTCTCGTGCTGGGCACCCACCCAAGCATAAACTGTTTAAACGTCTGGTCAAACACCTTCCTCCATCAAAAACAAATTAACCCATGAAACTGCCTTGCAATAACATAACATGTGGAGAATCTACCATCTGTAGGTCATTTCCCCAAGCAATCCCCGCTGTCACAGTGTCTCATCCCTATCCTCGGGGGGCTAATTGCTGAGAAAAGCCGTAACCACCTGGGCCGAGCGGCGGTCAATTTGGTGGTGTTCCCCAATAATATAGGATATAATTGAATGGCAAATGGGGAAAAAAACCTCCAAAATGTAAGATATTTCCCCAAAATCAATGATATCAATAATCATGGGGATATAGGATATAATTGGCAAATGATGGATATGTGATGGGTCTGATGGGATTATGATATTAATTCCCTTGACAATACTGATGGGATACAGGTACTGATGGATCTTTTTGGACAGCGAAGTTTTCTAACACAATCATCTGTTTTTCTGAAAATAGCATGTTTTGAACCACAACCATGGCGGCGACGGGCAGCAAAAAATCTGCACGCATCTCTTTTCAGGTGGCCAAAGTTGGCGATAGTTCCCCCCATTGCAAATGGCATGTTGGGTGGCATCCCCAATTTTTGGACAAGCTCACATAACAGTGTAGATCATATGGCCGAGTCTCTTCCTCAATGTTTGACTATCCATTTCAATCATGTCACCCCTATCGCAGAAACCTCCCCATCCATCTACTTCTGGAAGACCCCAACTCCCATCATTTCGCGCCTGGGAAGCAAATGCACAACTGTGCCCCACAATTGTCGCAGTACATGCTCTCCAACAACTCAGCACGGGTGAAGAGTCCAGCAGATGAAAAGACAGCTTTGGCTAGCGTGGAAGCCAAACTGGATGGCCGGTAGACAAACAAACAGGTTGACCAATAAAATCTTTACAGTGTAATATATAACAATATTGAATTAAGAACCAACACATGGAACATGATGCATGGTTTCGCTGCCATACTAGCTGCAACCATCCGCAACCACAATCCGCGGCTAATGTTGGATACTCTGCAAAAATTCTAGTCAGCATCTCTAGTTGTATTATCGAAGGAAGTTTAGAAGTCAAACTTCCTCCGACAGTATTATGGACAGATCGAAAGGCAGAGGTGGGAATGTCAGAGAAGAGAAGAGCAGAAGAGAGAAGATCAGAGAAAAGAAAGAGTGAGAAGAAAGAAGATGCAGGTGCGCGAAAAGGTAGAAAAGTCGCGAAACACTAGGTTTTTCCAATGATTTGTGGCTCTGGAGGGTCGAAGAGTAGGCTCGCTAAAGCGGCGGGTGCAGAGCCATGTCGCCAGAACAGAGATGAAAAACTGCACGCCGTTGTGGCGCGAAGCACATTTCCAAGTCAAAGTGTGCAAAAGACAACAGGTTCGGACCACTTTTGGAAGTTGCCATGTCGAAAAAGTGCACGCCGTTGTGGCGCGCAGCACATTTCCAAGTCAAGATGCGCAAAACACCAGCACTTTGTATGACGTTGTGGCAGGCGCAATACTTTAGAGACATGGACTGGAAAAATCGCAAAATGCATTGGCGCAAGGCCGTCACCTCTGCATTGAATTTTTCATTATTGAAGGAAGTCTCGCAGAATTGCTTCGTTTTTGACGTTGAAGTCTCGCAGAATAGCGAATAGCTTCGTTTTCAGGCTTGCACATAGACAGATGATTGATAGATAGACAACTACAACTACAACTACCACTCCACTACTACTACTACTACTACTACTACTACCACCTAGTACTAGTACTAGTACTAGTACTAGTACTACTACTACTACTACTACTACTACTAGTACTAGTACTAGTACTAGTACTAGTACTACTACTACTACTACTACTACTACTACTACTACTACTACTACTAGTACTAGTACTACTACTACTACTACTACTACTACTAATCAACTACGCTACATTACACTACCTAATTACACTACGCTACACGACACTAATTACATCTAATTACACTACACATCACTACGCTAATTACAGTACAACTACAACAATTACTACTACCACAGCTACTACAACAATATCAACTACACCACATTACACTACACTGAATTAATTACATTGCAGCACACTAGCACTACAAATACACATGCAACTACAACTACACTACATTACACAACACTATGCTACACTACACTAATTACATTGAATTACGCTGCAACAACAACAACAACAACAACAACTGCAACTACAGTTGTAACTACCACTAAATTGCACCACACGACACTACACTAATTACACTACACCACACTACACTACCTTACGCTACAGTACACTAGACTACACCACACTAGGCTACACTACACTAGACTACACTACACTATGCCACACTACCGTACACAACACTACAGTACACTACAATATACTACGCTAATTACACCACAAACAACTACAACTACAACTGCAACTGCACTACACTTATTACACATTACAGCTACAACTCCACTTACACCCTTCATTGTGCTTCTTAATCCCTCTTGAGTGCTCTTAACACACGAGAGGCACGGACTCAACTCATAACTCGCTCATATCAGCCCTCAAGTGCTCTTTTGGTGATGCTCTTGACGGCTTAGAGCAGCTAAGAGCAGTTAGGGTGGGGGAGGTCACATCAATGATACCTGCTGTTTTACAGGGTTCTGAGCCCTCACATCCACAACTAAGCAACACACAGGGGAGGCTCCGGTCGATTTTGGGTACTAAATTGCCCTTGAAAATGAGGGGGGTCAGATGCAAAAATTATTCGCGCCTGCTGGGACTTGGATGTGCATCCCTGTTGGAACTTGGTTGATAGTCGTGCTGATCACCCGCTTCTCAATGAGAACAACTCCATATAATATACTATAAATATCATAATTATACAATATTTGAAAATCAACCTATCTGCATTAGACATCCTACAAATGTACAAATCGTTGTATTTATGAATTCCCATTGTTGAACCACTTCTTATTTCTTTTCTTTGCTCCATATGAGGTAAATGGATGTTTCTTACAATGGGGGGGTACTCTCAAACCAATCCATTTATAAAAATATTTTCCATATAATATATGCGCCATCCGTTTTCTGGTACCCCCATTGTAGGAAACCGCTTAATATCATATAAATCATCCAACAAATGTTGTTGTTTTTTTCAAATTGTTTTGCGGACCCCCCTTTAGGCAACCGCCATATATAAATATATATCTGGACTTTAAAACATAAGCTGAAACAACGCTAATATTGGGATAATTCCCCTTACTAACCATGATTCCACTGAGGTCGCAATGAGAGAGTTATAAATAAATATATATAAACATAGATACATACACACACACACATATATATATACACATATATAGATACATACACATATATAGATACATACATACATACATACATGCATACATACATACATACATACATATATACATACATATATATATAAATAAATACAATGACGGACCAGCACTTAGAATATAAAACCTTAAGATTTGCTTAGCTGAGCTAAGCCGCTCTTCGGGGAATAGGGTTTTCAGAGCTAGGCCGAGAACCTTGGTCTTAGAATATGGACCCATGCACTTAGAATATGGGCCCATGCACTTAGAATATGGGCCCATGCACTTAGAATATGGCCACTTAGAATATGCACAAGAAGTTTCTGGTTGTACAGGCAGCCGTACTGCATACCGTAGCATAGCTAGGGGTGAGAAAAAAGTGAGAGCAAACTATTGGCTGAAAGGATGTGACATTCAATCTCATGGGTTTTTGTATGTGTTGCATTATTTTTTGGTCGTTATACTGAACTGGCTGCAGGCAGTGCAGTACTGTACTGCATACACATGCAACAATGCACATATATCATATGTTCATATTCTATCTGCATATGTTGTTTGCATATTCTGTCTGCTGTTTGGGGTCTTAGCTACCTTAGCTCTTTTTCGTATTCTATCTGTGAGCTAATTTTTATTCATATTCTATCTCCTGGTCTGCTTGAGTATATATATATATATCTACACATATAGATACATACATATGTATACATATATAGAAACATTCATATGTGTATGTAAAAATAAATAAATAAATATATATATATAGAGGCGTAATTCATAGGCATAAGCCCAGGCACGCCCATCTGAAACTGCGAGACCATGCTGTTGCACTTTGCGGACCGCGGCGGCGAACTTCTCAAGGTCCCGGGAGGAACCCGAGGCGGGACCGCCGGCGTCGGCCTGTGGCAGATCCCCATGACAGGTTCAGTGCCCAGTGCAACCACAAGATGATGGTTGTTTTTAGTGGAATCACTGTGATTTAAGTGGTTTTAATGGGATTTGAATAAGATTATAGTGATTTAATGGGATACTAATGGGATATGCCCTCTTGAAAATCACAATCTTTAATAGGTAAATCAACTAATGGGCCATTTTCAATAGCTAAAGTACCAGCAGGTAAGCATTTATGCACCCTTGTTTTTTGCTGCTGATATCCAAGTGCCAACCCTTTGTATCCGACGATCCCCATGATTTTCCCATGAATTCAAAATCTGTGCTGCGGAATATTACAATCCTTAATTAATCGGTAAATCATACAACCAAATGTGCCAGTGCCATCAAAACTACAAATATATCTATCTATCTATATATATATTTCAGAAATTTAGATAGATAGAAAGATAGATAGATAGATAGATAAATAGATAGATAGATAGATAGATACGATTAGATAAGATTAGATTAGATTAGATAAGATTAGATAAGATTAGATAACACTACAGATAAGATAAGAAAAGATAAGATTAGATTAGGTTGATAGATAGATCGAAAGCTAGGTAGATAGATCGATAGATGGATAGATAGATCGATAGATGGAAAGATGGAAAGATGGAAAGATGGAAAGATGGAAAGATGGATAGATGGATAGATGGATAGATGGATAGATGGATGGATAGATAGATAGATAGATAAATAGAAAGATAGATAGATCGATAGATAAATAGATAGATAGATAGATAGATCGATAGATGGATAGATAGATCGATCGATAGATAGAACGATAGATAGAAATAGATAGATAAATAGATAGATAGATAGGAATAGATAGATAGATAGATAGATAGATACATAGATAGGAATAGATAGTTAGATAGATAGATAGCTAGATAGATAGATAGATAGATAGATACATAGATCGATCGATAGATAGATCGATAGATAGACAGATAGATAGATCGATAGATAGATAAAAAGATAGATAGATAAAAAGATAGATAGATAGATAGATAGATAGATAGGTAGATAGGTAGATAGATAGAGATAGATAGAGAGAGAGGTATAAATAGATAGATAGATAGATAGATAGATCGATAGATAGATAGATAGATAGGTAGATAGATAGATAGACAAATAGATAGATAGATTAGATACATAGATTAATAGATAGCTATGTCAAAGTACCGGATGTTTTCTAAACCCAGTGGTTTACAACAAGGCTCTACCTGGCAAACTATAAATTGGGGGTATTATCCTCCATATATCCGATTTCCCATTTTCGGACACACAATCTAAAGCATACTGCCGGCCAACTAAAACACCAAAACAGCATGATGTATAACCCATTAATGTCCCTCAAAACCATGGCTGGTAACCATCAAACTACGGGTAGTTTTTAATGTGGGTAAAACAATGCCATAAACCATCCCCAAGTCATCACCATTTTTTATATAGCTGGTATAAGTATAAACATTCCCAGTCATGGGTGGTATATGGCGTTGTTTTACTCACATTACCAATAGTACCAATAGTTAAAAAAAATCACTAATAGTGCCTCGCTGTGCGGTTTTCCCCTTTTACCTGTTTTCATTGGTAGCGGAGCCTACCGGGGGGCCTGTAAAACCCCGGTCAAAGATTCAGCCATAGCGTGGGGTTTGCTGTGGATTGGACGTCAGCGAGGTCGCTGCTTTGTGGGGTTCACCGTGGTGTTGCAGGATGGCTACACCAGAGGGGTCCAATCAGGGTTCTAGTAGAGGATCTGAAGATGGTGTCAGTTCACCTACTGATAGGATTGGAAACCAACCTGAAGGGACTGAGGATGGCTGGAGCACTGAGGACTGGCGTCTGTGGAACTTAGGACTCTGGAACTCAGGAGCTTCTACTTCTCCTGCACCCACGGTGTATGATGATGAATGGCAAACTGGGAATGGTGGTCGCACTACCTGGTGGACGAGCTCTACGGCATCTTCTGACCCTTGGACGAGCTGGAGGGACCCTTGGTCTACTTGGAGGTCTGAAGATGGCCATGAAGAGAGGGCTGGTGGGGGCGGCAGTGACAAGATCGTTGCCCCGGAGTTCAATGGTGAAGATGACAGAGATGGCATCAAAGCACGAGGCTATCTTCGCAAAGTCCAAGCATGGAAGAGGGTGACCCGGCTGAAACCAGCCAAACAGGCTCTGGTGCTCTACAACAGCCTGACTGGCAAGGCTTGGAGGGATGCTGAGGAGTTGGACGTCTCCACCTTGGACGCTTCGGACGGTGTGGAGGTGTTCATCTCATGGATCAAGGAGCGGTACTTGGACAAAGAGGTGGTCAAGGCAGGCAAGTACATGAGTGACTTCTTCAAGAACTTTAAGAAGTTGCCGACCCAGGACATCCGTGACTTCAACATGGAGTTCGACCGCCACATCGGCAAGCTACGAGAGGTGGGGTGCATGCTGCCCGGTGCATGCAATGCCTGGTGGTATGTGGACAAGCTGCGCTTGGACAATGGGTCTGAGCTGAATCTCCTGGCCTCCGTGGGCAACACCTACGAGCTGACCAAGTTGCAGGAGGCTGCAGTCGTTCAGGACAGAATGAATCGGAGGATCTGGGAGACGAAACGGCAGGACCCCAAGAAGAACCACGTCTATGTGACTGAGGTTGAGGACGCTTCGGACGAGCTGGAGGACATGGAGGACCTCGAGCTCTACGATGGTGAGGAGGAGAACGAGGAGCAGGACGAAGAGACTCACGAAGCCTTTGTGGCCTACCAGAATGCGAAGGCCAAGTACAACAATGTTCTCAAGGCCCGGGGGGCCATCACACCCCAGGGTCGGGAAGAGGCACTGCAGCGTGCAAAGCAGGTAGTGCTTGTGGAAAGAAAGGACATTGGCACAAAGACCCGATCTGCCCCAAGAACAAGGCCAACGGCTCTTCTGGAACTACGGCCCATTCGACACACATCGTCTACTACACGGGTGGCGAGACTGCAGAGCTGGAGGTGGTCGTGGATTGCGCATGCAGCCGCACTTTGGCTGGAGTTCCGTGGATCAAGAACTACATCCTCTTCGCCAAGAAGTACAAGATCCCCTACATGCTGATGGAGCAGAAGGAGAACTTCAAGTTTGGTGGACCTCGTCTTTATCCATCGACGAGGGCATTGGTGGCATGGCTGGCTATTCAAGGACGTTGGTTTCTGGTGAAGATTGCAGTGGTTTCTACTCAGGTACCACTGCTGTTGAGCCGTCCTGTGCTCTCACAGCTGGGCATGCACTTTAAGATGGATGAGAACAAGGCTGATTTTTGCGGCCTGGGCTTGAAAGATGTCAAGCTCGGCTACACACCCTCGGGGCATCCATCTGTTGAAGCCTTGAGTTTTCATGGCCAACCACCTGTGTGGCCGGATCGTTTGGATTGGAGTGTGATCGAAGTACACATTCCACGACCAGCACCGATCGCTGAGGAGGCATACATGGCGAGTGCAGCATCACTGGGGCCAGTCAAACTTTTTTATCCCAAAGTTCATGGTTATGTTGAGGAACTTCTCACAAGAACGGTGTTGGAGCATGAATCATTTTTGAACTGGTGGAACACTGAGAATCTGGCTAGGGATTTTTGGGTCGAGTCGGAACATTTTCTGGACCGCATACATGTGACACCAAGACGAACTTTCTTTGACCCAACCAAGTGGAACACATCACATAGCCCACTTCGTGAAACACTTCTTGAAAGTCTTGGTGATTTGAGAGAGTCTACGTGCATACCCTGTTATGCCAAGTGTCCCACCTTGAAACTTGAACACCATTGGCATGAAGATGGTGGACCACGTGCAGAATTTCTTTGGATTGGCCGCAGCCGTTTTCCTCGAAAACCTCGTGAACCTGAAGTGGCAAGCCCAGGCCCTTTGGATGTCATCCGTTCCAACTTCGCCATGGAAGATGAACAAGGCCGAACTGGTGGAGAAGTTGGAGTCCATGGGTGTGCCCTTGCGTCCAGACTGGACTGTGCCCGAGTTGCGCACCACGTTGATGGAGGAGTTGGAGATCCGCGGGCTGAACAAGAGCAGGCTTCAGGGGCTGACTCACCTCTGTCTGGACGACTTGAAGAAGAAGTGCTCGGCAGAGGGGATCCCACTGCCGGAGAAGGTCACGCGTGGTGTGATGATCAAGCTCCTCCGCGAGAGTGTGCCACCGTCAGCGGAGGAGGTGGTTTGCTTCGGGAGCTACAAGGGCTTTATGTACAAGGAAGTCAACGAGTCCTATCTGCGATGGGCTATGGACGAGGTGAACAACAATCCGCAACACAGTGCAGACCTGGCCCGACTGGCCAGGTGGGCTCAAGCTCGGTCGTCAACGAGCACTACCAGCCGCCATCAGAACCCAGAGGCAGCCCCAGTGGTGCCGATGCCGTCTGGGGCTCTGCCGAAGGCCAAGCCGAAGACCAATCCATCGAACAAGGGGTCACCAGCAAAGACAGCACGGACATCGAGAACCCGACCCTTGGAGACAAAGGAGGACAGCACCGACTTCTCAGAGGTGGATTGGCCGGTGGACGATCAGATCAAGGATATGGAGGCTCGTCTGGAGGTACTTCGGACGATCAAGGATCAGGAGGAGAAGGTGAAGGCGAAAGCCAAGGCGGCTCCCGGACGAGACTGAAGAAGAAGGCCTACTGGAAGAAGGTCGAAGAGCTGGTGAGGCTGAGGAGATCTATACGCGAGGCTGCACTTCCCTACATCCCTGACGATGAGCACACCGTGGACGAGATCTATGACCAGGACAACTTGGACGTTGATGAGTATGACATGGACCAGGAGGAGGGGGCACCGAAAGTGAACCTGAAGTACCCACTGGACTATGAGACAGTCCGCAACTTGCCATCAAAGCGGATGAAGAGGGCATCGAGAAAGAGGGTGACAGGGTGGGCCCGGAGAGCCCTACTTTGTCTGACTACCACTTTGGTGGCACTCGCAGCACCAGTGGCCGCTGAGGTCAATGAAGCTGTGGTGGAACCGCTCCGAGACATGGCAAGTATCTTCGTGAAGCCTCGCGAAGATGAACCGGTGGCTCTCTTGGAGCTCTTTGCGGGCTCTGCCAAGCTGACCACGGAGTTTGCTGCACAGGGGTACAATGTCTTGGAGCCATGAGATATATACTTTATGGCCATGATCTTTTTGATCGGCTTGCACAAGAAAGTGTCTTCAGGGACATCGAGACCATGCGACCGAGGCTACTCTGGGTGGCTTTACCTTGCACTATGTGGTCGCCCTGGCAGAGGTTGAACTATGCACATCGTCGCCAAGCCCTACGACGAGCTCGACAGAAACAACGTAAATTGGTGAAATTGGCCGTTGAAGCGGCGTGGGCTCAAGTACAAGCTGGTGGCGAAGTGGCCTTCGAACACCCGAAGGCTTCCGACATGTGGGATGACCCGACTTTGGACAGTCTTATGGACAGCCCTTTGGTGTCAATGACAAACCTGGACATGTGTCGCTATAACCTGAGGGCCGTCACGGATGGCGGTAGGCTCAGGAAACCAACAAGGATTTTGTCATCAAGCCCCAAGTTGCTGGAGCCGCTTAGCCTGACTTGCCATGGTGGACATGGCCACACCCCTACGGAAGGGAGGAATACCAAGCCGGCTGGCATCTACACCAAGGAATTTTGCCAGGCGGTCATCAAGGGTTACAAGAGGATGTGTGGGACTATGTGGTACTACGAGAGCGATCGAACGTGGGAGGCTATGCCGGTACATCCTCTTGATCCTGGAGAACACTCTTCCGCTGCACATCATCATGGTCGAGCACATCATCATGGTCGAGAACGAGGCGATCAACAAAGCGCGGGTTCCCTTGGAAGAACGGACAACCCATGAGAAATTATAACCTTTAAACGGCTATGCGCCTGGGTGGGTAGGCCCAGACAGGGCCGTGCGAGAGACAACGACTCTACTAGCCCAAGGTTTGACTCAGGGCTGGCACAATGTGAATGCAGCGTCCGGGTGCCGCACCGGCACAAGCATCCTGAAAGCAAACCTATACGGTTGGTTTGTCCCACAGGCATGCAGCAAGTGACATAGGGAATGCCCATTTCCATTTGCAATACTCGTGTTGACACGCACACTCAGCAACTATGTTGCGCTTGAGCCTTAACTAGCTATTTTCTGTTTCATATTGTCTAGGTGAAACCTATTGGGGGAAAACCATGGGGTAGCCATATTTGAAGCATACCAAACAACTATTTGCAGGTGAAGGACTGGTTGGGGTGGAAAACTTTAATGGTTGGTGGGTCTGTGCGAATGCCTTATTAATCTTTATTCACCAGGACTTTTAATATACGTAATTTTCGCTATCCCCCAGCTAATCAAAAATCTAACAAACCAGAATGCTCGAAGATTCTCGAAGTTTCACGGAAATCTCCTTCACACTCCTCCCAGGAAGCAAGTGATTTTTCACAGGTGCCTAAAGCAGGGGAGCCAATCCTTACTAAATTGTTGGCGTCGCCACCAAAAAACAATAATCGAATGCATTGGTTCATCCGGCACAAAAAAGGATGGAGATGAATCATATCAATGTAATATTTGCTTTTTCTGGGGCTGTATATTCTCTGCATCCAGTTTGTTTTGCGAAACAAGAGGCGCATAAGCACGAGCATGGCAGACCAATTTAAACAATCTTACTTACTGTCTTCCACCAAGACCTAGCTGAAACCCATCATCAGAAGTGGCTGGATTCGCAACATGTCAAAACGTTTGCCTTTTAGGATTTGGTGCAATGGCTGCTCCCATCTTTCTCAGCAAAATCGTGGGCAGTGAACGCACGAAAGTCTTTTTTTCTTGTTGGGCAGCCTGCTGCGGTTTGTATATGCGCTGATGGGGGTAAGCTGCAAACAACACTGCGTGCATCATCGGGTATGCGAAGTCTCCAAGAGACGGCTGAAGATATCAAATTGAAGGTCTTCAGGAGAAATAACAGCTCTTGAAAAACAGACACCATTGAAAACGCACGAGACCTGGTTTCCCGTTTGAAAAAAAACTTATGGGTTGCAAGACCTCCAAGCGATGAAGCTCGCACTTGCTGGACAGTATGAGGATCGAACCTCTTTTTCTTTCCTCTAAGCTGTCCTGATTTTTTCAAAACTGTCTAGGCTGCGCAAGAATGATTTCTCTTTCACATCTTTCACAGGTGAAGGCAAAACAAAACGGATAAATTATGTTGCCACTATATGAAATGCTTTGAGTGTCGGCAACAGTAAGTATTACTTTCGTTTTCTCTTGGGAACCCGGACCCTGCTACTGCGGTGTTGCTCCAAAACTGCATGCGTCACTATCTGGTGGAGAAGCAAGGCTGCACGCAAGGCGGCCACAGCTTCCTGCAGCGCTTTCATGTCCGTCTCCAACTCGGAGATTCGTTGGGCTGGGTCGCGCTCCATGGCCTGGCAAGGGTCTCTGGGAAGACCCCGGTTGAAATTCAACCTGGTGGATTTCCTCAACACTGATTTTCCCAATGAATGGTTAATCAAATTCCAGACCACATTTAATATGAGAATGGCAATGGTCTCTTTGGGTTCCAAAATTGCTTGCTATATTTTCACACTGATCTGCTGATGGTGGCAAAACTGGAAAAAAAAACAGAGGGTAAAATGCACATAGCAGTCAGTGGACTCTTCCTGGGCGCTCACGACGAACAGAAAAATGCAGGGTTGCAAAGCACAGTGTGGCATTTTGCATCTTCAACTAACCGTGCTCAGCCAAACAACGCAATGAATTTCCTATTTGACAGAACCAAACATGTAGGTGAGCTTATGCCACCAAAGTCAGACATCTACACGGCGATTCAGTCGCTGCACCGGGTCTTTCAAACTGACTAGTCTTCTGTGGCTATGAGGAGGCGTGTGCAGCAATACGTATCAATCAAAATTCCACGGACTGATTCGAAGAAATGCTTCAACTCTGGTTGGTTGGCAAGCTTTGGGATCAGCAGTTCCAGTGTTGCCATCGCGCCTTTCAAGTCCACGTAGAAAGACTGAATGGTAGCCATTCTTTCAGCACAGAAGAATGCCTGCAGGAGGTCTAGCACCGGCAATACATTTTTCGAAGGGGCCACTGCAATCGGATCTGTCGTGGGATCCATGAAGGAAAGACCTGGCATCCCTGCGCTCATGCGGACAGAAGTCAGTAGTAACCACATCTCTTCCAACTCCTTGCAGCGCCAGTTGGCTGCAAAAATGAGCTGCCCACGGCTGCATGCTTCTCTCAGCTGCTCAAGGCCATGGTCAACAAAGTGTCCTAATTTTGCTTCCTGAGGAAACATCCTCTGCAGAACAGCCATGATCTGGGACAGAAAAATTTCCCAAGAAGGCCGCACCATCGGGACAAACCAAGGCTAACTACTAGGTTGCGCAAAATCTGCACAGTTGAACCCCAAAAAAGCTGCTGCCAAGAGCAAGCGGTCGCTGAAACTGCCACATGATCCACTATGGTTCACAGAATCAAAAGAAATCTTCTATCTTACGGAATGGTTGTTGACTCCTGATGGAAAAGCAGAAACTGTTTGGCCAAAACTTATGGAAGGCTCGTCACACGCATCAGAACCCATAGTAGGCGGTACCCAAAACAATTTGAGGTGAATTCTGCACACCCCTTCTAAACACAGGGATGCAACAACGTCTGCAAGCATCTATCGCGCCTCAGAGAAACAGCTTGCCCAAGCTTCGTCTCAGCTCAAACCTGGCAAAGCCAAACAAAAATCCTTCATGGATCATTGAAAACTTGATTGCCTGCACACACTTTGAAATACGTGTTTGCCTGGGACAACATCTTTTGGTAAGCCATGCTTGTGAAATGTCGCGAAAATACAAACTGCATTCACGGCACCGGATTGAACCAGAGACACACCTTAATCTTAGAAGTCATGTTTAGAATCAATGATTGTTTTGGGGAAATACTCGCTTCCTGGTCAGACACTTTGAACGCATTGGGACTCACAAGGTTGAACAAAGGAAAACATTGAAACACTATCAGAGGACAGTGGTGAAAGCAAATCTTCGAGGAAACATTCAATGTCTTGAAGACACAGGTGCAGGGGCAAACTGCCCACCATTTTTCCACGCTTCGCTTGTAGCTTTCGCGTTCTCTTGGGTTCTAGGTCACTCTCACTGGCTTTTCGTCCCAGTTGGGCTGCGTCTAAGTCAATGCAAAACCGGCTGGCACAGACTTTGCAAAGGTTCATGCTGCACATAGCACAGGCTCAGATCAAAGGAGAAAAACTGGAAAAATCTATTTGCTCTGTGACAGCTTCTTTTGACTTCTAGTGGGGCTCCTGGAGCAGAACCCGAGCCTGCGCAAGTCAGCGAAGCTATCCTACTGCAAGTCAACTAAGCCATCCTCACGGTGAAAAAAAAACTGTGCTTCACCGTCACCTATTTCAAATTGTTCTTTACTACCCGCTTTTTTGCGGATGTCTTCAGCGGCCCTTTAGGTTTCTTATCCTTACTGACCTCCGAGCGCGCAGGAATGCTCCAGTTCAAAGATTTCAGCCACGACCACATGGACATATGCACCGAAGTAGGGTAGATTCGGTCATCTCCAAGCATCCAGCAAATGGCCTTCTGCTCCGGCTCCGACAGCATGCGCTTGAAGTGGCTCATCTTCTGGCTTGCAGCAGTGAAAACCTGACAAGCCAAATCACCCCATTGGAAATTGTAGGATCCAAGGTGACCACCAGATCCCAAAGACCAAGCGTGAAGCTGTGGTCCCTTCGGTTTGCCCTCGTACTCCACAGTGAACTTCACGACCACGTTGGCGACTGGCTTGACAAGCATGTGCTTCTTGCTTGTTTTGCCCTCGTACCTGAGCACCCTGGCGTCTTGGCAAACCTCCACCAAGAGAAACTTGTACCAAGAGAAGCCATCCTCACTAAACCTCAGCTCTGAGCCCAGCAGCGAGGAGGGGTCTTCAGCTCCAAGGGCAGCCTCCATATGGGCTTCAATCCTGGCTGCTGTGGCTGGTTTGATATCTGTCCAGTGACATGGCTTCACCTGACGCAGCACTGCATCCAAAGCTTTTGGTGCTTGCTTATCGCTGAGAAACGTGAGTTGCAAACCCATGGCTAAAGTGGAAAGGCCAAGCGGTGGTAGAGACAGCAAAAGAGAACCTGTTTGGATAAAAACAGCAGACACGAAACAACACAAAATTGAAATTGCACTTCGTGTCATTGCAGCTTTCACGCTGTCAGGTCATGAGGTTTTCGTATCCAAGTCTTGCGGCTTCTTTTCAGATAAACATGGGCCTGCCCGGCGTAATTCATTCATGTGATGGCAAACTCCCATTAACAAACACATGACAGCTCCTAGGAGTGATCACAACAGAACGTGCGGCACCCTGACAAAAAAAACCTGTGATGTTCTTGTGTCAGAAAAATGGAGGAAGCAGGCAGCTGTTCATGTCAGTTTTTTTGTGCAACCTGCGCTCAGAGAGACAAGATTTCAGCTGAGTTTGGCCATCTTATCCCTGATCTTCTGCGGCATTGGAATTCCAGTCTGCTCTTCAGACCAGTTCCACGCTAGCTTCACAGCAACGTTGCATGCTTCGACTGCTCCAATTGCAGTCCATGATATGCTTTTTTGTTTCAAGCTTGCCTTTTCCCAGCAAATTTTCCATCTGCCATTTTGCTCATCTGTGAAAACTTTGACTTGGTCTGGCACATTTTGCCGCAAAGCATTATCTATCGAAGCCTTGAGTTTGTCATACACTCGTCTCTGGTCTTTCGCCGAGCCGGAACCTGTGCTCGGAACAGTCTTTTTGGGTTCTTTGCTCAACTTTGCCTTGGCAGCTTTGATTTTCTCTAGAGGAATTGCATCCATCACTTTGCCAAAAGCCATACGTGCAACCTTCTTTTTTGTTTCAAGCTGTTCTGCCAACTTGCTCTCCGAAAACTTTTTTACATGTGACAAAATCTTTTCTGCCTCGCCTGTCAGGACAGTGTCTTTGACTGCCTCGTCTAAACTTTCTTCTGACCCGACCATGGCGTGACCAGGTGTCTGCTCTCGAAGCAAAAGCTTGCCAACTACCGAAGATTCGGTGAGCAACGGGTTCACATTCAACATGAGGGTGGCCGCCAAAGCAACTTCCTCTGGCACACCGATTCCGCATGATGTCTCAGGGATGCCAAGGTCAGACAACAGCCTCCTCAAAGCAGTTTCCTTGAGTCCAGAAAAGCCGGTCTCCATGTGATGGTCCAGAACAGATGTCGGCGGATGATTCTTCAAAGTGATGCCGGCATTGGCTTTCTTGTAAGCATCATACATGTAAATTGGCGAAACTGCTTCTAGGCGGATCACCTTGACGGATTCCACCGCGAAGACGAAAATCCAAGCAAGCTCAGAAATGTTCATGTTCAAGGCTACGTGGGTCGCATGCAAAGTGGCTGGCCAACACAATGCAGCATGCTCATAGACGCGAACCACGTAGTAAAGGGACCCACCTTGCAAAATGCAATGCCCTTCCGGTAAAAATGAGGCACGATACGCACATTCGACCATCTGCCAATCTTTGCCTCCATCATGGATGTGCCTCAGCAAAGCCAAATTGGCAAAGATTTGCTGCTGAGACTCAGGTGTGAAAGTTGGCCAACTTGTCTGGCCTGTGACCTCCTTCAGCTTTTTGCAAAATGCAATTTCATCTGGAGGATCGCTGTCAGCATGTTTCTGAGGAGCTACAAACAACTTGGCCTCTTGGAAATTTTCTGGTTGAAAAAGGAAAGTGCTCACTCCAACTTCCTTCCGGTCATAGCTTTTGAGCAAGTTGTGTTGACTGCCCACTCTCCAGGCCTCCATCTTTGAGATCTGCTTTGAGGAAGCAGTGCGCACTTCATGTTCCCTTTGAAGTTTCTGCAAGTCTTCTACCAACTTTGAATTCAACAATGCTGAAAACATGTCAGACAAACACCGGCCAACTTCGGCAGGGACTGCAGCGAAATCAACTTCTGAAAGTCGACGTAACATCCACCTCATTGCTGGACTAGAACTGCCTTGCCCATGAAGGAGGTTTTTGCTGGCTAGACTGCCTTCATTTTCAGTTGCAGCACACGTGTCGAAGATGCTTTTCAAGAATGCCAGACCTTTTTGAACTTTGGCAGCGTCATCATGTAAGAGCAAGGCGCTCACACCAGGAAGGCTCCAGGTATGCCACAGCATTGAACCACACCTGAACTTCAAGAAGCTTCTGACTGCGCTAAACACAGTGGCTGCAATGGAATTGTCCATGGCGATCTGATCCTTCTTGTGTGCCGACGCCAGCAAATACATGGCAAAACCCATTCGCTTCAGTTTTGTTTGATCCTTCAGGACCAAAAGCATGTCCTTCAGCTCATGCAAAAAGGACCAATCTGCCCAGGCTGCAAATTGCTCTTTCGTGGCTTGCTCGCCCCGCATTCGATGCAGCATCAAGCCTGAGCTTGCAGCTTCTGCTTCTTGAAGGTAAGCCATGATTCGGCAAAAAGTCTTGGACTCAGGGTCATTCAAAAACCGAGTCATGCAGTGAAAGGTGTTCACTGCTTTTCCTCGCATTCTCTCCAAAGCCTTCTTGGCCTCCAACTTGGCCTGTACCTTACTTGTTGACGGCCCGGCTGAGGCGGACGCTGCTCCAGAATCATCTGCACTCACGGGACCTTCTGCTCCACCTGGGCAATCTGCTGCATTGACATCATCAGGTTGCCAAAGTTGATCTGCGCACTCGACCCACCCCTGGATCAAGCAAGTCATGGTAAACAGAAATGCTTGGGCGCTCCAGTGCTGATCCAGAAATAAAGCAGCCTGGGTCACGCTATTGAAGCGGCTCATGGCGGCCTTGGGGCCTTTGGACGTCACAAACGGGGCCGTTGGCAGCTCAAGCAGAAATCGCCTCCGACGGGCTTCGGTGTTCTGATCCCATGTTTCACCATAGTCCTCTAAGATGCTGGGCATGAAATGCTTCAGCACGGGATCGTTGGGAGACAACTCTTCTGAAACTTTGCAAGCAGTCTCGATGATCAAAGTGTGCCATCCACCTTTCAAAAAAGGTCCAAATTTCAGATTGAACAAACAAAGGTTCATGCAGCACCTTTGCAACAACCCGCACTCAGCCAAAGCAAGGGTGGAATCATTGCTTCGTCTGTGCTGCGGGTCATACACATGCTCCATCATCAGGCCAACATGCCACTTCAGAAAATTTGCGGCTGCCAGTTGCAAGCTTTCCTGGTCTGTGCAAACTGTCAAAATGGCTGGACAGTTTTCCGAAGCCATGATATCCTCTGTTGCTACAAATTGCCTCAAAGGCCTTCCCAACATTTCCAGACAATGTTTCATGTCAAAAATCCAGTGCAAAGTGGGCAGTCGCGGCTGGGCTGGCCTGGATTTGCGGCCCAAGCGCCTGCGTTTCTCAGGAGGCTGCTCACCAGGAGGCGGTGGCTCCATAAATCTGGCAGTCTGCTGTGCCAAGGCCTCCTGGCCATCTTGCGTACCAGTCACGGGTTTGATTTGGCCGGTCACCTGCCCAGGGCAGGCCAGTATGAAGGTGATAAGATCCCTGGCCCTATTTATCTTAGCTACCCACACCTGAGTTTACAGGAGGGAAATAGTTTTAAGGTGACTTAAATGGACCTGAAAAATATCCTGGTCTCTGAGCCTAAAAAACAGTATATATTGCTCTCACTTCCGTCTCCTGCGACTTAAACAACCTTTGAAAAATTATGCGTCCAAAAGTAACCCTGGGAGAGGCTCCAAAACCAATGTCTGGATGTGGTCAAACAACCGTGGAAAATCTAGATGCTACAACCTTTGAAAAATTATGCGTTGGTATGTATTTGAAATAGTATTACGCATTTGTTTTTTGAACGAAACCACAGTGACCTTTGAAAAATTATGCGGCCGGCAACTTTGGTTTTGACCGCGCCCGGGTTTGCTTTTTCCGAAAATAGCAAGCCAAAAACTGTTTCTGTTTCTGTTTGAAAAAAATTACATGCTGTGCAAAATAAAAAAATGGTTGGCAAAAAGTTGTTTGGAAAAAAATAAATGTTGTGAAAAATCCGGCCTGTGGAGGCAAAATGCACCCATGTTTGCTCTTGCTGTCCCAAGCAATACAATTCAGAATCGGGTCGCCCAGCTGGACACCATCTAATACCAAACCAATTGAATGCCCCGCTTCAAACGTTTTTTTGGATTCCAGCAAATAGCTATACCGTTCGTGCTGTACATAGTTGGACCCCCGTTGCTTTCCAGTTGAGCCAGGCAACGTCGCGAGAACCGTGCTCACGCTTCTCAAATGGGTCTGTTCAGTTCGTTCCACCAAAGAGGCTTTCATCTGCCCTGATAATCGTCTGTAGTTTCTCGCTGTCCTGGCCAGCAAAAAGCTGGAAAACAAAAAATACCCGCAGGCTCACAATGATTTCTCAATAAAAAACAACATAGATGCAAACTTTGCCTTCCCAAAGTGTGCTTCGCACACTACCATATATTCTTCACTCAAGGAGAGCGAAAGAGAGAAAAACAGAAACTCACGCTTAGTCCTTTTCATTCTCCGTCCCGGCAGAAATGGCATGCAATAAATGGCAAATAAATCTCAAGTAAACGGTCACAATTTCAGTCAGCTTGCATCTGAAAAAAATATCGCCGACGCAACGGAATTTGGAAAAGAATGTTTCGGTTCCATGGCAAAAACATGAAGTATTCTGGTCCAACCGGTGAAAACAAGCCCTTGCTTCACCCGACAGAAAACACCCAAAAAAAAACTTGTCCTGAGAGGCTGCAGCTGCCACAGTTCGGTTTTTTGCCAGATCTCGTCTCTCTTGGAACTCTCCAGCACCCAGACGAGTGCCTGAATGAGCCAAGCCAAGGCCATGGTTGCTGCAGCACGACGGCTCTGTGATACTCTGGTATTGATTTCCTCCAAGCAAAGCACCATGATTGCCTCGTGCACGGGCACTGCTCTTCGCTCTGAATCAAAAACGCGCTGCAGCAAAGCCAGGGATTCTGTCAAGCAAAATTGCTGCCACTCCAGGCAAACATCATCATCCACCAGGCAAAACCAAATTGTCGCTTCAGCAACTTCCATTCTCAGATCAGCTGTCACAAAAGTATGTAGCAGCACTTTCAGCAAAGATGTTGCTTGCGATTGCACTTGTTCGGTGGTCAGCTTCCAGGCTGATCGTTTGTGAGGGCCTCTGGCAGCCCAATGGGCCAACATCACCAAAATGGCAAAGCTTGAGGCACAGTACTCGGTCATTCGAACCTCTTGGTCAGCATCCTCACCTTGCCTTGGAGACGCCCTCAACCTGGAATGCCCTGATTCGAGGAAGTGTTTGCGGGCAATTTCATCTATCTCATGCTCTTCGTCCAGATCTGGCACATGTGGCAAGTACGCCAACACCTTGTTGACCCAAGTCTTCGCACCTTGGCCAATGAAATTGCTGTTCTTGTGGCCGCCCAGCCAATCCACAATCCAACGGATATGCCAGAAAATGCTGCAAGATGACACGTTTGGAACTTTGGCAACTTGAAGTTCACACGTGAAGACACTTTGCCCCCTGCTCAGACTCAAGGCTAACGGCACGGTTGTTTTGACCATGTCGCTCCACTGTGATCTAGAACCATCACCTAAATCCACCAGGTCATCTTGATTCTTTTCAAATTGCAACCAATGAGAAATAGACGTGGCCTGCACCTCTCCAGAGTTGTTGCTTCCACGCAGAACCACGCCCTCACCATCAACAGTAAGAAGCTCTACTGATGTCCAGTTCTTGGATTCTTCCACCACGGCCACCTCCCCAGTTGCAACATTGTGCAGCAAGAGCTGGTCCTTGTTCCGCGTCAAACGGATGTCCTCTGCCGTCTGAACCTCGAATGGCTCATCCTCCCCAGCATCCATGAAACAGAAATGAGAAACAAAGCTGTGTCGAGAAAATCTAGGGTTTTGTCACTGTCTTTGCTGACAATGTTTTATCATGAGTTCTCCAGTGCACTTTCAACCGCTCCCTGTTGAACTATGACATGACAATTGCTACTTGACGCATCAAAACTTCTGCAGATGCATTTTTCAACTGCATTCTTTGCGGAAACTGTTTTTCTGAGCCATGCCAACACAAAACCAAGCTGGCTTTGGAGCCAAAAAAAAGTTCTCAAGGGTTTCTTGTCACTTTGAGCAGACCCACAGCAAAAGAGAGACCCAAACGCTCACTGCGACGTGTTTGACCTTTCGTCCGGATTTTTACATGCGAAAACAAGAGGTTGGACCACCAATGCTGCACCTTGCACTCTTGGAAAATTCTTCTTCTTTTTTCAGCAACTGCACCAAGGTCTGAAACGCTGCCAGCCAACGTCTAAAGTCAAATGACCAAATGCAGAAAGCTTGGCTTTCGAAAGGCATTATCAAGTCTGCAAGAACGCAAATTTAAAGTCGAGCTACAGTGACCTATCTGCTCACTGCATGTCCGGACACGGCTGCTTAGGGACAGGAAGGCCTCGTCTTTCCATCTCAGCCGCTAAGATGTAGTACAGAAATACTGGCAGTTCGGCATCTATGCGCTCAGGTGGCCAAAGTTGCAGCTGCGAGTCTTGCAGTGGGTCCAGCACGAAGTATGTTTCATCTGCTAAGAGGGCAGAAAAATCTCGTCCATAAAACCCTGACGGGTTCAGCTCTTCGATGGTGTAAAGGAGAGGCGGCATGAGCAAGAGCAGAGGAAACAACTTAGATTCAAAAGCGGCTCTGAACCAAAACTTAATTGCATTTGACATGAAAAGAGACTGCCGCTCATGGTGAGCTTCATGTGCGGATCTGATTTGATTTGCTCCATCTCCGGCTTCACCAGCCCAAAAAAAAGAGAACATCACTGCATTAGTGCATCCAAATTTGTCTTCTGTGTTCCAACAAGATAAGAAATACTGGGCAAACAAGCAATGTGGCAACGCCCCGACAAAGCTGAAGATGCGCCCAACTCCAGCTTAATTTTTTATTCTCAAACCGGCTGCACATGTCGCCCTGCAAACCTCAAAGGCTTGGCTTCCCTGACATATGTTCTAAGCCAGGTTCAGATAAAATTTCCAATTTCACAGAGCCAATTCTTGGCTCGAAAGTATGCCAAAAGCCTGGAAAAGTCTCAGGCAATCAGGACTTTGCCTTGCTCACAGAAAACGACAGCCCAGGACAAATAGACGGTGCTGCAGCAGACCCTGCACTGGTCCCAGCATTCTCCTTGGTCTCAAGGTCCACGTGATAGGTCCAGCGCTTCGTCTCCAAGAAGCGAATCTGAGCAAAGAAGGAGGAACAGTTGAAGGTGATGTCACCGTTGTCATCACACACTGCCTCACAATTCGCGTCGAAGGGATTGGACAAGTTCCACTTGGTGTCAGCTCCATTGATGTCAGGGAGGCGAGCAATGGCATCTGGCAAGAAGAGACACTTCAGCAAGGAGGGATTGGCATCATCCAAGCCATAGAAGGCCAACTCGTCCTTCTTCCCGAAGGCCAGGCTCTTGCCTTCCAAACGGTTCCGACCAATGTCATCAACCCTTGCTTTCGCGAAAGCCTCCAGGGTCTTGAAGCTTCGAATGCTCTCATGCTTGGGCAAGGGCGTCTGCTCATCGATGTGGAACAAGTACTTCATGACCTGGTCCAACCAGGCGCCGCCAGCATCCTCCTCATCGTCGACAGGAAGCGTGACAAAGGGCTTCACCATGGCCAACTTTGCCTGCAAGGGAAGGCTCAGAAGTTTGTAAACCTTACCTTTCCACTTCGGCTCATCGGAGTCACCAAGGGTGGCATCAGGAGTCATCTCACCGGTCTCCAGAAGCGTCTTCATGGCGCCACATCTGAAAAGGGCTGCGAGACGTGGGACCCAAGCATCATTTTCAGCTAACATCTTCAGGACATACTGCCGGTCTTCCTGAATGGTTCTCTCAAAGTAAGTGTTCATGGCTTTCTGAAAGTGTCCACTCACTTTCGACTCTTGCTTGGCCTGCTGCTTGGCTTCCTTCTGTGCCTTTTTTTCGACAACTTTGACAAGCTTGGTCTTGGGTTTAGACTTAGCTGCAGCCTTTCTGCCAAGCAAGTTGCCTCTGCCCTTGCCCATGCTGCTGGAAACGCAAAGACTGAAGAGGCAAACGAAAAGGGACTTGGAAACCAGAGCCCAAGACTGACTGGCAAGAGAACTGGGTGGTGCTTAGAAGAAGCATGTCTATGCAGGCAGGGCGTGCCAGATGCAAGCACTGCGGATGTTCAACACTAGCAGTTTTCAAAGTTGCAACCGAGTGTTTCCTTGAAATTTCAAAATCACCTGCAGCAGAATGCTTTCCAAAATTTCCAAGGCTGTCTGAAATCTGACGACAGATCCTCTGTTCCGCTCTGAGAAACAGACCCCGTCAAGATGGTATGGGATCAGCAAAAACCTAGAAAACGACCGAGCGAAACTAGGACTTGATGGGGTCAGATCTCAATGTTGGACTACTCAAACAAGAGTTAAACCTCTTTCGCCATCAATGCATTTTGGTAAATCCACTCTTCCCATCTGAGCATTTCTAAACCAAAGGGAACTGCACGCATCTAACCTACTAATGCCTGCAAAACTTCGGGATGGAAACAGCCCTTGCGTGAGCGACTCCCCGCCTCGAGGCCTCAAGGACTCCACAACGGTAGCGACCACCGTTCGCCGCTTTCCAAATTTAACCAGCTGTCCTCAGGCAGTACATTAAGCAAAAAAAACGAGAAAGAAACGCTTGCAGGCATGGAGGTATGTTCAGGAGCAACAGTTCCTTTCCCAAAGAGGTTTGGTGGCAGTTTTTGTTGAAATTGCCTACGAGTTGAAGGTTAAGGGTTAGTGACGCTCACATGTCAAAAACTATGTTCATGAATTCCTCGAGCAGCCTGGTTCTGGAAGCATTTCCAACAATTTCCTTGTGCCAAAGTGAGCAAACTAAAAGCAACAATCAACAGCAAATCAAGAAAAAAGATCTCACTGGTTCGAAAAAATACACAATGTTCTACCAACATGGCCCGGACATGACCCAAACACAGTGGGGCTCCTTTTGGGCGCTGATTTAGGGCGGAAAAGGAGCCCGTTTTTTGGGCCAAACATAGGCTCAACATAGGCTCAACATAGGTCCAACATGGCCCAACTTGGCCCCGAAAATCCCGCAGCGGGAAAGCCCCCAGTTATCAAAATCTCGGTGCCTTCCCGTGCTGTTCCCGGACCCCCCACCATGGCCCCAAAACCAAACAAAGACTCCTTGAGGCTCTTAAATCAAGAGAGCCCAACATGGACCAAAATAACCCCAACATAGGTCCAACATGGCTCCAAAACGACCACCAAATCAGGTCTCTGAAATCGTGAACATAAACCCAACACAGGTACCACATAGGGCCCTACATGGCCCCAACATGGCAGAAATTCACTGTGCATTTTTTTGTCCTTGCGCTCACTAAGTCACTTAACAGTTGTTTACCCTGCCCCAGAACCAGGCTGGCAAGGAACTCACAAAACTATAGCGGCCATGTGACCAAACATCAAAACAGATTTTCATTCTCAGCTCTTAAACCTTGTCTTCTCCATCACCCAATTGAACATGGGTGTCCATTCTGTCAGTGCGGCTCGAAAATATTGTAAGAAATTTGTTCGCAAATTTAGGCCGACATTTTCTGCATGACATCACTCACACACAAAAATGAGATGCCAGATAACAGCCACGTCTGCACAAAAAAAAGAGAATGCACATTGTGATCTACTGTTTGTCGTCCATGGATGCGCTCATCGTGCTTTATGCTGGTAACCAAATTGATACCTTGATTTGGGACTGTGGCTCCCTTGACCCATTCAATCCAAGACACGAGTTCCGCTTGCCCGAGGATCCAGATAGCAGAGCAGAAATAACAAAAGAGCTCCGCCAAGCTGAGCACTTCAGTGACCAAAAGTCCTGAGATGAAGGCAGCTGGTGCGGAGGGAAAATACAGCCCATCAACTATAAGCAATCTGGAGATAAGGCACTTGCCAATTTCACCTTCCGAAATTCCAGCAAAAAGGGTTGAAGAACCGTTTGCTGACAACAAAATAAGTCTAGACCTGCTAGGTACCTCCAATAAGCCACCTGCGGCACCTGTGGCTAAAAATAAACCAGATTTCCATCACCCACACCGAGCTGACAGCAATACTGAATTCATATTTCCCAAGAATAGCCTCATCCATCACCCAAATCGAGATCCCTGGTTGTCAATTTGTAGTCTTGCTTGGACTAAAAACATCTTTCACTTGGTCAGGCAGCGTGTTCAACTAACATCTGTCCCCAAACCCGTCATAAGATACCCTCATTTTATTCCCAATTCGACACTGTCAATTTCATGTCTTGGAATCAAATTTGGCGGCCATCCTGTCTCAGAAAGTCATCCAGCATGCTTTCAAACAACGACGCCTTCATCCTAAGACACCCAAGGCTCAGTTGTCTTGCAGCTTGCACTGCGCAACGGCGATTGCAGCTCATCAGCCGGTAGCGTCGAAAAAGAGAGGCTAATATCAAACATCTATTGTTACTGTTGGTCTACTAGAATGTTTCGGAACATACCTTGGGAATAATTCTTTTTGAAACATTTCAAAACACTAGATCCCCAAAAAATCTAACCAAAATCAAAAGCTTTACAGCCGTGCCCTGTCTTGAACCAACAGCGTTGCCAGCAACCAAATTCTTGCTGTTGGTTACGACGATGCTTTCGAAGCCAGAAAAAAAAAACATTGTTTTTACTTACTGAATACCACAATGCACGTATTGAGTTGCAATCCTTCGTTCTTGACGCAGCAAAAAAAAAATGTTTCAACCGTATTTCCTTAAGTAAATCACTCTTAGGCAGAGAGCACATGAAAAACAATGTTGCATACATGGTCTCAGCCATCCCCCTTCTTGCAACAATAAACTGCTCTGCCAGCCAGAACATGAAGTTTGAAAGCACGACAGAAAGAACACGGGTGGAAAACAACCATTATTTGAAAACCACGTTTTCAACACACATGGGACATTGCGTCTTGATAAGATAAATCTTCCCGCATTGAAACCACGCACAAACAATGCTCAGTGAACACATCCGGTTGCCTGATTCGATAGACACCTTCTTCGCCTAATTGCTACTCATTTTGACTACGTCAATTCCCTTGCCACAAGATAAACTTGCCATTAATAGTGAACCTTTTCTCAAATCTTACACAATAACTAGTAATACCCTGAAACCAGCTGACTAACTAACCCGTCCAGAAGGCGATTACAAGTCTATTTTGTTCGAAACACCGAAATGATCATAGAACGAAAGACACTTACTCACTAAATGGTTTGACAATGAAACATGTAGAACATAACCTCCAGAACCCCTTTTTCCGAAACAGTTCACTCTATATATATATATATTTATTATTATTATTATTGAGCTACCTTTTTTTTTCTTCTGGGACACGGGTTTGTCAGCTCACCCGTCTTACCACGGTGAAAACACGAAAGGGAATGTGGCGATTTGTACACGAGCGACGTGAAAAATACAAACGTCTTACGAGCCAGCGCCACACACCGAGCACATAATATGCCGTTGGCTAGCGCTACTTCAACACACACTAAACCATAAGGTACGAACTCTTGCACGCACTTGATACCGTCAAATCCCTGGCTACAATTGCCTGGAAAACAAAGCTCAGAATTCTAAACCAACGCAGATCTGACACTGACGCGCGAAGCATCACAATACCATAGCCCTGGACCCAGTGGTGCCGATATACAGCCACAGGGGTTATAATTTTTCATGGGTAGTCTACTCCTCTGATTCCCTACATGGAGATCAAGCACCTGGCCCTTCTGACGTTCCTGGTGATCACGTACGTCAAGGTCCTTGTGGAGCTCTTTCACCTAAAGACGAACCTGGTGCAGACCTACCAGGACGTGCGGGTGCATCGGGCATCCATTTTCCAGAGCATGTTCCTGGGCACATTGCCAAGGCTTTGAGGAGGATCCACCAGAATCTCGGGCATCCTTCCAACCAGGATTTAGCCCGACATCTCAAATTGTCTGGTGCAGGCGATATTGCCGTGAAAGCGGCACACTCTCTCCGGTGTGAAACTTGTGCACGTCATACCGGACCGGGTACCAGACGGCCAGCCAAGATGGTGCGTGCACTGGACTTCAACCAGGAGGTTTGCCTGGACACCCTCAATCTCTTCGATAGCGAGCACAAGAAGATTGAGACTTTGTCCATCTTAGACATGGCCACTGGGTACCACGTCGTGAAGAAAATCAGTGGCAAGAAGTCTGCCAATCTTCTCAAGGACTTTATGGAGGGTTGGGTGAACTGGGCAGGCCCCCCGATGCGGGTCACCGTGGACCAAGAACGTGGCTTCCTGAAGGAGTTCACCGATGGGCTGGACATGCTGGGATGCCAGAGCAGAGTCATAGCTGGACAAGCCCATTGGCAACAAGGTGCAGTAGAACGACAAGGCCAATGGTATCGCGCCATTTGGGACAAGACGATTGCCCATGTGGTGCCTTCACATGACGAGGTCGACTACACTTTGGCCATGGTGAACTCCGCCAAAAACAATCTGAGGAGGAGCCATGGCTACTCCCCTGCACAATGGCTGTTCGGTGCTGAACCCAGGCTTGGTGATGCGATGTTGGACGAGAATGAGGAGCTCTACCAGCTTGAGGAGTTGAGGTCGAATGACGAGATTTGGAGGAGAAAACAACAGATCAGGTATGCGGCTCGGATGGCATTCATCCAGTCGCAGACTGAGTCTGCCGTCAAGCGTGCTCTGCTTGGCCGCTCACGTGTGGCCCCTGAGGAGTTCACTGCTGGAGACTACGTCTACATCTACAGGGTGGACAAGACTGCTGGAGGCAAAGCACGGCAACGTCAAAACGTTGGCGAGTGGATTGGCCCTGGTGTCGTGATCGGGAAAGAAGGTTCCTCTTTCTGGGTATCACGGGGTGGTAGGTGTGTACTATGCGCTCCTGAACATCTACGGCCAGCTGAGAGTGAGGAGCTTGGTGCAGCCTTTCAGACAAGGGCTCTCAAGGAGGATCTGATGAAGGTGGTATCCAATCTGGAGGACGAAGATGATGAGGAGGTCTTTGCAGACGCTACAGGTGCAGTTGCCTTGGACAAACGAGCTGCCCCATCTGACTTCGTGCCTGAAAGAAGGATGAGGACGAAAGGGATCGTGAGGATGCTTAAGAGAGAACTTCCTGATGGAGGTCCTGAGCAACCAGACCGACCAGCACCGGCGCTTCTACAAGAACGGGAGGCTCAAGAAGGAGATCAACAAAACGAACCTGATATAGAAGAACTTCTTGATAGAGCACAAGAAGCTATGGTGGTGGAACGGCGTGTTCCCCGGTGTCTCATCAAACAACAAGACAAAGAGGTGAGATGGGAGGACATCCCGGAATCTGAACGGCCCCTGTTCATTGAAGCTGAGAAGAAGCAATGGCAGGAGCACCTCCACTATGAGGCTGTGAGGGTACATCCTCCTGGCGATGCTGACCTTCTACGTCGTAAAGTTCCTGCTGATCGGATCCTGAGGGCGAGGTTTGCCTATCGGGACAAGAACGTGGCCAAGCGTCGTGAAGACCCTGGAGTACCAGCAAAGGCCAAGGCAAGACTTTGTGTGGGTGGACATATGGACCCTGATCTCAAAAGAGGCGAAGTCACAACAGAAGCGCCAACAGCGTCCAAGACTTCCCTGTTCACCCTCCTCTACCTAGCATCTCAGCTTGGATGGAGGCTTGCCGCAGGCGACATTGAAGCCGCCTTTTTGAACGGAGTGGTCTCAAAGAGAAACCTCTCCTTTGAGCCCCCAAAACGTGGCCTTCCAGGCGTAGAACCAGGATCACTCATTGAGATCGTGAAAGGAGTTTTTGGACTTTCGAATAGCCCGCGTCTCTGGTGGGATAAGTTGGCGGCAGAGTTACTTAGCTTGGAGATTGTCATCGGCAACGAGGTCTTGAAGCTTAAGCACCACCAGTTCGATCCTTGCCTTTTTCTTCTTCGAGATCAACATGGAGAAGGAAACCTGCGCGGTGCTATGGTGACACACGTCGATGACCTTCTCATTGCCGCCCCTGCTGGAGAGATGACGGAGCTGCAGCAAAGTCTCTCTAAGATCTTCCCTATCTCCGATTGGGAGGCTGACGAGTTCGAGTACACTGGCAACCATCAAGCAGAAGGATGGCACTATCGAGGTCCACCAGAAGGCCTATGTCAACTCGCGGCTCGAGACGGTGAGTTTTCCCAAACACTATGAGATGGCAGGTCAAGCTGACGAGGTCACGGTCAAGGACAACATGAGCACCGTTGGTGCCCTTTCCTGGCTTGCAGCACAGAGCCGACCCGACCTACAAGCTGGGGTCTCTCTTTCCCAGCGCAAGCAGAAACAACCAACTTATGAAATACCAACAAGGTTGTCAAGATGGCGCAGAATGGGAAGGAAGAGCCACTACGGTTCACCAAGTTGGCAGATGATCCTGGCCAATTGGTTTTACTGGTTTTCCACGATGCTGCTTGGGCGAACGCTCCACCAGACCCTGCTGTGGCTGACGCTGCAGACCTGGAAGAAGCTCAGGGACATGGTGTCTACTCTCAGCTCGGCCACATCCTGATCCTAACGACCAAGGATGCCCTCGCTGGCAAGCCGAGCCCGTCAATGATTGTGGGGTGGAAATCACACGCGTGCCCAAGAGTCTGCAGGAGTACGTTTGCTGCCGAGACTATGTCGGCACTGGGCGGCTGGGAGGATGGCCTAGCTTTCCGCTCCTACGTCTCCAGCGCAATCAACCCTGGTGCATCTGGTGAGGACGAAGCCCGGGAGCTCTTCCCGATAGTCTCCCTCACTGACTGCAAGTCTCTCTACGACAATGTGCACCGACTTGGAGGGCCCCGTGCACCGAGCGAGAAGCGGCTCATCGTGGATTTGATGGCACTACGCCGTATGGTGACTGATGAAGATCGCCGTTGGGCCTCTGAACTGCCTGGCAACAAAACATTCAGGTGGCTCCCCACCACACATCAGCTGGCCGACATACTGACCAAGGTGATCGTCGATGTCAGAACGTGGTGGCAGAACGTGCGACTCATCCAGTTGCCATTTGGTGCAAGCTCAACAATATAGTTGAGGAGTGTGAATCCACTTCCAATTGAGCTTGCACCTATCAACCTTACCGGGCCTTTAGGCTCATGAGTTTGTCCCAGTTTGCGGCAAAACAGTTGCTAGTGCCTCGCTGTGCGGTTTTCCCCTTTTACCTGTTTTCAGTACCCATGGTGCCAATAGTTCAAAAAATCACAGTCAGTGATTATTACCCAATAGTACCAATGGGACCAATAGTTTTAAAAAACAAACTATCAGTGATGTTTACCCAGTGGTACTGATGGTACCAAAAGCTCTAAAAATCACAATAAATGGTTATTACCCAATAGTACCAATGGTACCAATAGTTCAAAAAATCACAATCAGTGATTTTTACCCAATAGTACCAATGGTTCCAATAGTTTTAAACATCACCATCAGTGATTATTACCCAAAAGTACCAATGGTACCAATAGTTTCAAAAATCACAATCAATGATTTTTACCCAATAGTACCAATGGTACCAATATTTTGAAAAAAACTATCAGTGATGTTTACGCAGTGGTGCTGATGGTACCAAAAGCTCTAAAAATCACAATCAGTGATTATTACCCAATAGTACCAATGGTACCAATAGTTCTAAAAAAAAAACTATCAGTGATGTTTACCCAGTGGTACTGATGGTACCAAAAGCTCTAAAAATCACAATCAGTGATTATTACCCAATAGTACCAATGGTGCCAATAGTTCAAAAAAATCACAGCCAGTGATTATTACCCAATAGTACCAATGGTACCAATAGTTCAAAAAATCACAATCAGTGATTATTACCCAATAGTACCAATGGTACCAATAGTTCTCAAAATCACAATCAGTGATTTTTTTACCCAATAGTACCAAGTGTACCAATATTTAAAAAAAAACTATCAGTGATGTTTACCCAGTGGTACTGATGGTACCAAAAGCTCTAAAAATCACAATCAGTGATTATTACCCAATAGTACCAATGGTACCAATAGTTCTCAAAATCACAATCAGTGATTATTACCCAATAGTACCAATGGTGCCAATAATTCAAAAAATCACAATCAGTGATTATTACCCAATAGTACCAATGGTACCAATAGTTCTAAAAATCACAATCGGTGATTACTGACCAATAGTTCGAAAAATCACGATCAGTGATTATTACCCAATAGTACCAACGGTACCAATAGTTCTACAAATCACAATCAGTGATTTTTACCCAATAGTACCAATAGTTCCAATAGTTTTAAACATCACCATCAGTGATTATTACCCAAAAGTACCAATGGTACCAATAGTTTCAAAAATCACAATCAATGATTTTTACCCAATAGTACCAATAGTTCTCAAAATCACAATTAGTGACTATTACCCGTGTTACCCAATAGTACCCATGGTGCCAATAGTTCTAAAAATCACAATCAGTGATTATTACCCAATAGTACCAATGGTACCAATAGTTCTCAAAATCACAATCAGTGATTTTTACCCAATAGTCCCAATGGTACCAATAGTTCTAAAAATCACCATCAGTGATTATTACCCAATAGTACCCATGGTGTCAATAGTTCTAAAAATCACAATCAGCGATTTTTACCTAGTTCTAAAAATCACAATCGGTGATTATTACCCAATAGTACCAACGGTACCACTAGTTCTAAAAATCACAATCAGTGATTATTACCCAATAGTACCAACGGTACCAATAGTTCTAAAAATCACAACCAGTGATTATTTCCCAATAGTACCAATGGTACCAATAGTTCAAAAAATCACTCTCAGTGATTTTTACCCAATAGTACCAATGGTACCACTAGTTCTAAAAATCACAATCAGTGATTATTACCCAATAGTACCAACGGTACCAATAGTTCAAAAAATCACAATCAGTGATTATTACCCAATAGTACCAATGGTAACAATAGTTCTCAAAATCACAATCAGTGATTTTTACCCAATAGTACCAATGGTACCAATATTAAAAAAAAACTATCAGTGATGTTTACGCAGTGGTACTGATGGTACCAAAAGCTCTAAAAATCACAATCAGTGATTATTACCCAATAGTACCAATGGTACCAAAAGTTCTAAAAATCACGATCAGTGATTATTACCCAATAGCACCAATGGTACCAATAGTTCTAAAAATCACAATCAGTGATTTTTACCCAATAGTACCAATGGCCCCAATAGTTTTAAAAAACAAACTATCAGTGATGTTTACCCAGTGGTACTGATGGTACCAAAAGCTCTAAAAATCACAATCAGTGATTATTACCCAATAGTACCAATGGTGCTAATAGTTCAAAAAAATCACAATCAGTGATTATTACCCAATAGTACCAATGGTACCAATAGTTCAAAAAACCACAATCAGTGATTATTACCCAATAGTACCAATGGTACCAATAGTTCTCAAAATCACAATCAGTGATTTTTTTTACACAATAGTACCAAGTGTACCAATATTTAAAAAAAACTATCAGTGATGTTTACACAGTGGTACTGATGGTACCAAAGGCTCTCAAAATCACATTCAGTGATTATTACCCAATAGTACCAATGGTACCAATAGTTCTCAAAATCACAATCAGTGATTATTACCCAATAGTACCAATGGTACCAATAATTCAAAAAATCACAATCAGTGATTATTACCCAATAGTACCAATGGTACAAATAGTTCTAAAAATCAAAATCAGTGATTATTACCCAATAGTACCACTGGTACCAATAGTTCAAAAAATCACAATCAGTGATTATTACCCAATAGTACCAATGGTACCAATAGTTCTCAAAATCACAATCAGTGATTTTTTTACCCGATAGTACCAAGTGTACCAATATTAAAAAAAAAACTATCAGTGATGTTTACCCAGTGGTACTGATGGTACCAATAGCTCTAAAAATCACAATCAGTGATTATTACCCAATAGTACCAATGGTACCAATAATTCAAAAAATCACAATCAGTGATTATTACCCAATGGTACCAATAGTTCTAAAAATCACAATCAGTGATTATTACCCAATAGTACCAATGGTACCAATAGTTCAAAAAATCACAATCAGTGATTATTACCCACTAGCACCAACGGTACCAATAGTTCAAAAATCACAGTGATTATTACCCAATAGTACCAATGGTACCAATAGTTCTAAAAATCACAATCAGTGATTATTACCCAATAGTACCAATGGTACCAATAGTTCTAAAAATCACAATCAGTGATTTTTACCCAATAGTACCAATGGTACCAATAGTTCAAAAAATCACAATCGGTGATTAATGACCAATAGTTCGAAAAATCAAAGTCAGTGATTATTACCCAATAGTACCAACGGTACCAATAGTTCAAAAAATCACAATCAGTGATTATTACCCAATAGTACCAACGGTACCAATAGTTCTAAAAATCACAATCAGTGATAATTACCCAATAGTACCAACGGTACCAATAGTTCTAAAAATCACAATCAGTGATTATTACCCAATAGTACCAACGGTACCAATAGTTCAAAAAATATTATTACCCAATAGTACCAACGGTACCAATAATTCTAAAAAAACAATCAGTGATTACTGACCAATAGTACCAATGGTACCAATAGTTCAAAAAAATCACAATCAGTGATTATTTCCCAATAGTACCAACGGTACCAATAGTTCAAAAAATCACAATCAGTGATTTTTACCCAATAGTACCAACGGTACCAATAGTTCAAAAAATCACAATCAGTGATTATTACCCAATAGTACCAACGGTAGCAATAGTTCTAAAAATCACAATCAGTGATTATTACCCAATAGTATCAACGGTACCAATAGTTCAAAAAATATTATTACCCAATAGTACCAACGGTACCATTATTTTTAAAAAAACAATCAGTGATTACTGACCAATAGTACCAATGGTACCAATAGTTCTAAAAATCACCATCAGTGATTAATACCCAATAGTACCAATGGTACCAATAGTTCAAAAAATCACAATCAGTGATTATTACCCAATAGTACCAATGGTACCAATAATATCCTTGATTTGCCCAATGAAATCACTGGCCGGCCTTCCCATCGTTCCGGGCGGCGCAGTTCCCAGGACAACCGAGGTCACCGAAGGCAGCGCGGGCAGCGGCGGAGGCTGGCCGGGCGGCATCCGATGTAAACAGTCGTGGTTTATTGATGTTTAATGGATATTAATATAGTTTAATGGATTTATGTTGGATTTTACAAGGATCGATTTTGGATTTTGATTGGGTTTTAGTGGATTTTGATGGATGCTACGAGGATTTTAATGGATTTTACAAGGATTGTTGATGGATTTATGTTGTGTTTTGCTGAGGATTTTAATGGATTTTACGTACCTAGGTCCTGGAGGCGGGCTTACCATCCATCCAACACCAAAGACCCTGAGAACTGCCACCAACTCATGGCAGGGTCCATGTTCGTTGGGGCCAAAGTGATGTTTTTACATGTAAGAGTCAATTTACCTATGAATTAACCTTCCAACTACCTCTGCTTTAGCCTTGGACCGAAATATATTTGGGGCCCCGATTGAAGTTATTTAATAGGCTCTCTCTCAGGTGAAGACCTGCCTCAGCCGTGATAAATGCCCTTGGGAAAAAAGGGAAGGCGGTGCCATGGGCATGCCATTTATCACCATGTGTATAACATCATTCATTTTATTCAATGAAGGCTTCAAATCAACCAACCAGTATAGGCGGAAAAGACATCCATGCTCCCGGAATTGGATCCAATATTTGCTTGGAAAAGCCACGGGTTCCAGTAACTATATAATCTCTATATATATATATATACCAGTAGTACCCGCACGAGGCGGGGCGGAAGTTGCCTTAAAGATATACATAAGACCTTTCTCATCTATAGAACTTGCCTGCGCCGTGCGCCAGCCAAGCCCGTGCGTGCGTGCACTGTGCGAAACTGGTGTCTTGTTTCACATGTCACATTTGAAGCTCCACTTCGCACTTCGCACTTCTCACTGCAGTCTTCACACTCCGCACTACACACTTCACACTCCACACTTCACACTGCACTCTTAAGACTCCACACTTCACACTCCACACGTCACACTCCACACTTCACACGTCACACTGCACTCTTCGCACTCCAAACTTCACACTTCACAGTCCACACTTCACACTTCACAGTCCACACTTCACACTTCTCACTTCTCACTGCTTTCTTCACACTCCAAAAACTTCACACTTCACACTTCACACTGCACTCTTCACGCCCCACACTTCACACTGCACTCTTCACACTCCACACTTCATCTCATCTGAGCCCTTCTCACCTTATCCCAGCTCATCTCTTCTCATCTCTTCTCATACAGTATGTCATCTAAGCTTTCATGAATCACTTCCCAGTACTATAATCATTGTCGCAGCCTTGAAGCACCCACTCCAATACGATTTACGATCTTCAGCTGCAAAAGACAATAGTATTACGTATGTAGCCGCTGCGCCAAGCAACCTTGACGCAGCCATTACAATGCGATCTGCAAAGACTGAGTTTCAAAGCACAATAGAACTATGCGCAACAGCGTCGGAAATTGCAGCTCCAAAACCGGGTCTCGACGCCAAAGCGACAAAAAGACGATTTTGAAGCACTTTTTAAAAGGAATTTTAAAAGGAAAATTACTAGCGCCAAAATTGCGAAAATCTGCTGACAAATCATTGTCGCAGCCTTGATGCAGCCATTCCAATACGATTTACGATCTTCAGCTGCAAAAGACAGTAGTATTACGCATGCAGCCGCGGCACCAAGCAACCTTGACGCAGCCATTCCAATGCGATCTGCAGAGACTGAGTTGCAAAACACAATAGAACTATGCGCAATGGTGTCGGAAATTGCAGCTCCAAAACCGGATCTCGACGCCAAAGCAGAAAAAAGACGATTTTGAAGCACTTTTTAAAAGGAATTTTAAAAGGAAAATTACTAGCGCCAAAATTGCGAAAATCTGCTGACAAATCACTATCGCAGCCTGGATGCAGCCATTATAATGCGTTTCGAAGCATCACGTCGCTAACCCGAATCTCTCTACGCAGATGGCAACACCAAATGACAACAATCATGCAGCCATTCCAATGCGATCTGCCACCACAGCTTCAAGAACCACATAGAACTACGCACACAGGAACAACCACTCGTTGCAAAACACATAGGAGGAACAATTCGCGACAGAAACGACCCCAGCCGCACCCGCCGCACAGACGAGGTACCTTTCACATGGGTCATTAAATGTCCCCATTGAACATCACCCAACCATTAAGTATATGGTCTATAATGGCTACTGTAAGGTGATGTCCAATATTCCCAAAATGGGACAGTTACCAATCCTGTTTCATCGCTGGCTGCAGCCACTTTACACGGAAAAACACAAGGTTTCGTGCTCCGGCTTCCTCCCCAAAACATAGCCCATGCAACATTCATGCAGCCATTCCAATGCGATCTGCAACCACAGCTTCAAGAACCGCATAGAACTACGCACACAGGAACAACCACTCGTTGCAAAGCACATAGGAGGAACAATTCGCGCATGAAACGACCCCAGCCGCACCCGCCGCACAGACGAGGTACCTTTCATCGCCCGCTGCAGCCACTTTACACGGAAAAACGCAAGGTTTCGTGCTCCGGCTTCCTCCCCAAAACATATCCCATGCAACATTCATGCAGCCATTCCAATGCGATCATGCAACCAGAGATTCAAGAACCGCATAGAACTACGCACACAGGAACAACCACTCGTTTTAAAACACATAGGAGGAACAATTCGCGCATGAAACGACCCCAGCCGCACCCGCCGCACAGACGAGGTACCTTTCTTCGCCGGCTGCAGCCACTTTATTGGGTACACGGAAAAACACAAGGTTTCGTGCTCCGGCTTCCTCCCCAAAACATAGCCCATGCAACATTCATGCAGCCATTCCAATGCGATCAGCAACCACAGCTTCAGGAAACGCATAGAACTACGCACACAAGAACAAGCACTTGTTGCAAAACACATAGAAGGAACAATTCGCGTCCGAAACGACCCCAGCCGCACCCGCCGCACAGACGAGGTACCTTTCATCGCCGGCTGCAGCCACTTTACACGGAAAAACACAAGGTTTCGTGCTCCAGCTTCCCTTCCTCACCACTTCCCTTCGTCACCACTCCCCTTCATCACCACTTCCCTTCCTCACCACTTCCCTTCCTCACCACTTCCCATCGTCACCGCTTCCCTTCGTCACCACTTCCCTTCCTCACCACTCCCCTTCATCATCACTTCCCTTCTTCACCACTTCCCTTCGTCACCACTTCCCTTCGTCACCACTTCCCTTCGTCACCACTTCCCTTCCTCACCACTTCCCTTCCTCACCACTTCCCATCGTCACCGCTTCCCTTCCTCACCACTTCCTTTCCTCACCACTCCCCTTCATCATCACTTCCCTTCTTCACCACTTCCCTTCGTCACCACTTCCCATCGTCACCACTTCCCTTCGTCACCACTTCCCATCGTCACCACTTCCCTTCGTCACCACTTCCCTTCGTCACCACACTTCCCATCGTCACCGCTTCCCTTCGTCACCACTTCCCTTCGTCACCACCCGTCATTATCACCACCCGTCATTATCACCACCCTTCATCAAGGTCAATTCCACTGCTTCTTATTCTTTTGTTATGTATTGTTATGTTATGTATTGTTACGTGATCTACCACCCTGCATCATTTCAAGTCGCAGAATTCTATTTGTCCGTAACACGGAAGTATTGCTTCCCAACTTCCTTTGATAAGTTGTTCCTTGGTCCAATCCAGTCATATTCAACCCACTGCAAGCCCACTGTTCCATCTTTACACCAAAAACAAACAGCGCCTTTATATAATCTCCTTTAATGCTTGGGATCCCCTTTGGTAATCAAGCATGGCTGGCTGGGAAATCCCCACCCTACAAATGGAATTTGTTAATGGGAACATCGTTTGCAAATAGGAGGCTTTCCAGAAAGCCATGTTTGACTACTGCAGGGTAAAGCCTGTGATGATCCAACTATATAAGGCGAAACTCAATGGTACGGGGATCGCACTATTTTTCTCCTTGGGTCATGAACCACTGAACACAACTTACCTGCCCCTACGTCTATGTATATATATATATATACATGCACATAAACCTATATCCTGATGTTGAAACTCCCAGTGATAGGCCCCCAAAATCAATAGTTTCAATGCTCAACTAAGGTTTTGATTGGGGAATATCATTATCAGGTGTATATATCGGGGATATAATACAAGTATATATATTAAATTATACATATCACATATATATATATATATATTTATGTATTTATATTATAGTTATATGTATATTTATAATATATACGTATGCCTTGGGGACTCCCAAAATGTAATCCCAGTATTTGCCAGGTTGTAGTGACAACAAAAGGAACCAACAAAATAGCCGCGTACTTGTTGCAAATCAAAGCCCCGTTCCGTGGATCAAAACCCAATTTCTGGACCAGCTCCAGATTTTGCCAGTTCAAGTCCCAATGTTTGAAAATCGGGAATCCATGGAAATCCCACTTGGGAGTCATGAAGAGTCCATTTCCCATCCTTTCCCTACGATCTGCCCCATTCAAATGGGTATTGGTCAATTGCATGCACAATACATGGGAGGGATAGCACCAAGAATGGCCAAAATCTGCGTCTTCGTGTTCACACATTGGATCCCCATTACGGATGACCATAATTTATAACCCGTATAGCCCACTATTGATAGTGAATCAACCAGCATTTTGGTGCTCAAATAGCACAGGGTCGGTCGAGCCTCTTGGATCCTATCCGCCAATTGAATCGCCAAGGTTGGTCCCGGTCCTCCGGGTCCTCCGGGGGTTGGCCATTGGCCAAATCTGACTTGGCATATTCCCTGTGTTCACCCCACAAGGGCTCAAGTCATTGGGGATATTGGGGCCCATCATCCCAGGGGAAATAAACACACACATATAGTTGAAACTTTTCAGGTAACATGACGGGCAGCGAGGATGCAATTGGGTGCAGCAACATACCTTCCTGGCCCCGGATTGCCTTCTCTGATGATGGTTTCCCCGCACAAATTTTGGACATATTGCCGGACCCTCAGGGTATTATATAGATAATGGTCAAGACTACATTCATTTCATATCATCCACCATTCAAACTCCAATAGCTGTGCAGAAAAGCGAAGGGAACAAAATCGTTCACAAAGCCTTGGCAAGTGTCCGTTCCTCCTCTGAACCCACCATTTTTTGGAGGGGAATCGACTGTTTGACCCGCATCCCCCTATTGTTGCTAGGTTATTTTGATTTGGTGGGTTGCAATACCATCTTTCGTCAAGCGGAACTGTTCCTTGATACCACTTTCCGGCGCTTGTTGTTCTTCCACTATTGAGATGTTACCTCCTAACGAAAATTGAGTTTGTTGACCTTGAGTCATGTTAGGGAGATGGCAAAACGACCCAACAAGTGGTGAAACCAAATTTTGATGCGTGAGCGATGTTAACCACCAATTAAAATGATTCATTGAATAATCCCAGCCCCGTAATACGAAACACCCCAATTCTATGGTACCAATTACGTGTAAATCCCCGGTTTATGGGTCCGGGTACCTGTACTGGCAGCGCCCGTTGCCGGCTGTGCCACGGGCTGCAGCACCGGCTGTGGCACCGGCTGCGGCATCGGCTGCGGCATCGGCTGCGGCATTGGCTGCGGCATCGGCTGCCTGACCAGCTATTTGCGTAGCTTTGGCAATGCGTGTATGGATGTATAGGTGGGTGTATGTATATATATATATATATATAATTAATTATGTCTATGCGTGTGGGTATATATATATATGTATTTGTATGATATCACTATATCATATCATATGATTGTGTATTTGGGTGTATGTGTGACTGAAAATGCGGGAAACCATTGAAACATTCATGGGATGTAAGACCAACTTCCTACGTATGTATGGGTATGTCTGAAAAATGGGTAAGCCTCCCAAATTCACACTACTATTTTGAGATAAGACAGTATCCTTGTACGCGACATGCAAATGCATGTGAGAAATATATGGACATGTATCAACATCATCTGTTGGATCCGGTTCCCCTACCTGTCTACATGCCCATCCGCCTATCCATCAAAAGCGTTATCATGAACACCTGATTGTACTAGGCAATCTCCGAAATTCACTGCTGGAAGTGAATAGCCACGTTACCCAGTCGCTGTAAAACATTGTAAAACCATGTATATATATATGTGTAAATATTGATCACACTTATCTATCATGTACAAAAAGAACAATTACATGAATTTACTTTGAACATAATATGTAGTATCCAAATATGTATGTGAACATCTTGATATACATGTATAAAGTACGTGCTGTACACTGTATGTATATATATATATATATCTGCCCTCCGGTATTTTTGAGGTAGCGATGGAACATGACCCATTTACTTGGATGATTTCCCGTTCTTACAAATGGTGATTTTCAAGTTCACAAACTCTTACAATAAATTCCCAGACTCACGAAGGTTCTATTCTATGTCTAGGCACCCGGTACTCAAAAGCTGGCAATCCCAGAGCTAAATGGAGTTCTTATAGCTGGAAAAATCGTGGGAAAATTAAAATATTTTTTTAAACATGCTAAACAAGGTTTACAGTCGGGAAAATCATCTATAAATGGTAGATCTTCCAGCAAGCCATGGAGCTGTTGATTGGGGGGTCATCGCCGCGATCGCACCTATCTGCCGGCGGGCCGCCCGGAGGTGGTGGAGGCGGCTGTGAAAACTGAGCGAATAGATGCGGCGATGCGGCTGGATCCAATGGGAATGGTTATGGAAAGGGGGAGAACCATGGATAACTGGTTGGTGGTTTTAACCATCTTGAACAATATTAGTCAGTTGGGATGATTATTCCCAATATATGGAAAAATGTTTGAAACCACCAACCAGATATAACCAGATAATAATAAGGTGTAAAGCAGTGTAAAAAATAAGAACAGTGGATCCCATTGTATATCTCCACTTTTTCATGGAGAACAGTACATTACCTGTTGGGTTTTATCAATTACATATGCATATGCAATCGTTAGAAAAATCCTCATAAACTAAATACAAATAAACAAATGAGATACAGTATTCATACACATGTATACAGTATACAAATATGTATATGTATATATATATATAGTCATCCTGGAGTAGATAGAATAGCGGACATTTTCAAAAAGGATTTTCAAAAAAAAAAATAGTTGGAATATCTTTGAAACCCTCAGTTTTTACACGTTTTTCGTCTTTGTTAAGTCATTTTTAGCCAGTTTTGGACACGTGTCTGGAGAAATTTTGAAAAATACAAAAATCAAACAACACCAAAAAATAGATAGAATATTGTTTCAAACCAGGTAGATAGAATATTTTGAGGGAATTGTGACCACCACGCGCAGGCCCCACAGCAGCTTGAGACCCTCCAAACCATATTCCAACTACCAGTTTTCGACCTCCCCGGGGGGGTCGAAATATTCCAACTACTTATTTTTTTTCAGTGGCCGACATCCAACATAATTCCATCATAAATCCCGCGCCCTCCAAAAAAATATTCTATCTACTTTAGGATCACTATATATATATATGTGTGGCAAGCCCAAAAAAAAAGAAGCTAGGAAATCCTACTAAAGTAGTGATAAACTACCAACGAAAACGAAAAAAAACAACTCTTTTCTGCGCGATTACTATATTATATATACATATATATATATAGATAGATAGTAGTGCAAAATCAAGTATTGCTATTCTTCCTGTGATACACCACTGCTGTGATATTCAGCGTGTATATATATAAGATGAAACAGGCGTGTAAAAACATTGGTGTGTAACAATATCATCATGGAATATATACAATTGATTCAAGAACAATATGTTGGTATTATTATGTTGATATATGTATTTTGGTTAAGTCAGAATGGCATGCAATAGCTGTCCAACAAAACAATATATGACAATTGCATTATGGACCGGTTAAAGGCTTTGACGCGTGTATATCGGCCAACAGTAATAATCATACTTGGGAAATGGTAGGCTATTACATTCCAGTGGGTATATAGCAAAAGGATGCAAAAGGATATGGTATAATGATCCGCAACCCCTGGTCACATTCAAAGCACAATTTTGACGACCCCAAATAAAATGAATCAACACAATACTGAACCAGGGGTTTGCAAAGTTGGTATTAATGTTGTGGGAACGGGGTTAATATGGTTAATCAACCAGCCAGTATGAAAAGGACATCATGTCCACCCATGGTTTTTGGATGAAATTCCATTTTCATTAGGGGATGGGATGAACATATCTATGTTTGGCACACGCTTTCGCACCTCTTTTTGGAGGTTAGTGTACAATAAATGCTGAACCCTTCACAACATTTTGGTGGAGACGGGATTAATCTGGCCAAAAACAGACCTGAAATGATGGTCTGTTTTTGGATGATCTTCCAAATAGGTCATCATTTATGGGGTGTGTCAGCCAGGGCGGTGTATCAGAGTAGCCCAGGCAGTCTTAGATTGGCTAACGCGAATGGAAACATAATCCATCACCGCGATATTTATACAAGCACACTGTCTTTTTGGCATCATTTACAATGGGAAGTCCAAATTTGAAGCAAGATCTAATAAACCAAACCCAATTTACTAGTTTAGGTTCATTATTGGGTATACGTCATACCCTTGTTTAGAACGATTTATAGTACGGAGCCCCCAAATGGCTCATTGCTGGGATGGTCTATGGCACCGGGTCTACTACAGTATTTAAAATGGGACCGTTGGGCATACCAAACGTTTTCAAATCCACGCAGGATGGCTCCTCTTGCCTGAGATGTGTTTAGTTGTATAACTGCTTAACAACTGGCTATGATCAACGAGTTGCATTAATATAGTGGCGCTGAAAGCTGGGGTAATAGGTCAGCTAACATGCAAATCATTAGCCAATTCAATCCAGTTATTACCCGTTACCTTATCTTATGACCCATCTAAACATCACTGAAGAAATTCACAAAACTCTTGCATAACATGCCCATCTTTGCGGATTTTCGCAGCATTTGACAGCTAAGAAAATAATGATGCAGAAAAAATGGGTGTCCAAGTCCAAAACAAATCAGAAAAGAGTCACAAAAAAATATTGAGGGCAAAACAATCATAAACCACCCCATTTTTGATGGTTTATACCACCTATTTATGGTGATATGGGGGATTGTTTATTATTGCTTTAACCACATTAATCAAGAAAACGCTTGAAACGACGCCATGCACCGAAGGATTCTTATCATTTCTTATCTGCTTGGTGAAATTCCTGCGGGGTCCAGAAGTGGCGACCCTTTAATGTTCCGAACAGCCCGCCTGCTCCGGAACACAAATGTGACAATATTCGCCTGGGTAGTTTCTGCAAAGTCTCAGGAAAGGCCTCCAAATCCCTATATGGGCAGTGCCTGGTCTGATGCAAGATAGACTAATCCAGATTCAAAAAAATGTATACCAATGCAATTGATTGCGCTCCAATGTCACGCTAAATACGCTAAAGAAGCAATTCGTCACAGGGCCATCACCGTTGGAACAGCGGTGCCCAAAACTACCACTTCTCCACTCTGCAAAATGTAGAGAAAAAACAATCCAAACCTACAAACCTCGAATGGAATGTGTTTCCCATGCTGCAAAATGGAGGACCTCAAAACTTTCAGGATATGACAGTCCCAGATTTGGAGAATGGTGAGATGTAGTACATGTAGTTATCTTGGTGTAAAACCAAATAAGGTTTCAATTTTCAATGGATTGGTTTAAGGGGAAATTTACAAGAAAACCCCATATTTCATGGGAAAATCTATGGTTTCCTATAGATTTTCCCTGAAACCTATCCTTTGAAATTTAGTTGTTGGTCCAGGCCAGCCATTCGCTGCCGTTGTGCCCGTCTGACCGTTTAGCAGGATAGCAGTCATCCCTTCATCAAAACCGGGTCCATGTTCAGCCCCCAAATCTAGGATTCGACATACTTAAACCGATAATTAAATCCTATATATAGAATATTTATTTAAAGCAGTTCCCAAGGATATAAGATGTTCATAGACTTTCCCAGTTCCATGACTCCAGAAAACTGCTGAAAACCCAGGAGAGCAATGCTCCTAAATTATCCAAAATCTGCATCTAATGGATACGATGGAACTTTGGGATGGTAGTAGGTTGGTTTGCGCAGTGCTTGCACCACTGAAAAAACCAACGTATACCACTCATCAAATGAACATAGACCCTGAGAACATCTGATTTTTTAAAGGCAAAAGCCTTCCAAAGCCCATTGTGGTTGGTTTCATATACATGTTTGTTGTTGACATTCCTGTGAATTCCAAGTTGTTTTCCCGATGAAATTGTATTACCCACTAAATCGGAGAAAAAAAACTTGTAATGTCGGTCTCTGATTAGTAGCTAGGTTCGCTATTGTGGCAATTTTTCAAAATTATTCTGAAACCCATGTATTGTTTGGAGGGTTCACTTTTGTGGCAAAAAAATGGAGATGTTTTTTTTTGAAAAAAAACAGCCTGTAATTGCTGAGAGGAAGACTTTTTTTCCAAAAGCAATTGCCAAATTCAAACTCCAAGCCTTGGGGCCAATCCCTTATTAAACCCTTATTAAAGAATAGCTTTCCACAATTTTCCAAGGCCCTGGACCAGGAGAGGCTCCATTTCACTTTAGTAGGTTTGTTTGCTGGGTTCACTATTGTAGCAAGCTGTGCCAGAGCAGCTCCTGGAAGCCCAGAAGAGAAGCAAGCCTTTTCCAAAAGCAATTGCCAAATTCAAACTCCAAGCCTTTCCCAAAGGAGCAAATCCTTATTAAACCCTTATTAAAGAATAGCTTTTCCACAATTTTCCAAGGCCCTGGACCAGGAGAGGCTCCATTTCACTTTAGTAGGTTTGTTTGCTGGGTTCACTATTGTAGCAAGCTGTGCCAGAGCAGCTCCTGGAAGCCCAGAAGAGAAGCAAGCCTTTTCCAAAAGCACTTGCCAAATTAAAACTCCAAGCCTTTCCCAAAGGAGCAAATCCCTTATTAAACGCTTATTAAGGAACAGCTTTTCCACAATTTTCCCAGGCCCTGGGCCCGGAGAGGCTCCATTTCACTTTAGTAGGTTTGTTTGCTGGGTTCACTATTGTAGCAAGCTGTCCAGAGCAGCTCCTGGAAGCCAAAAAGAGAAGCAAGCCTTTTCCAAAAGCAATTGCCAAATTCAAACCCCAAGCCTTTCCCAAAGGGGCCAATCCCTTATTAAACCCTTATTAAAGAACAGCCTTTCCACAATTTTCCAAGGCCCTGGACCAGGAGAGGCTCCATTTCACTTTAGTAGGTTTGTTTGCTGGGTTCACTATTGTAGCAAGCTGTGCCAGAGCAGCTCCTGGAAGCCCAGAAGAGAAGCAAGCCTTTTCCAAAAGCAATTGCCAAATTCAAACTCCAAGCCTTTCCCAAAGGAGCCAATCCCTTATTAAACCCTTATTAAAGAACAGCTTTTCCACAATTTTCCAAGGCCCTGGACCAGGAGAGGCTCCATTTCACTTTAGTAGGTTTGTTTGCTGGGTTCACTATTGCAGCAAGCTGTGCCAGAGCAGCTCCTGGAAGCCCAGAAGAGAAGCAAGCCTTTTCCAAAAGCAATTGCCAAATTCAAACTCCAAGCCTTTCCCAAAGGAGCAAATCCCTTATTAAACGCTTATTAAAGAATAGCTTTTCCACAAATTTCCAAGCCCCTGGACCAGGAGAGGCCCCATTCACTTTAGTAGATTTGTTTGCTGGGTTCACTATTGTAGCAAGCTGTGCTGGAAGCCCAGAAGAGAAGCAAGCCTTTTCCAAAAGCAATTGCCAAATTCAAACTCCAAGCCTTTCCCAAAGGAGCAAATCCCTTATTAAACGCTTATTAAGGAACAGCTTTTCCACAATTTTTCAAGGCCCTGGACCAGGGGAGGCTCCATTTCACTTTAGTAGGTTTGTTTGCTGGGTTCACTATTGTAGCAAGCTGTGCAAGCTGTGGGTACTACAAGTACTACAAGTACTACAAGTACTACAGGTACTACAAGTACTACAAGTACTACAGGTACTACAGGTACTACAGGTACTACAAGTACTACAAGTACTACAAGTACTACATGTACTATAATTATATACTACAAGTACAACAAGTACTACAGGTACTGCAACTACAAGTACTACAAGTACTACAAGTGCTACAAGTACTACAAATACTGCAAGTACTACAGGTACTACAAGTACTACAGGTACTACAAGTACTACAAGTACTACAGGTACTACAGATACTACAAGTACTACAAGTACTACAAGTACTACAAGTACTACAAGTACTACAAGTACTACAAGTACCGCAAGTACCACAAGTTCATCGGCAAAAAACAGTTTTAATTAGATTTCAATTGTAGCCAATTGAAGTCCTTAAGTGAGGATTTGTTTTTCTCTTGGGAAGTTTTTTTTGGAATTTCCACTTTATAGAGAGTCCAAATATTGTTTAATCAGGAACCAACATTACAACTAATGTTTTTATCCATCGGGAAAGACCCATTTCATACCCGTTAAAGACCCATTGTACAAACCATGTATTTTGGATGCTAATGAAGGATGGTAGTCATTTCCGAATCTGCTGGCCGAATCTGCTGCCGAGTTTCAGTCTTCACCCTCTCGGCAGCCACTAGTTGTCCACAGGAGCAAACAAGGCCTGGCGAAAGGTGGGCATCCTATATAACATTCTGGCTGAAGTATAATCTTGTTTCACCAAACTGAAAATAAGTAAAACAAAACAATTTGAGATAATTCCCCTTGCTAATCATCACTCAAGTCACGTCACAGTGTGGTCACTATTTTTTTCGAAAGCGATATGCAGTACAGAATGCATTACACGTCAGCAGCAGTATTCCCATGGCTGGTTATATATATATATATCAATCATTTGGGGGTAATGCTATTCCATTGTTTTCGGTGTTCAGCAAGTGGCAAGAGGAGGTGAATCAAATTTGGTTCATGCTGGTGGAGGAAAAATGTTTTAATTCAACCGTGGTGAAATGACGTGAAATGGGTATAGGAACGGAGTAAATGTCCTAATCTTGGAGGATAGCTTGGACTATCGGGGTGTAGACTCGGAGTTTTTGTTTTTGTTCGCTTTTGGGAGATGAGAGGGTGACGAGAGAATGGGTCAAGGGACTTGAAGGCAAAGGACGCTTGAGAGCAGCGAAAATGGATGTCCGGGGCAGGGGAAGAGGTAGGGGTGATGAATGAGCCAAGGTGCTTGGCCGACTGGAGAGGGAGAGGGGAGTCAAGGGAAGAAGGCTCCGGAGCAACAGTAAAGAAAGGGGGGCAATCAGGACAATCACAGTGCTGGAAGGCACAAACCCGGAGAGAGAGAGAGAGAGAGAGAAACAGGGGAGGGGTGGATGCAGAGGAGTTGACATTTGGAGCCATTGAGTAGGAGCCCACTGTGGGCAGCAAGGTGTTGGAGGAGATGAAGGAGGCGAGATAGAGTGTCATGTGTACGGGCAATAAGGCAGGACAGTGTCGTCAGCGTATTCAACATCGGTCAGAGGGTGTGAAGGAACTGTATGATAAAATTTCGTCCAAAAAGGAATGGAGGTCGGAGAGTCGGAGGTGAGTGCTGATAAGACGACAATGAAGAGATCTGGGCTGAGGGGACAGCCCTGACGGATACCTCGATGTAGGGGGAAGTGTGGAGAATCAGAGGTGAAGTCTGAGACAAAGAATTTGGTGTTAGAGGGCCATGATGGCCTGGACCAACACAGGTGAGACTCCGTAGCGGGCTGCGGCAAGATGAGTGTGACTAACTGAGTCAAAGGCTTGAGACAATTGGTGAGGTCACGATAATTCATCCAAATCACATGGGCAGGGCCAGACTTATCAACCAATGAGTGGCTGGTGGTTTGGTTTGGTTTGGCATCCTGGGGATATCCATCAATTACGCATTGGTTCAACTTGTGCACCCTCCCGTCATCAAACATGGCTGGCTAGAAAATCCCCAAACTAAACGGGTTTTTTAATGGTAAACTCATCAAACTTAGTGGCTTAATTGATGGGAAAGTGTCCGTTGCTGTGTTTGATACCATCAACCCCAGCTAGATATGATCCAATAACCAGTGACTGACTGGAATGCACATATGTACTGTATCATCCATAATGCAGCAAAGCCGTTGAAACGGGAGTCAAGTTTCAAGAATCTTCTAGATGATTTATATAATGTCGGCCCTGGATTAATATATAAAACCCCACTTTACAAATAGGGGGAGGTGCCCAAATTAGCTATAACCTCTATTCTAAATGGTACTCTCCGATTTCAATAATTAAACTGAGAGGGCAATTCTTCCTGGGTTGACATCATTCTAGTATTCATTACAGTATTGGGTTTACCGGCCACATTTCCCACTCAACCAATCCGCTTTGTTTCAACCGCGCCTGCAGCGCTGCTTGCCCGGCATCCCATGCAACTCCGAACCCCGAGACCACCGTGGCCTGGTTGGAGCTGAGTCCCAAGGTGCTAAGAGGATAATGACAACCATATCATCAAAATGTACATCTCTCTCTCTCTCTCTCTCTATCGCCTTCATACATCAGTCTCATGACAATTTGATGCGTAATACGTCATACAGATATATATATATATATATATTATGTAGTCTGTAAATACGCATATGTATGCAGTATGATGGGATACCGCAATATATGAGTTACAAACTAACCACAGACTGATGCACACAAGTGGTTGGCTCCAAGCTGGGAACGGAAGAACTTCATAATGGGACATGTTGATCAGATTCTCATTGACACTCATGAAAAATCATCAGAATATAGATTTGCGTTGAACTCTGTGAGTATAATATTGCTAAGTTCCCATGTTTGATTGGTAAACCATGCAAATTATTTTGAACAAGCATGATTTACGTTGATCGAGGTTGGGATGTCTATCACGGGCAATCGGTGATGACTTTAAGCCGTCAAAAGGAGAAAATCATCTATCAATGACCGTGGTTAAACTTCTACACTAATTATACACTAGAGAGGAACAGAAGATAATGATTAACTGGATGAATATATATATACATATTCATATTATAGAGGTTTTGCTGATTAATCATGGAATTAAGATTAATTGTGTAACGTTTTGAACCTATAATGCAGAACGATGGACTGTCGGAAAAAGAAAAAACAACGCATTCAAATAAATGCCATCACCGGCTCATGTTCTTACCGTTAGAAGCATTAACAATCATCGATGGCCACTGTGGCTGGCGGTCTTGGTTACCACTTGGGGCTGCAGTTCCAGTGAACTAAATGGGTATAGTTCACTGAAGTTCTACCGGCCCCATATCCCAACATATGGGTTATAGTCCAATAGTTGTATTTTGTTTTTTTTTTCACACCCCAACTGCCCCTAATGGAATCCATTTCCATGATCCATGAGTTGCTCCATAACATGGTGGGGCATACTTCAACTTAAAAATAAACATATCAACCAGCAACCAGGTCAGCATTGGATATATATATATACACATGATGGTTACATTATCCAAATTTGAGATGATTCAAAATTTGATGGTTAAATAAATCAAAATTGTGATCGTTAAATCCACATTCTTGATGGTTACATGATTCCAAATTGTCCTGTCATGGTTAACTCCTCAGTTTTGATGGTGAAGTTGCTCCAATTTTTGTTGGTTAAAAGCTCCACATGTTTGATGGTTATGTTTTTCCAAAATGGGTTGGTCAAAACTAATTTTTGATTGTAAATTCAATTCCAATTGTTTTCGCAAAATCCACATGTTTGATGATTAAACTAGTCCAGAATGTGTCAGTAAAATCACATGTTTGATGGCTAAATTAATCCAATTTGCATCCGTCAAATCCACATTTTTTGTTGGTTAAACTATCCCAAACTGCGTTGGTTATTAAATCTACATGTTTGATAGTTCTATTAATCCAAATTGTGATGGTTAAATCCACATCTTCGACACTTCGATGGTGAAACGAATCCAAATTGTGTCATTTACTTTATGGTATCCCCTGGTATATCTTGGTATTTTCCGGATCAAATCCTATTTTCTTGGTATTTTGGTACTTTCTTGGTATTTTGTCTGGTTAAATCAGCATTTTTCATAGCCAAAAGTGCTATTTCTTGCGGTTTGAATCCGGTGAAATCCTCCAAAATCTGCCCGTTCGTTCACAGCGAGGGACCCGGAGCTGGGATCTATGGGCGGCACCGGGGACAGCCTGAGGCCAAAAAAAACCGACGTTTGGGACAGTTACTGTGGATGGTTGCGAAATCCTGCATCACCTTGGATGGTTGAAACCCATTTAAACCGTATAAATAATGGGATAAACCATCTATCAACTGGTGCAGGATTTCGCAACCATCCACAGTAGTACTATAATTCTTCCATATTTTTCCCACGCGTACCAGAGTTCAACCAAAGGGTATGCCATAGTTGTTACCATAGCTATATATTATATACATACCATAGTTAAACAATACCGTATATACCCAAAAATGATCAACATGAGGGGTGAAACCCTGGTGAATCATGGTGAACCATGGCGTTTCACTTTTACCGCAACTATCTGCCATATATGGATCTGACAACATCTGTTACAACTTTTTTCAACATGGGGATAGATAGATTTCTTAAATGATCTTAAATTGATGCCTGAGTTACTATCATGTGATTGGGAAACACAATTCGTAGCTCCATAGCTCCACCTCTGACATGGTGATACCAGGATGGTTCATGGATCGAGCATGGCATCGTTACATTAAAAAAAAAATATGAGCATAAAAATGTGAAAGAAACACCTGCCAAGCATATGATATGAAAAAACTATATATATATAATATATATATATATATATACAGTAATTATAAACATGTGAAATGGAATTGAACTGGTCATTCTAGTCTATGTTTGGCGAAGATGTCCAAATTCTGAGTTTCATTAGCCATGACAGCGGTACCAGCGGCCCCTGGATGTTCCCTACTCGGCTTCGGGAGCTGGAACGACTTCCTCCTCCAGCCTGGCACCATGAATCCATGACCCGTTGAGGGCACCAATGTTTTCCCCAAAAAGATGGGAGGCCCGGAATTCTCAGCAAAGTCTGGGAGATCCTCTAGCAGCATGCGTTTCAAAGCCGTTGGAAAAATAGCATCGTTTTTTTCTTGGGCAAAACGACAAAACATACAGATATCAGATTCAAGTTGTTTGTTACCCACCATTCACATCCTATTGTGTTGCACCCTCTCTCTCTCTCTCTCTTCTCTCCATCACAAACAATGTTGTGCCTTTTTCGTGGCTGCAATAGCAAGTGGACCAGCAGTCAAACAAACGGATACTGTATGGGCAAAAAAAAGAAGGCCCGAACACGTGAGACTATATAAATCATTAAACCGTGTTTTTTTTTGCAGCTGAAATGAACTAAAGACCATTGAGCGTGACTAGCCCGTCAGTGCCGCCTTTGGGACTCAAATCTAGACTGGCCGGCTTTGCCAACACCAGTGTGATATATCAATATATATATATATATGTATCATATGTTTGTTCATGCATCTTGGACCGTCAAAGAATATACATCAACGTGCTATGGACCATCATCCAATAAAATCGATGGAAAGTAACAAATGAAACCCCCAAGCCATGTTCCATGCACGGGAAAAACACTACAGAAATGGATCGTCTTTACGGTGAATGTGTGCTGAATGTTTGGTTGGCCAGTTGGCCACTTGTGCCCCACCGGCGGGCCCTACCGGGCCTGCGGTCTTTGCCATCTCCCTTTGCCTTGCCCTGGCCCTTGCTCCTTTTTCTGGCCTATGGGGAGCACAGGACTGGTGGTTCACTCATGAGGAGGAGGAGGATGCGGGAGATACGGGTTGTTACATGTTATTACTGTAACAATGAGGAAAAAAAGGAACATCACAGTATTGATAGAATCAAGTAACGTTGTACAAACAAATCAATGGCTTTCCTTTCAACCCATGCACAAAGAATTGCGAATTGGATTTCGCCCGGAAAGGGGATGGCAACTTTTCGAAACTGCCGTTGCAAGATAGATATGACCGTTTACTGATATGAATATGTGCTTGACAGCATGTGTGTATAAATATATATATAGAGGGATATAATATATATATAGGGACAGCCACAGATTTCCACTGGTGGCCAGCTGCTGCAGTGGTAGATAAGGCCTCCCCCATTCCCATCTGAAGTGCTGCCGGTTAAACATGAAGGGATCGTTCAAAATCCTCTCAAGTGGATACCCCTAAACCATCCAATAACCATCCACTTAAGAGGATTTTTCATTTAATTTGAAACCAACCGTTTGGGGGTACCGCCATTTATGGAAACCCCCATAAGCCCCCATATCAAAACATATCAAAAGAGGTCGCGACTGGTCAAGTACCAGTGCCAGCATCATTAGAGTTCGAACACGCCCCAGGCCAGGTTGCATGCCAAGGAGCATTCGCTGGACACAGGTGGCAATGGGAGCAGTCCTGAACACTTCCAACAATTTGTGGTTTCTCACGTTGATTTTAAGGCAAAATGTTGCCTCATCAGATTCGGAAATCAGTGGATATTGGAAACTCATCAAAACTGCTATAGCACATACAATTTTGAATTTTGATCCATTTTGGTCACCAAAACAAAATGGTGAGACTGTTTTCCGTGGTTGACCATTCCCCCAACTGCCCCAACTAAGATGGAGTCAGTCGGGAGTTACAAGTTACAAGACTAGTTTCCTCTAAAAATGGGGCCATTCTCAGGGTCAAAATGGTCAAACTCTAAAGAAACATAAGTTACATAAACTATCCCATCAGTGAACCAACAAGCCAATAAGCCATAAGTTGGCTAGATGTTAGTTGCTTGCAATGAGTTCCTATTGGATCCCGTCAAAAACCCCGATGATTTCCCTACAATATCCCCAGTATAGCATAAGATCCCCGAAAATAGTCCGCATGTTTTTCACGTACACTATATGGTTGGATTGTATTTTTTCTGAGAATTTCCCAAAAGTTCTCGGCAACCTGTTAGATGGGGACATATTTCTGCAAGTTTTACAGCTCCTGCCGACCCACTTTGTTCCAAGACACCTGGGAGTTTCTACAGCCACCGGGTTTGTGAAACCATGCGCAAGGGCGGCAGGTGCCCGCAGCATGGCCGCTGGAACCTGTTATTGAAAGGCAGAAATCTAGAGATTCTGCGAATAGTATGTGTATAATTGACACCTCGGATATCTATAGAAATTCTGTGAACATGTGACCGGTAATAATATAACTAACTAACACCTGGGATATCTATAGAAATCCTGTGAACGTATGTAAAGCATATGTATATAAAAGAAAAGCCAACACCATCCAAACAGGTACAACAATATTTCCAGGATAGTTCAATCATGCTTCCACCCACAGTTTCCAGCGTCCAACGTTTCTCTCCATGTATTTGGGGATGCTATAGTGTGGCATGATATGATGTATCATATAATCCGTCAATCTTTACATCCAAATGCATGTGATTCACTATATGATAAATACACCTGAAAATCAAATGACCCGTTTTCTGAAATGTTTGATGCTGGGGGTTACGGATGGATCAACAATTAACAATGGAATTTGGATGGCTAGTACTGGCCATGGGAAACATAATTCGATCACCCTTTCCATGTGCCAACTACCTTCCAAAAACGAGGTCGTCTTGAAATGATTTCGCATACACCCATTCAATCCAAAAAAACAAACCCATTGCTTGCAACGATGTAAACGTCAACCGACAACCGTACAACATCATCAAATGTAATACCATACAAAGTCAAAAGGCATGCTATATGCATGCCAGTCAGGAGACGCAATGCAAATGGACCAATATATCTCCACAAGTGAATGTATAGTCGTGTATGTGTATATTAATGTTGATACACACATATATATATATAATATACATATGTAAATATATATATATATACACATATATAAATATATATATACATTGATATACTGTAACTGTACACTTCTATAACAGGATCCATATAGAAAACCATGAACATGAAATCTATGAATAGAGTAGTGACACATGGCTTTGTTTGAAAATATGCTACCCATGGGAACCCCTAAACCCGGCCTCTTCAGACATATACATATATCATGTCAGTCGTTGGTGTTTAATCTTATATCCCAAACATATCCCAGGTGTTTCATGGTAGTTATGTAAGTCCCTTGTTTAATGATTAAACTTCATGGTTGTTCATGATGTAAAGATCTCCCCGTAGACCGCCAGGGCCGCTAGGGGAGCCTTTGGATGGCACGGAATCCGACACATGGTAGGTGATGGGGCCTGGACCACGGGAAATAAACGGCTGAGATTAATAGCTTATGTGACATATGTGGAAATTATGAGCCACACGCAATTACATATATATAAATATAATTACAGTACTAACTGGGATGAGGGTGCGTGGCTACTCTCAGATGGTATACTTGGGTTTTTGCTGTTTCCCTTTCCAATGCTTTGACTTTAGATCTCTTAGCGGGTCATGTGGTAAATCTGTCCGACCGCGAAAACAGAAAGCATCAAAAATAAAGTATATGGCTATAATTCACCCAGAAAAATATAGGCAGTAAGGGGGAAAAAAACAGGGAAATCAAAAAAATCAAGAAAATCATGTGCAAAGAAGTATGTCAGGAGGTGATTCATTGAGTTGCGGTAATTCCTTATAGCTTATCGTTTGGTTGGGTGGCTAGCTATTGCCGTTAGAAAATCACTGGTCAAGTCCCTCTAAAATCAGCTAGCTCCTGCGTTGTCTGTTGTTTCGCCAGTTCATAGCTATTTTGTTGGAAAACAATGTTCCATAGGTTTGTCTGAATATAATGTGCCAATTTGATGTGGTTCCATCATGTTCACCATGTTCATGGCAATTTGAGAGTATGACCCATCTTCAGAAGCACACATATCCTCTGGTTGGTGCATATTTTCCAACATATGCCGTCATACACCCATTATGGTTGGTTAAACCCATTTTTTGTTGGTTACATCACAGCTATTGATGTTAAAACTATAAATATCATTGTTGGTTAAACCCCATTTAATGTTAGCTAAACCTTTTTTTTTATGTTGCAATCAAGTTTGTTGAAGGATAACATATGTTAAACTCATCATTTTTGCAGGTCAAATAGCTGTTCAGCTCATGATTTCATGCTCATGGCCCCATGGCCGCCTTCGCGGGCCTCATCCCAACCTGGATTCTGAGTGTCAAACAAACCACACTGATAGTGATCTTGACACTAACACACACATATAAATATATATATATATATATATGATTGTATGTAATTGAATGTAATTGTATGTCATTGTATGTCATTGTATGTAATTGCATGCCATTGTATGTAATTGTATGTAATTGCATGTAATTGCATGTAATTGCACGTAATTGTATGTCATTGTATGTCATTGTCTGTCATTGTATGTAATTGTATGTAATTGCATGTAATTGCATGTAATTGCACGTAATTGTATGTCATTGTATGTCATTGTCTGTCATTGTATGTAATTGTATGAAATTGTATGTAATTGTATGTACTTGTATGTCATTGTATGTCATTGTATGTCGCTGTATGTCATTGTATGTCATTGCATGTCATTGCATGTCATTGTGTGACATTATACATCAGTATGTAATTGTATGTCATTGTATGTCATTGTATGCAATTGTATGTAATTGTATGCAATTGTATGTCATTGCATCTAATTGTATGTAATTGTATGTAAATGTATGTAATTGTATGTCATTGTGTGTCATTGCATGTCATTGCATGTCATTGTGTGTCATTGTATGTCATTGTATGTCATTGTATGTCATTGTATGTAATTGTATGTAATTGTATGTAATGGTATGTAATTGTATGTAATTGCATGTAATTGTATGTAATTGCATGTAATTGTATGTAATTGTATGTAATTGCATGTACTTGTATGTAATTGTATGTCATTGTATGCAATTGCATGTAATTGCATGGAACTGTATGTAATTGTATATAATTGTATGTAATTGTATGTCAATGTATGCAATTGCATGCAATTGCATGCAATTGTATGTAATTGCATGTACTTGTATGTCATTGTATATCATTGTATGTCATTGTCTGTCATTGTATGTAATTGTATGTCATTGCATGTAATTGAATGTCATTGTCTGTCATTGCATGTCATTGTCTGCAATTGTATGTCATTGCATGTCATCTGTACTTGTGTGTCATTGTATGACAGTGTATGGATATAATTGTATGTAATTGTATGTAATTGTATGTAATTGTATGTAATTGTATATAATTGTATGTATGTAATTGTATGTATGTAATTGTATGTATGTAATTGTATGTAATTGTATGTATGTACTTGTGTGTATGTAATTGTATGTATGTATTTGTATGTATCTAATTGTATGTAATTGTATGTAAGTAATTGTATGTATGTAACTGTATGTATGTAATTGTATGTATGTAATTGTATGTATGTAATTGTATGTTTGTAATTGTATGTATGTGATTGTATGTATGTAATTTTATGTATGTACTTCTATGTATGTATGTAATTGTCTGCATGTCTGTAACTGGATGTAATTGTATGTCATTGTATGTCATTGAATAACATTGTATGTCATTGTATGTCATTGTATGTCAATGTACGTCATACTGTATGTCATACTGTATGTCATACTGTATATCATTGTATGTCATTAAATGTCATTGTATGCCATTGTATGTCATTGTATGTAATTGTATGTAAATGTATGTATGTATGTAAATGTATGTAATTGTATGTATGTATGTATGTACGTATGTATGTACGTATGTAATTGTATGTAGTTGTATGTAATTGTATGTAATTGTTTGTAATTGTATGTAATTGTATGTATGTAATTGTATGTATGTAATTGTATGTATGTAATTGTATGTATGTAATTGTATGTATGTAATTTTATGTATGTATGTAATTGTATACATGTATGTAATTGTATTTGTGTATGTAATTGTATTTAATTGTATGTAATTGTATGTAATTGTATGTAATTGTATGTAATTGTATGTAATTGTATGTAATTGTATGTACTTGTATGTAATTGTATGTATGTATGTATGTATGTATGTATGTATGTATGTATGTAATTGTATGAAATTGTATGTAAGTGTTTGTAATTGTATGTGATTGTATTTAATTGTATGTCATTGTATGTCATTGTATGTCATTGTATGTAATTGTATGTAATTGTATGTAATTGTATCTAATTGTATTTAATTGTATGTATGTATGTAATTGTATGTAATTGTATCTAATTTTATGTATGTCTGTCTGTCTGTCTGTATGTATGTATGTATGTAATTGTATGTAATTGTTTGTATGTAATTGTATGCCTGTCTGTCTGTCTGTCTGTCTGTCTGTGTGTGTGTATGCATGCATGCATGCATGTATGTATAAATATAAATCTATGCACATATACATACATATGCATAGATATGAAATATTTACCACCAGCATCCACCAGCTAGACAATGATTCAAGAGCCACAGCATTTAATCGCCAAATGTCGCACATACCGGCTCATCAATCTGCTTGTCCCAAAGATCAAAGCCACTATGACAAAATGGAACATCCTCATCTTCAGAGTTTCCAGGAGCTGAAGTCTATTGGTCATGATCATGTCAGGTCATGGGCATTCAGCCTGCCCCTCACTTCGGTGACCCTCGAAATTGAATGGTTAAGATCCATCCAATTGAGGCTGTGGTTGTTGATGGTTAAGATTCGCCCTTACCCAACACTCATTTTTGCTGAGGTAATCTTTGTGTAGCTTATCTCATGGTATCCCATTATATCTCCATTATTCTTGATATTGGATTTGTTGTTGATTTAACCACCATTTGTAACCATTTAAGTAGGGTTGCTACAAGTAAGACAAGATTGAACAAATAACATATTGCTTGTTATACTCCTAATATATTTATATACATGATATTTCCATCATGCCCCGATTTATTCTCCAGCTTCTTCATGACAGGTTCCCTGAGTCAGCTTTCCGGAGTCCGCTGCAGCGCCGGACAATGGTGTGCACATATTTAAAAAAACAGCGTGCAGATAATATGTATATATAAAAATAATAATAGGAATAATAATGTTAATAATGAGTTCATGTTTTTTTCGAATAATTGTGCATGAACACGTATAATTATCTAAATATATTGAAAAAACTTAAACGTACTATGCATACACAAATACATATATATATATCTCTCTCTCTCTGTCCATCGCCATCCCGAAGGTTGAGCTAAGGCTGAGGGCGAGCTGTTGGCCCAAACAAAGCGAGCCGCCAGTAAGGACTGGGCTGTACAAACACATGTTAGGTATACAAATACATTGCCAAATTACACGGAACTAAACAATATATATATATATATGCATAACATTTATTAGACACACACACATATATATATATATTAATATGTTAACACCATGTAGTACTTGGCCACCCAGAAGCCACATCTCTGAATATGGGGCTCCCATTTGTGTAAATCCCCCAGAAGCCGCCTTGCCAGTCACGATAGCCAGGTTCCTGGATCCAGCTGAAATCGCTTTGAAAAAATGGGCGTACCTCAAATCATCCAAAAATCGACCATTTTGGTATTGAAACATATGGTTTTGGGGATTCCCCATTTTAGTATACTTCCATATATACATGTCTATCTATATCTATGTATATATATATATATATATCCCCCCCCTTTAAGGGGGGGGGTGGGGGGGGGTAAAAACTGAAATATTTCACTTTAGGGGGGGGTCTCCCCGTGCCATTGACGGTTGGCGTCGATTTTGCGGCGCCACTTCTTGTGCATGTAGGCAGGGTGGACTGGGTTAAGGTGTCTCGACCCATGTAGCTGTAACCTGCAACTCTCTTTATACTGGCAATACTGCATAGGATTTACCTCCGGCTCCATCGGCCTCATCGGCTCCAGCGGCTCCATCAGCCTCATCGGCTCCATCGGCTTCATCGGCTCCAGCGGCTCCATCGGCCTTATCGGCTCCATCGGCTCCAGCGGCTCCATCGGCCTCATCGGCTCCAGCGGCTCCATCGGCCTCATCGGCTCCATCGGCCTCATCGGCCTCATCGGCTCCAGCGGCTCCAGCGGCTCCATCGGCTCCAGCGGCTCCAGCGGCTCCAGCGGCTCCATCGGCTCCAGCGGCTCCTCGCTCTAGCGTCTCCTCTCCTCATCGGCCTCATCGGCTCCATCGGCCTCATTCCTCGGCCTCATCGGCCTCAGCGGCTCCATCGGCCTCATCGGCTCCATCGGCTCCATCGGCCTCATCGGCTCCAGCGGCTCCATCGGCTTCATCGGCTCCATCGGCCTCATCGGCTCCAGCGGCTCCAGCGGCTCCATCGGCCTCATCGGCCTCATCGGCCTCATCGGCCTGCATCGGCCTCAACGGCTCCAGCGGCTCCATCGGCCTCATCGGCTCAAGGGGCTCCATCGGCCTCATCGGCTCAAGGGGCCTCATCGGCTCCATCGGCCTCATCGGCTCCATCGGCCTCATCGGCTCCATCGGCTTCATCGGCTCCATCGGCCTCATCGGCTCCATCGGCCTCATCGGCTCCAGCGGCTCCGTCGGCTCCAGCGGCCTCATTGGCGCCATCGGCCTCATCGGCCTCATCGGCTCCAGCGGCCCCATCGGCCTCATCGGCTCCAGCGGCTCCGTCGGCTCCAGCGGCCTCATCGGCGCCATCGGCCTCATCGGCCTCATCGGCCTCATCGGCTCCAGCGGCCCCATCGGCCTCATCGGCTCCAGCGGCTCCATCGGCTCCAGCGGCTCCATCGGCCTCATCGGCTCAATTGGCCTGATCGGCGCCAGCGGTTCCAGCGGCTTCATCGGCATGTCTTTCTGGAAAGCCTACTATGGCCCGAAGCAGGCGGAATCAGTTGCGTCCATTTTGCGCCTATTGTTTGCTTTGCTGCCTTTTGATTCGTATTGGTCCATAGCCTCTTGGCTTGCGATATAGCCTCCAAGTGTCGAACGTACGGGGTCTCCCCCCCCCACACACCTAGAAATATTTCACCTCCCTAAAGTGAAATATTTCAGCTAAAAAAATCTGGTCTATAATGGCTTTGGGCGTGGTTGAATTCAAGGCTGAACGTCATGTTCTGAAGGCTGTTTGGCAAGTTCACTCTCTTATTTACTTTCTTGGAAACCGGCAGTTACCATTTACCTAGTTGTCAGTGTTTGCGCGTGGGCCCTACCCGCGTAAGGACTAAAAAGGTCCAAAAAGGAACAGCGTCCGGAGGAACCCCCCCCCCCCACGTCTTTTAGAAGCCCAAAAAAATACGTGGGGGGGGGTATATTTCACGTGGTCAGGTGAAATATTTCTCAGAAATTTCTTGCCTTACCCCCCCCAAATATTCCAGGGTTAAAGGGGAGGGGGATATATATATATACTATTTACACCCCATGGTTTTTCAATAAATACTGTAAGCATGATGATACAGTGCTGAGTCGGATGCCCATCGGAATGACATCAATATCTATATATTATATAATATTGAGAGTCGTAGATTAAAAGTCAAGATCAGTTTCTCACCGGAAACAACAGCTTTGGAATACTTGTGCGCCAACTTGGGTATCATTTCACGCTATTCATTTCTGGTGAGTCATTGGGGATTCGGGGATGTTTTTAAAATTCTGCTTGCCACAGCTATCTTTAAGTGGTAAATCATCTATCAATGGAACATGTTCAATAGCTATGTGAAATTACCAAAGAGAATCTAAAAAAGCTATCGTACAATGAGGCCTGAAATGAGGCCTCCCATCTTCGTGCGCCCACCCCCATCTGTGGCTACTGAGCCGATAAATCCAAGCCACCGACCCAAAATTACGGTCATCATTTAGTGATGATTCCCCTTAGTTTTCAATGACGTCACAGTGAGTTAAAAGAAATGATTCATCCAAAAATATGTTATAATAAAGTATATGCTGGGCCAACATATATATATATATATATATACACATAAATGAATATAACACACATATACATATATATATATACATACGTATATATCGTATATACGTGCAATTCAAATCCCCTCTGTCTGTAACGGTCCTCAGCGCTCATGGGTCAACTCCATCGGATGACTGGGCACCTAAAGGCGCCGAGGTGTCTGATGGCTTGTATGGTCTGATGGGTTGGATGTTCCATGATATTTGATTTTACAGTATAGTCATTATGGAATTGATGATACACAAGTAATCTTATCTCCTGCAATTATGGCTGCCTTGCTCTGCTCGTGCATTTCATGATGCTGACTTAAGTTCACAAGAGTGCATTTTTGTGTGAAAACGGGCTGTCCTTATGTATCTTTTGCTCAAAATGGGAATTCACCGCATAATTGCATATATGGATGCTGGAGTGCCATTATTAGGGTTTCCAGTGATAAAAATGTATCCTTCTAAAACCACCACAATGGAGTACGCACCAGCAAGTCAACCCGAAATATTTTACTCATTTGCCTGAACATCTTCAGAAAAGAAAATCCATGAAAATCCGCTTTTGGTCAGTAGATGTCTGTTGCAATCAACAAGGAAATCTCTCAGGGAGATCGCTACTCATGCATTGGTTTCACCAAGCTGATCTTTGAATTCTTTAAATATTATACCTTTTTGCAGTAGATGGCCCATTTATGATTTACCTATTAAGAATGGTGCTTTTCCACAAAATGACAAATTACCAGAAGGTACTGGTCAATATTCAATGTTCATATCTCACAAAAATATTCTCATGACATCCCCAGTATAGCTCCATTTATGGATGGTTTTCCAGATTTCGGTTTCGCAAGATGCCACCTCGTGGTCCTTCCGCCACGTTCCACGGCTGCCGACTTGCACCTGGCATTCCGATGTGTCTTAAATTGGGGGGAGAATGTGCCCTTTTTTTGAAGGAGAAAATTGCAGAAAATAAGAATATGTCGGAAAAATGTGAGAAAATGATGGGGAAATTTTACTATGTCATATACGATATAAATCGATATGATGATAAACATGGGTTTTCAGGGCATCCCAATTTCAATCAAACCGCCCCATGCGGGTGCCACTGGCAGGGGAGAAAAAAAAACGTATAAGGGAATCCTCAAATCCATTCAATTCACAGTTGACCTGGCAACAGAAGGGGTGTCATTTAAAAGCAATCTATCACTGTTATCCGGGGGACCCCTGAATCCGGGGTTGACATCACATCCTGCAGCCATCTACAGCCGAGTTTTACCATGGAAAGTGCAAGAAAGGGCTTGGCGGCTTGGAGAGTCGATTGATCGCCATCTTAGCTTGCTGGTGGCTACTATACACATATTGAACTCGCCTGCCGGTGTCATCAAACATGGCAATAGGAAATCCCCCTATAAATGGAGGTTTTAATTAATGGTAATACCATCTATGAGTTGGTAATGTTCTATTTTGTTTGATGACGCTGTAGGGTAAACATATTAAAACCATTTAAAACCCACAAGCCCAACACAGTTTGTCTGTCTTGAAAGGCCAGCTGACCCCCGACCTTCAGCCGCAGTTTCCAACAGCTGCAGGGCGTCAGAAAGGGTCAAGGTCTCTTATAACTTTGATCTGCAGTGGCCGCAGTTTCAATGCACAAATTCACCTCGTGTGTGTCCCTGCGCCCGCCGCTGAAAAAATGCGCTCCACACATGAACTCACCTCATTGGATGTTCGGCCAATGCAAATACGCTGTAGCGAGATCTATGTTTGTCTTGGATTCATCTACTAGAGTATAAAGACTTCTCCACATGCCTTAAATTTCCGGTGCAAATGTATATTCATATCTGTCTAATGTATTCTACTGTATATATATATATACATATATTTATGCAATGCAGAATCCCCCTTGTAATTTTATCCAGAACCCGGAGGGCCACCATAAATATGTATATGTATATGTATATATATATATATATTTAAATATATACATAATATATATATATATAAAATAATAAATATAATATGACAACCCCCCTGGTTGGGGCTTATGAAATGGCAATTCCAAAAGGTTATTTTTTGAAAATTTCAATTCTGAATGTTATATGTGAACAACTTATAAATTGACCAAAAAGGTCCGGTGAAACATCGGTATTTGTTTGAAATGTTAAAAACGCCTGACCAAAATAATTGCATGTCAGGCACATTTCTGGGAATATACATTTGACAAGAAATCATCAGCCCATTTTATAGGAAAACAACGCTGCCAAAACCATCTTTCAGGGAATGTGTTTCTCAGTTTTTGTTGGTAATACCGGGCCATACCGCAATTTTCGAAAGAAAGACCACACATGAACAAACAATGTACCTTATTTATATATAAAGTATGTACTTGTTGGTGATTCTATTGCCTAAACTTACAAGTGCGGCATTATAAAATGCTAAATGATTTTTCCCCACCTGCCAGGTGAGGGTTGTTAGGTTTTATCAGAATTGTTCTCCTTCTTCTCCGTCTCCTTCTCCTTCTCCTCCTTCTCCTCTGCATCCACTTCCAGGTCCACTTCTGCCACTTCCATGTCCACTTCCGCCTTGCCAACTCTTCGCCAAGCTCTTCGCCAACTTCCGCACGCAATGGGCACTGCTGGACCTCAACTGCAAGGGTCTGAGCGCACTGGGCACCGCTGGACCTCAACTGCAAGGGTCTGAGCGCACTGGGCACCGCTGGACCTCAACCTGGGACCTGCCGAGCTCAGTGAGCACCGCTGGACCTCAACCTGGGACCCGCCGAGCTCAGTGAGCACCGCTGGACCTCAACCTGGGACCTTCCGAGCTCAGTGAGCACCGCTGGACCTCAACGGCGAGATAGAATGCCAGAAGATATGCCAGATAAAACGCCAGATAGCATGTCAGAGAGAATGCCAGAAGATATGCCAGATAAAATGCCAGAAGATATGCCAGATAGAACGCCAGAAGATATGCCAGATAGAACGCCAGATAGAATGTCAGATAAAATGCCAGAAGATACGCCAGATAAAATGCCAGAAGATACGCCAGATAGAATGCCAAAAGATATGCCAGATAGAATGCCAGAAGATATGCCAGATAGGATGTCAGAAGATATGCCAGATAGAATGCCAGAAGATATGCCAGATAGAATGCCAGAAAGTATGCCAGATAGAATGTCAGATAGAATGCCAGCAGGTATGCCAGATAAAGTGCCAGAAGGTATGCCAGATAAAGTGCCAGAATGTTTGCCAGATAGAATGCCAGACGATTTGCCAGATAGAATGCCAGATCGGATGTCAGAAGATATGCCAGTCAGATAGAATGCCAGAAAATATGCCAGAAGATATGCCAGGTAGAATGCCAGAAGATATGCCAGATAGAATGCCAGCAGATATGTCAGATAGAATGCCAGAAGATTTGCCAGTAACAAAACTTATAAATGTCATGGTGGGGATGACTCGAAGTAAAGTAAATTGACTTACAAACTGTTATTATTATGCAGCACAATTACTCTGTTACGTCATTTTATAAGGCATGCAATGTGTTGCAGCAATTTTGAATAATTACATAGGATTTTTCTTTAAACACATGTGTTCATGTATACACCACAGAGTAAATGGATTTTTAACTCTAGGTACCCGCTCCAAATTCTTATAGAATTCCACCTAGTTGCAAATGTAAACAGTTGAAGGATTAACCAAAAATTCATAAAGAAACACACATAAAATAAAACAAAAGAAGAAGTACATGTTTTGTGAACCAGGGTTAGGTTTTGTTCCTGCTACAAGGGTTTGTCATTTTATGGCCCCCAACAAAGGGTGTAGTTTATTATATAGTTTCTAAAGTTATAACCGGCAACTCTTGGAAATCGCCAATTTGTAAAGGTACCCCGAAAACTGGTCCTGATTTCAAAAAAAAACGGGTATCCTTATAAAGCCACACCAAAAAGCGGACCCCGGGTTCCGCACTTTATAAGGGATATTAGGAAGGATTATGCATATATACACATATATATATATATATGTATAAATAATTGTGTACACATCAGGGCATATAGAAAGAAGTATTTAAAAAAACATAACTAAACATGCAAAACTATTGAAACAATATATATATGCATGTATGTATATATTGTACTATTTAAATATATCACATTATAACACTGCCAATCTAATCAAACTTGGCTACTCCCGCGCCACCTGGCAAAGAGAACCGCGTTTTGACGGGACTGCACAGCAGTCGAAGATTTCGATCATCGGCTATGTTCTGGTAATCCAACTTGCCTAACTTGCTGGGAAACCCCCATACATTTTTCAATAAATGACTCATGACGCATAAATCTCGGAAATCCCGGGTTCCATGTGATAATCATCTACAAAATTGAATTGGATGATTGTGGTTTTCCAATGCGTCGGGTTAGTCAGGTTAGCTTGTGAGAAGCTACACATGGGCCCCGATGGGGACGCTGTTGAGGCTGTCGCGGTCCTCGCTTCAGTGGGACGCTGACGGACACGGGTGAACCATGGCATGGTTGGTTTGGAAAAATCTTGGTGCGCAAGAGTCTGCTCATGTTTATGTATACCGATGTATACCACATATATAGTACTGTATATGTTATAGATGATAGACTTGTTGATCTTGTGGAGACGTGGGCGGTGCATTACTTCATTCATCCTAATTTTAGCATTATTTATGCATTCATTCTTTATCATTCTTACAATCTGAGCCAGTGTGGCTCTAAAGTCATTAACAATTGACATGCCTGATTTTGTGGGTAGGGTGCGCCAGCACAAGTCTACAAGATCTCTTGGGGCAAATTCATCCTGGATGCACCCTGGGGACATGAGATTTTCCTCCAACTAGATAAACATGAATCAATTCCATCTATCAACAAGCTTTACCTGAATATGACCCTCTAATGCAACTGTGCCCGGCCTATCCTGATTATTGTTCCTCACCTTCTTCTTATTCTTGTCGTTTTCGATTCTACTTGAGGTAATGGCCTGGCTCTGATGCTCATCATGCTCATGTTCATCCAAACATTGTGTTGGTAGATCGGTTGGTTCCATTGATGTGTGGGTGGATGCCAGTTCCCATGTCGACTGGTGAAATGGCCAAGCACCCGATCTGCTGTGCTCACTCAGACTTCGCAGACTTGTCGACCGATTCGGCCGTTTTCTGCCTGGGGACGACGGGAACGCGTGGCCAACCATGGATGCCCCACAAGAGAAGCATGTGATGCCTAAAAAAAATCATCGTACAACGGCACATCATGATGGTGTCATGATACAACGAATCCAATCTATGGCACCGAGCTTTGCTCAGGGGTAGCCAAGCGACTCCTTTTTACACTATGCCGATTTTGAATATATAGCTCGGGCGCAAATGTCTGGTGGAATTTGGCCTGGCCAAAACTGCAAAAAAATATCTGTCTAGTATGTCCTAGGCACTAGCCATTCATTTACAGATGAATGCAGTGTAGCAATCCTTAGTGCAAGGAATGCCTGTACTTACTGCCCGGGCACACTGCAAACCCCCGCAAAAAAAAAAAGTTGACCGGAGGAGAGTTATCTTTGCTGTCCGTTTGGAATAGACTTCTTCTGATGCTAGCCAAGCCGAGTGCAAGGAGATCTCTAAACACAAGGCTTTCCTAGGAAACTACTGAATTTTCGTCCAAATCCACCCAGTAAACGGATACATGGCATCCGAGAAGACCGGTCAAATTCCTGGCACCCTCTAGTTTGAAGCCCCAAACTCAACAAGACGGTCGTCCTGATTTCATGCGGTAAGTTCATCAAACCATCGTTTTTGAACTTACCTACATCCAAGTAAATGAAAGTTTCCAGGTTTTTTCCATGGTTTCCCAAAACCACGTGCCATCGCATTTTGCGGCTTGGATCGGAAATTCCTCCTGTTGAATTGATCAAATCCCAGTTGGACCAGTTCACGTGGTGGTAAATCCAAACATAAACCTCTATCTTGGGGACGGTTTCTACAACGCAACATTCGCACTCGGACTTTCATGGCAAGCCAAACATACCTAGTCAAACAAACAAACAAACAAACAAGCAAGCAAGCAAGCAAACAAACAAACAAACAAACACATGATCAAACATGCATACAATCTAAGTTCATCACTGCTTGCCAAACTAAGGAGAAGCTAGTTTTTTACCCTCTTGCACTCAAACATAGCAATCAGAAATATTCCATTCATAGATGATTTTCACACAAAATGATGCCAATGTACACCTCATTATGTGATTTCCCCATTTAAACAAATCCAATTACAGTATAGGTGATTTTCCTATCAGAACCTTCATTTAGTATGGGAATGTCCTGACTTGTTTGATCCACCGGGGGGCAACCATCAACAACAAGGTATTTCAGGGCGGGCTGCTTCTCAGCTTTCAGCTTCGCAAGCTCCTCCCCAGCCTTTTCGTACGCTGCCAGTTGGGCCTGCCACATGACCAAGGGGACACCATAGACTGAGGAGAATTCGCTGAATCTCAGAAGCTAGATATACACAATATGAGTACTTATATGTGAGTATGTATGCATATACATTATACATGCATACATGTATATACTTGTATATATATATACATATTATATGTATATTGTGTATATATATATATGTGATATGTATATCATATCTGAGTTGAATCTCCAACAACTGAGGATTTACAGTAACTGAATGCATCTGAATGCTCTCATGTGGGGATCCCTTTGGAGCCCAAAAAAACAAAGAGGACCCAGGGTTTCGCTAACTGCCGACTGCTGACTGCTGAACATACAGATTTTGATTGTCATTGAATAGGTGGATATCATTATCATGATGTTTTATCCGCCTATGTGCATCATTACATATGAGAGGAGATAGCCACGATTCATTTCAATGTATATTCCATACATTGTATATTATGTAAACTACCATGGGTTCTTCGTGTATGGCAATGCACCTCCCAAACCGGCAGAGCATCTGCTTCCACACCTCTTTGGTCTAGAATGGAATCATGTTATGAAAAATGAGACGTCGACGAGACCTCAACTGAACTAGCAATTCTTAGCTCCTTATGCTCCTTGTTTCCCTATTTCTTAATGGGAATATGATGGAATATGCATGGGGACGGCTCCGAACTACTCCAGTAACCCCCTATACTCTAGTGATTTTCAGAGTCAACAAAGGGCACGTGGGCTCAATTGGCATTGATCCCACCTTAGAGTGAAATAAATCCACAGATCAGCGGCAGCCAGGCTCGTCATTTTCACGGCATCTGCAGCACCTGCCTCTTCCAACAGTGATTCTGAGACGATTCTGGTGCGGTTTCCTAACTAAACGACCCAAGGTCCAAGCACAAGGACAAATTTTCCAAACGAACACAGGACAACACAGTTGCTGGCCGGTCAATTGTTTATTGAACCGTTGCTGGAACATGTGCGTTAGACAGCGGAAACAAACATAATCTGTAAAATATAGCGTGTATGTATATATATATAATATAATTTAGAATAATAAAGTGTACACAATATAATTAATAATATAATGTATATCCAGTAATGTGATGTGCATAAGAATATTCACGACTGCATACACAAAATGAATGCTGTGCACGCATGTCTATGAACAGTGCTAGTCCCTCCGAATACCCCAAACATCCCCAAACAAATGGAAAACAACCACAAAAAACTGAAGTATGAAGTAATTAAAACACAATTTTTATTGGTACTTGGAGAGTCTAGGTCTATAGCAAGATAAGTTCTCTCATCATAATTCTGGTTATTTCACTTCATTTTTCACCATTTCCTCAGCTCACAAGAACTCCTTCATGGGCTGCATCGAGCGAGTGCGCCGAAACTGCCCGGGAGTCACCAGCGCCGCGAGGCAAGGGGCGAGGGCTTGCTCTGGGGCCTTCAGGTCTGCCTGAAAAGGATCACTGGCACGGGGGCCGTTAAAAAACCAGACACGGGGATTTATTCGGGAGCAAGTTGATTTAATGTTACTTTAATTAATTGTGTTCGATCCAATTTGAGCCCTTAAGAATAGCGGACATGATTTATTAAGCTGTGTCTCACACAAACAGTTCAAAGAACCTCCTTGTGTTCGATCAGCAGCTCTTTATCTCATGTCGCAGGAGCATAGACTTTGATTCTGAGACCTTGTCTCTTCCAAACTTTTTGGTGAAACTTGAAACTGGTTAGTACCTTCTTGGTTGAAGGCTGAAACTTTGATCCATCCTCTCTCATGGTAGAGAGATTTGAAATCTTGTCTCACGGTAGAGACAGGCCATCTGGCTGCCCGAAAAAGCTTTCAGCGCCTTTATGACACTCCATTCCACGACTCCAAGCAAAGGCTCCCTGAGCGTCACTGTCACCCTTGGTGGTAGCTGAAAAAGTGGTATTGACGCAACAGTTTGTCGGTATGAGGTGACATCTTAGTGTTCGGTAAATAGCTCAAACCGTCACGAGCAGCCCGGCTAGATTGCCATCTGCCTTTCAACATTGCCAATTCCATAGAACCACTGCATTGAAAGATATAGGTAGCGCCACCCCTTTTTAAGGAATAAGGTAGAAATTGGTGAGCATCTAAAACAAAATGACAGCATAAATATTTGAATTGTCGCCGAAAGAAAGCACCGGAATGTGGCCACAAATAAGGTCCCGTGTTGGTGCTCTTTCAGTAGCCGTTCAACAGCCTCGACTGTCGACTGTGGGGATATCCGTGAAGCTAACGGCTTCGTTGGAGGCATCCCGTCTGCCAGACTTAGTCTCGTTTAAGGAGCATATGCCGTAGCGCCAATGCAAAAATCTGAGACCTTAAGCTGAAGAAGCTCTCCTGTACATAATAGACAAGAAAAGCTAAGTAATAGTAATACTGTCGTTTCAAGTCTTCCATGTTCCATCTCAAATGCCGCCATTGAACGGACCAACCGCTGTGTTAGCGGCGGGGCCCTGCTGGGCACCTCAATCTTGCGCCAAGTGCCAAATAACTTCCAGGATCTTCCAGGCATTTCACCTTTTGCTCCATCCAGGCGCACATGGCACTATCCAAATCTTCAGGATTCTTGACCCCTCATAAAACTTCAAAATATTTCGCAGTGCCGAGTAATATCTAACTTTTCTCTTTTCTGTCAAACCAGCATCCTCCAAATGGATGTGTCTGCGTTGAGGCGCCCATTCAATGCGCGAAAACGTCCCGAAAACAGGGTCACCATGCCATGGCTACCAAACTCGCGATCCCTTATCAGAGGGGTTATCCAGTGAATCTACATGCGCGACCACCAAATGCAATCCAAAAGCCAACAAAATAAGCCCCAATTCGTTTCAACACACGATTAAGTTGCCTGCTTCCAGAACGACCTTTGCCAACCACGCTAATGCATATATATGGGTCTGAAAGTTGGAAAATCATTTTATCCACTGCTTTGTATCGATCCACCTGATGCTTGATCCTCAGCAACAGCACTTCTAATCCCAGAACATTATATAATATGGGATTTTTTCTTCCAAGGCTTACCAAATCCATGCTGCCAAACCTACCAAGATGCCGCAACCGCTTGTTGAGGAAACGTTTTTGGATTTGTAAACTCACCGGTGACCACCCCAACGTCAGACCCAGTATGATTGACTTTTCTCAGAAGCATGCGATTGAACTGGTCCATCCCCAACTGTAATGGTAAATCAACCGCTGCAGAGCCATAAGCCAAAAACCTACCCAGAGGAACTGTGCTCCTAATATGTGCCCTGAGCCCTGGTGCCATTCCCAATCGTGCCACAACATGTTTGTAAGGCATCTGAACCATGAAGTTTCGACACAACGCGCCCGCAACAATGCAGAAGGAAAATACACTAAAGCTGTCTCCCAAGTAACTGTGACGTGCGTCATCAAATCCTTGTTTGATCCCCTTTATTTTCGATGCTGACCATGCAACAATAGTGTGAGAAAAAATGGCCCTATAGCAACTCTTTTTCCTCGGCACTCAACAAACGACACGAGTCCGGAGTATACTGATGACAAAACGAGCATCATACCGGGTAGCGGAATGAGTCCTCCCGCCATCTTTTCAAAGTCAGTGCCGAGCATTTTGCAAAACCCGCTGGCTGCGGTGGAGGTCTCTCTGCTGGGATGGCTTTCATGCAAGTTGGAAAAACTGCCCTGTGATGCCCTCCGGCCCAATCATGGCCAGGTTCCAACCACTGTTCAGTAGAAGGACCAGGGGCCTCTGCTATCTCGTCTCTCCAGTATTTCTTTGTCTCAATGCAAACATCTGGAAATGTCCCCTCAAGGCTTTCTGGTAGCCACACGTACCTAGGTCGACGCATGGGAATTGTGTGCACTGGGTCCAACCTATTAAGGTACTGTCTCAAGTGCTTCTGAGATTTCTTGACAGGCCGATCGTCCATTGAGGGGACATTTTCTACTGCAGTCTTCACTTTTACTGACACGCCAAACTCCTCTTGAAGCAAGTCACGAATCCGAGGGACCTCCCAGAATAGGATGCTATTACGTCCCCTTAAATTATCCCCGTTAAACTTTACGGCTGAGAGGTCGGTGCAAGGAAATCCTCCCCAGAGATGAACTTCAGACACCTGGAGAAACGAGGAGCTCCACTGACGCACCATACATCTATCCACAAGTTTGACATCTTCAACCACTATTGTCCCCGGCCATCTGCGCAGATACGATTTGCTCCACTGTCACATTCCACCGCAATTCTCCCAGCTGGTAGAATTCCAATAGCATCATATGACCTGAAAAAAATGAAGAGAAATCAAGGATGCTCCGGGCGATCGATTTTTCCGAGTGGCTTGCAAGTAATCAATCCCTTCAGCAGATAGTTGTTCGCTTGATACCACTGCACATCCCTTCTCAGAGGCATCCGTAGCTACCATCCTACCCTCAATGCCGGCTCCCAAATTCCAGTGAAGAAGTGGCACCAGTAAGACCAACTGCAAAACTTCCCTACGGACCGCCTCCTTAAGTTTGGTGGTGATCTTTTCAGTACCGCGGGCAGCTGAAATCTTCTTCTTCTGTGAAGAAACTACCCCAGCCGACTCCCAAGCACGCTCAGCAAGTTCATGGCAAAGGACTCCCTTGACACTAGCTTGATCAGGCATGATACGTTCCCCTGCACAGAAATTGTCAAGATAAACGTGGTACCACGCTTTATCCTCTTGCTCTGACATCTGCAACACATCATTCATCCATAACGGGATTGGGCGACCCTTGAAGACTTGATTGCTACAGATTGCTCCCCCGAACTTCAGGAGATTCTCAGAAATTTCTTGCATGATACCGATACCTACAGAGTTGAGCCATCCCATCGGGATGACTGAACAGCTGAGAGCATAAACCACCCCCGCACTGCGACCAATTGCTGCACCATCGACACTAATATTAAAGGATAAATGTCCCAACCAAGTTCGAGGAAGTCGAAGCAAGTCAACGCCGAAGACATGTCTGATTGGAACAGCTCAACAGCTTCATTGTTGTCAATGACCACGCTTTGCCATCCGGGTATTTGGGCAAACTCAAGCATCCGCCTTCCAACTGTTCCTGAGTGGAGTTGGTTCCAGTGAGGTTCATTATTAGGCGCAGCACCGGTTCTCCCGAAGCCAGGGTAACCGGTTTGCCAACTCCAAATAACCCATTCAGGATCTTTACCCCATTTACTTCGTATACTTGAGATAAAGGTATCCAGTCACAAATTTTCCATCTGACCAACTCCTCAGCAATCTTAAACTTATCCCCTTCTCGAACATGTATTTTTCCAGGAAGTTTGGGCAACACCGCAACATTGGGATCCTTCAGAAATTTTGTGGGGTCCATCAAAAATTCCGGGGCTCGCTCTCCTACACAGTCCAAGGCGTTGATAGAACCCCCATGGCTTTCAGGCGGGAATGAGGGTAAAACTTGTTCCCAAGTTAAAACATGGCAAACTGACACTTGTTATTTCACCATTGTACCCAACCTGTCGGCTCTTCAGCTCTTTTTCCCACATGGACTCGGTCACAACGTCATGCTCCACATGCACTGCAAGACGCCGTTCAACTGTGGAAGTAACGCTACCTGCGGCTCGGCGCTCGGATTGAGTCCAGCCCATTGGGACACAATTTCAGGATCACCAGCGCGTTGCAAAGTAACCCTGCTAAATTCTTCAATGGATTCGCTAAGGTCTCCCTCCCTTATGGGAAAACTGCTGATTTGGGACGGCGCAGCGGTTGAGCTTCTGCTGCAACGCTCCTCATCAAGCTCTCAAAGAGACCACAGGTGATACTGTCAGCTCTGAGGAATCTTTCAGAAGCAATCACGCAGGCTGTACGAGGCAAACTACACAAAGGTAAAGCCTCCCTGAAAGCCCGGCGCGGGGTGTCCTGAACTCCAAGCTCTGCTCCCACTGTAGGGCGCACGGTGTCAACCAGCGCCAGTACAGGAGTAGGGCCAACCTCTATTTCTCGGCTGGCTTCCCTTTTGTCTCGCTTTTGTCTTCCCAAAGTCTCCTACTCCTTCCTGGGCCTGTCCACCCCACGTGCCTTTGCCTTTGCCCTTTCCTTTGCCGGGTTTACCCCGGCCCTTGCCCTGAGTGTTCCAATCTCCTTCTGCACATGAGCACCCCTTTCCTTTTCCACCTCCTTTGCCTTTCTGGCTCATGCGTCGCGCCCAAGTCGATTCGAGGCCCTAAGCTTTGGCCTGCATCCTGGCATGCCGGCGAGCTTCCAACAGCACGGAACTGCCTGTTGCACTCACCTCCTCCTCCTCCACAGGCATCACTTCTAAGTGCCTGGCAGCTCCCAACTGCCGTGGATGACAGATTGATGCAAGCTCATGAATCGTCCAGCCAAAACGTGCCCTAACTTGCTGAGTTCTCCTGGGCGAAGAAGATCCATGCTGTTGGCCAAATGGTACATGTCTCGGGTCACTGCCAGCGCATTCCCTATAGGTTTGATCTCACTACTATTGCAAAGTAGCTCGGCAGCTTCACCTTGGGTTGCGTCTCCGGCTTCTCCTGTCCCAACTTCCACTTTTGAAGTCTGATCCAATTGCGCCTTCGCATGGGCCACCAAAAGCTGCAGCACGCTTCCTGGTTTCTAGTATGAACGCTTCTTGAGAGGAGCCTCTACTTTCCTGTCCTCGGACTCCTCCTCCGAGGTCTGATAGCTGTCGCTTGAGTCGCCGGGGTCGCCTCCTCCTTCTCTTTGATGCGAGTCTTCTGGGACTTTCTTCTCTTGTTCCTCTTAATCTTCTTGGACTTCTTCCCCTTGCCAAAGTTGGTAAGGATCCGAGCAAGCTGTTTCTCTGGATCTTGGCTGCTGGCTTTGCCTTTGGAGGCCTAGCTGGTTCTGGCGGCCGTCGAGCTGGATCACACTTCGGGGTAACACCGGCGAGGTGTGACACCTCCTCGTCCTCGTCAGTCTCTGACTCACTCTCTTCGTCCTCCTGGTCAAATTCCCCCTCCTTCACAGGAGGTGCATGGTGGTGGAGGAGGAGGAGGTGGTTTAGGTAAACTCCTAGACCCCGCACTTCCTCGAGCGTCACGGCAGTTGCCAGCGCTCTTCAAGCTACTCGAGATGTTTCTCAGAGCTCGAACCTGTTTGTCGCTCCAACCACCACCTCCTCAGCAGCCTTTCTTAAGGCTGGATGATGCCAGGTGCAAGTCAGTCAGCTCAAGGCATAGCTGCTCCCACCCTGAGCAACCCAAGCACCACGTGTCGTTCTCAAGGGGCTTGGTTTGCTTACACTTCGCACAAAGCATGCATCCTAAACCCCAATTTGAGCCCTTAAGAATAGCGGACATGATTTATTAAGCTGCTGTGTCTCACACAAACAGTTCAATGAACCTCCTATGACCTATGGCTTAATACCATTTCAATATTATGTTCATATCTCTCTCTATATGTTTGGTCCAACAAAATGGGGATTGATATGTGATGTATGATCTATGACATTATGATGAGGTGCTTAAATAAATACAGGAACAATTAGATTTATGGATATTTATGGATGGTGAATATGTCTCAGAAATTACACGGGGTCACAAACCAAAAAGCAACTTAACTGGGGCGGCCCTTCTTGCGCAAAAGGCTAAGATTTGGATCATCATGGGAGCGCAGAATCAAACAACTTGCCATTCATATGTCGTTGTTGGTGTTAAAGGCCGCTATCATCAAAGCTATCACTATTCATCATTCAACCGTGATGTGCAAAAGGCGGCGCAAGGGGTCGTTTGGTACAATTTCACCGTCGGAAAAGGACATGCGCATGGGCCGGGACGAGAATTACAATGCTGCTCATTCCAATCCCCAAAATCCAGGACAACACGAAGGTATTTGGGCGGCGCTTGATCTTTGGGGGACGGGATTGGCTTGGATGGGAGATGATGCCATGATCCCTGAAAATAAGAAGTCCGTTGGACCCATTTTGAAAGGATGAGCCAAAGAAATGTGGTTTGATCCCTCATGAGTGGGAAATACTAGGTGCTTACAAATGAATATATATATATATATAAAATATATATTATACCAATATATATATATATCAATGAAGAAATCAAAATAAATCAATAAATAATAGAACGCATCTATATCTATATATATATATATATCCGTGCACAAGCATCTCTCTATCTATCTATCTATCTACCTATCTATCTACCTATCTATCTATCTATCTAATCTAATCTACTCTAATCTCATCTAATCTAATCTAATCTAATCTACCTAATCTACCTAATCTACCTAATCTATCTAATCTATCTAATCTATCTAATCTATCTAATCTATCTAATCTATCTAATCTATCTAATCTATCTAATCTATCTAATCTATCTAATCTAGCTATCTATCTAATCTATCTAATCTATCTAATCTATCTAATCTATCTAATCTATCTAATCTATCTAATCTATCTAATCTATCTATCGATCTATCGATCTATCTATCTATCTATCTATCTATCTATATGTACAGGTATAGAGAGAGAGAGAGGGATATTGATTTACTCTGAGTCTGAGTATGTTTATGTATACTGTAAAAATCTGGATATCAATTAATATGTACACACGAACACTACAAGCTACCCATGTTTAAGGACAAACTAGATCCAAATAGTACAAATGCTCAAGTACCCGTTCATCTATGAATGGGGGTAATGTCACTGCCATGTTTGATGACCAAATGGTAAAACAATTGTAAGCTTGAACAAAAAAACTTTGGAAAGTATCAATGGAAATTTTCCAACACTTTCTTCAGCATTTCGAGCCACCCCGCCCCGCCCTGGACCCGCCTGCTTGGCTTTCAAGACCTCCGCAACCGGGGACTCTGGACGAGCCACCTCTGCGGCCTGCGACGAGGCGACGGTGAAATGGGGATGAAGGTGCCGGCCAAAGCAAATGTTATTAAACATTGGACTTTTGTATCATTGTCTTGGTTTGCGGAACACCAACACGAGACATCAAGAAGCCTTGCCGCTATTCAGTTGTTTCCTCCATGTGTTTTTTAACCATCATTGTTGTAGCTAGGCTCCCCATCCCCCCAAAAAGTAACAACATCATGTTCTCCAAATAAAATTGCTATGTGATATGTGTATCTCTCTCTCTCTCTCTCTCTCCATCGCCATCTCGTCAAGTGAGACTGCCAGAGGCAGAGGCGAGCATGCGGTCACGAAACACGGAGGCAACATCGTGACTCAGTGCATATACACATATCATATATCTATATGTGTCATCATTTTTTGAACTCAAAAAAAAAACATTCCGCTCATATTAAACACCCCCAAACGAACCATGCGATTAGCATGGGAATTTCCACATCATTGTGACCTTGGGCTCAGCTGTCTTGGGCTCCTGCGACGCGAGGGAATTTTCAGCACAGCATATGGATCCTGTCGAAAAACAAAGAACATGCATGTAATTAACCAATATTAACCACTAAAATCAGGTTTCAATCAAAGCGCCAGTTTGCTGAAACTTTGGATTAAGAATATGTGTATATATATATATATATGGTACAGGCCTCTCGTCATGGTCATGATCCCATTCCTGGTCCTGGTCCTCGCCCCCCCTGTGGGAATGAGGGGGTCTCTTGTATGTATGTAGGTAGGAAGGTAGGTATGTAGGTAGGTAGGTAGGTATGTAGGGAAGTAGGTATGTAGGTATGTAGGTAGGTAGGTAGATATGTAGGTATGTAGGTATGTAGGTATGTAGGTATGTAGGTATGTAAGTAGGTAGGTAGGTAGGTAGGTAGGTAGGTAGGTAGGTATGTAGGTATGTGTGTAGGTAGGTGTGTAGGTAGGTGTGTAGGTATGTGTGTAGGTATGTGGGTAGGTATGTGGGTAGGTATGTATGTATGTAGGTAGGTAGGTAGGTATGTATGTGTGTGATTATTGTATGTATGTGATTAGTGTATGTATGTGATTAGTGTATGTATGTGATTAATGTATGAATGTGATTAATGTATATATGTATGTGGTTAATGTATGTATGCGATTAATGTATGTATGTATGTATGTATGTATGTATGTATGTAGGTAGGTAGGTATGTATGCATGTATGTATGTACGTACTTACGTACGTACGTATGTATGTCTGTATGTATGTATGTATGTATGCATGCATGTATGTAATTAATGTATGTATGTGATTAATGTATGTATGTGATTAATGTATGTATGTATGTATGTATGTATGTATGTATGTATGTGTGTGTATGTATGTATGTATGTATGTATGTATGTATGTATGTATGCATGCATGTATGTATGTATGTATGTATGTATGTAGCTAGGTAGCTAGGTAGCTAGGTAGCTAGGTAGCTAGGTAGCTAGGTAGCTAGGTAGCTAGGTAGCTAGGTAGCTAGGTAGCTAGGTAGCTAGGTATGTTGGTAGGTAGGTAGGTGGGTAGGTAGGTAGGTAGTTAGGTAGGTAGGTAGGTAGGTAGGTATGTATGTAGGTGGGTCGGTCGGTAGGTAGGTAGGTATGTGCTTGCACAGATGTTGGATGCTACATTGCAGTACCCCCCTCGTATTTGCACAGACTCTTGCTACGTCATAGGATCCTTTTTGGCACATGCACAAACAGTTGATGTTACGTTACATGACCTTCTCTTGTACACGCGCAGACAGTTGATGCAACATTATAAGGAATTATAAGATCTTCTCTCCTACTTCTGTAGACGCTTGATGTTACGTTACAAGATCTTCTCTTGTACTTGCACAAACAGTTGATGTTACAAGATCTTTCTTTTCTACACGCACAAACAGTTGATGCAACGTTAACATAAGTTATACGATCTTCTCTCCTACTTCCATAGACGCTTGATGCTATGTTACGAGATCTTGTCTTGTACTTGCACAGACACTTCATGTTGCGTTCCAAGACCTTCTATTTTACATGTGCGGACACCTGATGGTCTCTGAAGGGGTCTTCTCTTGTTCTTGCACACTTGCACAGACCCTTGGGCTTGGTGCTAGGTTAAAAAATACCTGACGCTACGTTACAGGGTGCTGGGCTACCCGGGGTGTACCACCATCTGGGTGGGTAGCCGGGGGGTAGCCGGCCTGGGGGACCATACCATCGGGGGGGTACCGGGACCATATATATATATATGTATATATATATATATTAGCCCCGTGATGCCCCTTTCCCAAAAAAATACCAGTCCGCATACTGATATCCATTTCAAATTCAACACAAATGAGCCCCCTGATTCAATAGTAGGTAATTAAGTGGCCCACATTGGCGGATTTGTGATGATTTGTGGTCAGGTTTGCCCATCTGTTGTCTTTTCCATCCCAAAGTTTACATGCCAAGCCAATGGACGGGATGGCGACGTGAATTGAGGAATTGTTTGGGGGAGATATCTGCTAATCTTATCTACTGAATCCAAGACCGATTTCTCATTTCGAACAGCCCAAATAATTGCTACAAATAGCTGCTCATGTTTTTCCCCAAGTTTTTCTTCAATTCTTCCGGCATTTTTCCCCATCTGCCAGTCCTTCGGAACTTTTTCAGGAACCTCTGCAGCCTCAGCCTGCGCTTTCCCCACCTTAGCCTTGGCCACAGGCGGGTTCTCAACAGCTCCTTCGGCCCCTTTTGTTTCGGCCGCCTGAGGTGCCTCAGGTGTGGTGCCACGGCTTTCCGGGTTTCGGGGGATAAATGGCCTAAAGAAACTTGAGAATCACAGAATTTCAGCATCAACAGGGATGATCTCTGATGGTTTATCGTATATATATATATGGATATTTGGCATTGTTCATGATCCCGACTAATGATCCCGACTATCGGACAATGGGGATCATCGACAATGGCTGCAATGGCTGATTTTTGCTGGGAAAATCATCTGGTGACTTAATGGTGATATAATGGGATAATCCGATAATCCCTTGAAGAAATAGCATTGAAATCTCATCCCTGCGCATAATTTATGAATATGTATATTCATTGTTTGCTTTTTTATGTGACACACACACACATACACACACAAGTAATCTAGACATATCTATGACATCTATGATTATCTATGTAGATCAGCACATCCCAACCAAGCAGGAAAGGCGGCTCCGAGTTGCAGGGCTTGGCTTCGCAGGGTGGCCGAAGGAGGCGGCCTCCGGTGCCGCGCGCTCGTCAACAAAGTTCAGCAAATTCTTGGCCTTAGAGATGGCTTGGGTTTATAGTGACCCCCAAAAAGTTGGTTTATAACTCCAAAAAGTACGGTATATTATGTACTGTAGTAGACATCACTATAGTATTCATCGGGTTTATGAAACAACTTCTGACGTTTGGGCCCACCTAGTAGAAAGATAAAAGTCCGACTAAAATCGTGACGATTTACTGTTCATTACTTTTTTGTTTTAATTATCTTTTTGGGGTTCACTATAATAACCTTCATGAATGAGTCATGGGCAGTTATTGGGATATGGGATATTAATAAAATTGTGTTCTGGGGAAGTCATCTGTAAATCGGGAAAACATGGGATAAGTTATCCCCAACATGGTATGTGTACCATCGTCAAGATACCTGGAATGCATGGGGCCCCCGGTCATCCATCCCATGACACCTAAATCCTGAAACATAGAATAACATAATGGGATATGTACGCATAGATTCAAACATGAATAATAATAATAATATATATATATACATACACCAGGTGTATATATATATATATACTATATATATATATGTAAATATGTATATATATATATATATGTAAATATATATATGTATATATATATATATATTAACCAAAAAAAAAAAAACATAAAAAAATACCTTTCAAAATGGATTGATGATGATCCCTCAAGATGGGTATACAATCCAACTCTTTGCCATGGCATATATAGTACCCAAAAAAAACATAGACATGTATTTCGAGGATTGTAGTTCGACATAATTTCCAGGCTTTCAACTTTATTATCTGTTTGGGGGTTGCCAAAAATGATGAGCAACAATTTCGACATATTCGCATTAATTACTGCAATCACTTCCTGAAAAGTATCCAAGAGTAAAAAAAAAAAAAGGACTCCTAAACGACCTGGTTAGTGGTGGATCTGCATCAGAGCTTTCAGGTGCTATCCAGGGTTCTTCCAGAGACCGTCCGCCCACAAGGCCAAGGAGCGGTGCGTTGCGCCGTGAAGTCTTCGAACTCTTGGGAATTGTAGGGATGAAATCGCACCGTTGGGAAACCTCGAGGCAAAACCCAAGTCTGGCAAAACACACACACAAACAATTGGCACATGTGAATTTACATTTGCAAGTTCATGTGTATATACATTTGCCAATATATATATATATGTATGACAAAGAATGAGGACACACATATATATATATATATACACTGTATGTATATGTGCATGTTTGCATACATACCTAGACTAGATGACTACAAAGTATGCAACTATATCTATACAATAGCCACACAAGCATAGCAAAGCATGTTCAAGAAACAACATAACATGCCCCTACTACAATTTCCCTTGCGCAAAGCCTTAGGCCGGCCTTCGCGGAACTTGTGCGATGCAAACTTTAAAGTTCTCCACAAACCCGCATACTAAATGCAAAGAGGAGGGTTTTCGAACGGCCCTCACATGCATATGGCGCTGCGATAAAATCGGCAAACAAGTGGGATGAATCAGAAATTAGTCTCCAATACCGCATCATCTCCGTAATCTATGTCGCAGAACCAAGTCAGAAAACAAAGGTTGAAAAAATCATGTAAAATCCACCTATACTACTACCCACCATTTTGGCTACTTACATAAAGCTCTGCCAACGCAAGAAAAAAAAGTTGAAATATGTGGGCACATGAAAACCAAGCAACGATCACACAAAAAGGGCACACAATATTTCAAAATAGTATGTCTGTCTAGTAAAAAAACAAAGCTACCACAATGACGCAATACTTCCTTTATCGGCATACACACTAAACAAACATACATCATATACACAATACAAACACGCACACACACACATAGATATAGATATAGATATAGATATAGATATATAGATATACATATATATCCAGAAGCAGAAACAATTAGTAGATTAAAATGCTGGATTGGAGAACTTCACCGCGCCAGGCCATGGCCAGGTCATGCCGGGTAGCTGTGAATGCCCTGGGCTTGACACTCTCCGTAATCTTTTCCAGGTTCCCAGCGCTTGCCAAAGCACTCCTTTTCCTGGGGATAAACAGATTTCATGGTGGTTGAACCAAGAAACATGCTGATTTAATGGGATTCTATGGCTGATTTATGATAGCTAAGTTCATGTCCTGAGATTCTATGGCTGATTTATGATAGCTAAGTTCATGTCATGAGATTCTATAGCTGATTTATGATAGCTAAGTTCATTTCATGAAATTCTATAGCTGATTTATGATAGCTAAGTTCATGTCATGAGATTCTATAGCTGATTTATGATAGCTAAGTTCATTTCATGCGATTCTATAGCTGATTTATGATAGCTAAGTTCATTTAGAACTAGATTTACTATGGTTTAGGGCAAATATAAAGTGATACAACTATAGTCAATGGAAGTTAAAAGCCAGCTTGTAGTTGGGGAATCCCGCCCTTCTGGGAAACCAGCTCGGAATCTTGAAATGTTGACTGATGCTTGTCCATGTCTACATTGCTCTTCCATGTTCTCCCATGTTTCTCTCCTATAATATAACAATATCTGAAGTCTGAAGTTATACTTATGCCCCCTATATCTCAATATGTTTATTCCTCAATATCTAAATCGATTTGTAAGATCAGAGTGGGGTCATCATGGTAAAGCCATGGTCTGAACGCCTCCCACTGCACGTTGTCAGCACCGGGGTGTTCTTCATTCCACATCCGCTGCGCATTTTTCCAGACCTCATCGACTGGCACTGCTTGGGGATGCAGGCCTGGGGTGAAAAAAACATGGAATCCGCCGGCCTGCCGGCGTGTATTGTGGATCTTGCTTGTTCGTAGTTGTACTGTCTGTTTTGTCTTTGTCTTTGTCTAGACTTTCCCCTTGGCACGGATTTTTGCCTCGTCTAACTTGAATCCCCCCCTCCCCCCCAGCTCTTTTTCGTTTTGTCTTCAGCTTTCCTTACTTGTGGTGGGCTCAACTCTGCTCACGCCTCGCTCAACACCGGCTTGAGTTTGCACATCTTGCTGTCATTTCGATGGTTGTTTCCGTTTTTTCTCCGTCGCTTCTTATATCCAATACTTGATCCACTGGCTTTTGTGCCGAACGCCTTTTACACGCATAACCTTTCTAAATATTGCCTTTTTCAAACCCTTTCTCAATATGGCCTTTTCCAAAACCCTGGTTTACACACATGCCTTGGTTCAAACTTAAGCCCAAGCACCATGCTTTACACAAAAACCATGTTCTTGCTGGGCCTTTGCAAGGTCTGTTTGCAGCTTGCAGGATCGCTCTTTCCATGGTGGCGGGCGGAACACGCCGAAGACGGTTAAATAACCATGGCAATAACCTCCATAAGTTGGGATATATATCACCCCGTGACTATGTTTGCATATGTTTGCCAAGTTGAAACAAGTCAAGGAGAATGTGCATGATACCATTCCCATCCATTCCCCTCAGTTAAAGTAATCCTACCATGAGTCGGGTGTTGGAAAACTACCTTCCTCCAAAACATTGGTGATTCTCAGGGTGTATGTTGGCTAGGGGGATGATGGATACTTTGCCCAGAACAGCAGTGGCATAACTTGAGCCGGATCCAAAGAATTTTGGGCATTGGATTGCCCAAACACTTTTCCAACAAAAGTCAGTTGAAGAGCTAAAATCCTACAAGCCCTCAAACATCGCTGTCAAGTGAAGGTTTCAACCTGAAACATCTTCTGCAAGCTTCAACCTGAACTCTATAGAAACTCCATCTTGGATGTGGAACAAAACTCCAAAACTGGTGGGGCAGAGTTATAGGATGGGAAATCCTTTGACCAGTCTCATCCCAATCAGAAGTTGACACAGAAACATCCTGTGAGCTTGAAGGTGTCAACATGTGTCAACACTTCAATTTAATAGTCCTGACTTGGAGCCTTATGAGCTGCAATGGGCTAACACAAACGCAAACCCATAGAACCAACATGAACCAACACATTTGATCTCATTTGCATCGAAAAGAAATCTCTCCAGTTCTTGCATCTTTCACGTTCATTTGCTTCCAACTTCCTTGGACCAACAGTTCCCAGCAGGGAAGGAGAAAACTCTGCGGTGCCGCATGGTGCCGCTCTGTGCTTCTCAGTGACAGGCTTCAGGTGTTGGCAATGCACACAATCTTGAGAGAAATAGTCCACCAACCGGCCCCCACCATAGCCTGGGACATCCACCCATCTCAGTTGCGAATGTTTTTTCATCATTCTGTTCATCTAGTGACTGGTGCATCGGTGGTACTTGGACAATTTATTATTCTCTGAAGAAAATCACTTTGCAAATGGACTCATAAATATAATGCATAACTGTCACTTGAGCAGTGTTCAAAATCTCTCTGTCATTCCATTCAATCCTGGTTGGCTAAGACCGGGATCCCCCGTTCTTGGAGGATTATACTCCCCAATATAAGAAGGGTATGAAAGGGTAGTATAATCACCTACAATCATCAACCATGCCACCCTCCATCCCAGGCACGGTTCACGGGCTGCATATATTGACCATCACCCCAGGAGGCGCTAAGTCCTGCGCTCGAAGGGGTGCCCGAGTCGGTGGTTTCAAGCGCATGGAATGTAGTTTTGGGGTGCCCCAAACTATACAATGTGGGGCCGCCTAGATGGGTTGGTGTATAACTCTAATAGCTATGGTATATGCTGGTATATGGTACATATAACTATAGTGGGGGTTTTAAACCAACTTGTGGTGCCCCAAACCCTAGCGACTGATAGCGAAGTTGATTGATAACGTGGTAAACCCAAGATGTTGTTTCCATTCCCAAGATCACCATGAACGGGTGAAATAAATCCAAATGGTAGGTTTATTCTTGGGTTGCCCACAGTAACGACAGTAATCACATCCCCATAATATTAAACATTAGAAACCATTGTTTCATAATGTTTAAAAGGGAATTTCCACATAATTAGGACAATTTGTGGGGTGTTTAATCTTGGGGGGAAGGGATTATATAGCTAGGTTAAGTATGGTTTGTGGAAGATATATCATTATCGAGCGCTACTTGGGGATACGGAAGACCAACATAGAACCGGGCAGCACCTTGTCGCTGAAGGAAATCACATCCCACGAATATTACAGCAATTATATACATCCCCTCCATATGGGAGCCCAAGTTATAAAGGATCAATTTCGATTCATCGCCAATATTCCCCAGTGTTTTTTTTGGAAATAGTCCCTCTGAGTCAGGTAATCTTGATTTGTTTTTCTGCCACAAAGATCTCCTGACTCTGGGGGATCATCGGGTAATATCCGCATTTTCTGGTCATTTCAATGCGTGTGCACATATATATATATATATGGTTTATATGTATAATTTTTATATGAATATATTATGTAATTACATGTGTATGTGTGTGGTTTATACATCAATATGTTCCTTGGGAACATCCATAGACATCACGATCAACCTGTGGATTTCCTCGCTGTTGCCACCATGGACGCGGTTCCAGGTGTCCTGCATCTTCCTGCTCCGCACTGAGGCCAAAGGCTGCCGTTTTCTGGTCCCAGGCCTGGCTTTGATTTCCATGGGCATCCAAATTTTCACAAATTTCCCATGTCCATATCATACTCAAGGAATGAAACGACACCTTGATCATGACTATTTATGACTATTTTCGGAAAGTCAAGAACATGCTGGCTTTGTTTGAAAATATATGTATGCCCACGCCTATGCCCCCCCAAACAAACAACAAAAAACAACCATACCACAATGCATAATGTTCTTATACATGTATAATATGTAAAAAAATATATATATATATATGTATATATTATATTTATTTATCATATGTGTTCTCTGTTGCTCAGTGGCTCATCCCACTTGCTAAATGGATTAAATCCCCGGTTGCGAGTGGGATAGATAAGTGGGGCCAATCCACTTATTTCACTGGGGCGAACTCACCTACTTAGCGGGATGAACCATGGTAAAACCCACGACATCTGTTGAAAAACATCTAGTTAATCAAGTTCTCATATATCTCGTATGGGGGTTTCCTAAAATGATCTAAAATGGAATAATTACGCCAAACACCATAGGTTTCAATACCAACATAGTCTAATGACTTGGATGATTTGGGGGTATCACCATGACTTAGGAAACTTCCATATACCGCCTAGGGATCCACAGGGTGTTTCCAGTGCCGCAGTTCACTGCTACGACCTGCGGATCCGCGCGGCTCTCGACAAAGTCCAGGAGCCGATCCTGTCTTCGTCCAGCCGCTGGAGGTAGGGCCACTGTTTTGGTAACTGGGGTTACCCTCCAATGAACATCGAACCTGGCAAATAAGGCTCGGAAGATTCTAGTTTCCACTTAAAAAACAAATAGGCTATGTTCAGGGTGTGAAAATTTACTGGAGGCTACAAGCCATCAAAGAAAGAACCGTTCCATTAAGAAAAACACTTGCCTATCGATGTCTACCTACAAGATCAGCCCATGAATTTCCTGAATCGGAACTGGTTCCTAAGGATAGCCCAGGGAGGGGGGCTTACGAACTGGGATTATCAATGGTTGTAAACCAGTTATCACAGTAATAGGAATTAACCAGATTCTATCATTATTGACCAAATTTTAATAGTTATGAACCAGTTACTGTAGTTAATGTACAAGTCTTAATAGTAATTAGCCAGTTGCTAGTCAACAAGGGTTGCTAACCAAGTAGCAACGAAACATTTTATGGTGGTATTTGTGGGTTCATGGGATGGATCGAACCCCGAACTGATGGCAGTGTTTCGTTAGTTGGTGGATGGTAATTTCACTGGGATAGGATCGGGATAATGCAACGTTGTGGAACATCAATCAACCATGGGTTCAGGGTCTGAATTATTATTCATCAACAATCTGAAGTCATGGATATTAACTAGGATTAACCAAGACAAGTGATACTAGTCAAAAGAGTTAGGAAGATACGTTTGCTTTTCGAGTCATCATATTGCGTTGCAACCGCTCAGCAAGCTTCATCCAAACAGAAAGGTAGAGAAGCACATCGATGGTCGAACAGAAATAAGTACACAAGGCTAAGAATCAACTGAAAATATGGTTGTTAAATGTTGTTAACAACACAAAACACAAATGTTCACCCGGGATGACTAGATCCCTGCAATTAAATGGGGAGGTTTACACCAAAATAGTGAAAAATAGTGATCACGTACTATTCAACTTGGCACCCTGTATTATAAATTATCACTACACGTTCATTCATATTGTCCCACAACCAGAACCCTACTGAATCCGCACAGCCATCTTCCCAGCCGATATATGACATGTGCCTACCAGGCATTTCAATGCTTGCAACCGAACAATAGGTGGGCATGATGTAAACATATATATATATATATCTATATATATATAAACCACAAACATGGTACCCTCCTGTAATCAAACATGGCAATGGAAACCCCCTCTAAATGCACGTTTTAATGGAAAACGATCTGTGAATGAAGGATGCTCGAAGATAATGCATCCACAAGGCAAACCATTGCAGTTGGCAGAAAAAAACATGGGAAAATTTACACGCCAGGTGTGCTGGGGTGATGTCACCGTCGCCGGCCAATTGACAAAGTAGTTTCAATGCACGACCGTTGGCCCCACAACTTGCGTTTGCCGTTTGCCTATTTTTGCTGAAATGATGGATGAATTACTCACAGCCAATCCTCCCAGAAATTCACGGAAAATCAGATTCCCAGTTGGTGATTTTCCATTTATAGAAAAAAACAAAGGGTTAAACGACCCACCCGTTGGTGATGGTGGATTCACTTCCGAGTGGCTTTGTCGCTATGCTCCAAGATTTCCTCGCCGAGCTGGTCCTACCAGGCATCAAACGAGAAGTAACTGTTTGACCAGTGGGTTTCATGCCCAATTTTGAGTTGTAATTAGCAAGAAAACATAGGAGCATAGGGGTTGCAATCATTCAAATTGGATGTTGAGAGGCAAAGATCGAGTGTTCACCTGCAAGCAAGTGGGTTTTAAGGAGCAAAACATGATGATTTCAAGTTTTAAAAATAGCCCTTAGCCCGATACAATAAACAATGCCTGATATAACCAGGCAGTTCAATCATGTTCAAACCATCAAAACAATGGATCACTAGATGCTAAAAATATAAAATGAAGTGCCTATCCGCGGCTTATTGAACCGCCAATAACTTGAACAATACCAGCTAAGCTACCCCTGAATGCACAAAAATATTAAGCATCAGTATCAGAATAGAACGGCTCTTAAAAACACTATAAAAAATTATTCAATCACTTCAAATTCCGGAGTTTTTAAGAGTTACCTTCCAGTAAATTAACATAGACCCTGCCAGGTAGGGGTATAGGGGTAGGAAGACTAGTTTCTACCAAAAATTGGTGATTTTCAGGGTGGAACTGTTAAGTTACCAGAGGCTAAATCATTAAATCTCTACTTTCTATATACTCATTTGCAGCGTGAAAACATCAGAATTGGAAGAGATTTTCTCAGTTCCATGGATTCAGAGGCTCCTTCTTGCCGTAATAGTACTTGATGGTTGGAAAGGACTCGATTCCCTCAGCCTGACAGGTCTCGAAGTCTTTGCCCTTCTTCCAGTCCTCAGGAAGCTGGAGCCTGATGGAAAGAAAACAGCTGAAGCATTTTCTGGCGGATAAACAGGCACACACAGATATGTATCATATATATATATATATATTTATGTATATATACATACATATATATATATATATTTATGTATATATACATACAAAAAAAAACAGGTCTTGTGTGCATATATCATTATATATAGACACTTTTAGTCACTTATAAATATATATATATATATATATACATACATACATATCTGCAGCTTACATGTGTAGTGACAATAGCCATGTCTGGAACTCCATAGAGCTAAACCATTAGATGTAGCTTTCTTCCTTTCGGGAGCACGGGGACGATCAAAGCGTCGCAGCTATTACAAGCAGAAATTTGTTAATTACGAATTAGAGTCAGGTCCGACCAGTTAGGGTCAAGGGGGGAATCAATCACCAGGGAAATTCAGGGTAGCCCATTCATCTTCCCTTAGCTGGATATTCTCAATGGTGTCCTCGTTGTCCAGCATATAGACCTGATGGAAGGCAGTTGCAAGCAATTGGCAAAACGCATGCGGAAGGGTCTTCTGCTGTGCTGCTGCAACATATGCTTCTTTGGCTGCCTTGTTGTCTTTCCCAACCCTGCCACTGATCAGAAGCGATGGCAAATGCAGACAAGAACGAAAAGAACGCTCTAATGAACTGATGCCACCATGATCATAGATTGTGAGAAGTCTGGCATGCTGTGGTGAAATGGCACCAGTAAAGCTTTGCCAGATATCCTGAAGTTCACATCCTGGAAGCTTGGCAATCCAACAAAGGATTGCTAACGACCATATAGACGGAGCATTTGGTTTCGCGGAGGGAGCTGGATGCGCAATACATCCCCACCTCCTGCTTCGTCATTGGCAAATCAACATGGCCACAGCAAAAAACAGCATCATATTTGAGGTCTGGACCTGCTTGCACTCTTTGAATCGAAAGTGAGGTCAGGAACACCCCAAGGCGCGGAAAGCCTCCTCACAGGCCTGGGCCCTGTAGCATCACCGAGAAAAAGCCCACGGGCAGCAGACCATGACTGCGAAGGCGGGCTGGCCACAATGCCTGCTACAGCTCCTGTCCTCTCAGCGCAAGGTTAAACCAAAAGTTTCGCTGCTGCTAGCCAGAGGCACTGCTTCCCACTGGTTCAGTGACAATGTCACTGGGGGACCAATCCAACTCCTCAATGCATGCCTGTACATCACCTGGTCTACGGTGTCCAGCGCAGAGATGGGCAAACACTGGTTGAAAGAATCCAGGAAACAAATCTGGATTCGGCACGTAATGTTTAAGGTCGGTGCCGGCTGTGATTTCCAAGCACTCCTCTGCAGAAAGGTGATTGGTTGTTGGCATCCAAGAACCCATTCACGGTGTTGATCAGGCAAAAAGAATTCAACCGAAACATCCTGCGCAAGTTGCTTGATGGCCTTGTGGAATGTAGACGCCCAAACTGGACGCAGTCTACGACGAAACCAGCGCTCAGCAAAGCCCGGAGCCCACGTGAGGAGTTGTTGAATCCTAGAGATTGGAAAAGTCGAATGCATGCAGACTGGGACAAAACACCCCACCCAATGCTCAACCTCACGGCATGCATTGTCATCAAGTAGCCCTTCAAGAGCTGTCATCTCGTCCAGGAAGACAAAATCAGGCTCAGTGAGGTCATCATCAAACTCAGTATTTGAAAAGAAACAAGGGCCTTCCGTGATCAAAAAAGGGCATTGAGACCATGGATTCGAGAGACGCCATGCTCTGCTGTTGTGACCAGGTAAAAGAGCACACACGGCCCCACACTTCTGAAGCTCCTCTAGGCAATCAGAGATGTAGTGCAAGTGTCGGCTGAAGCGATCTGCGTTGAGGTAGGCCTTGCCGCAAACATCACAAACGTTCCCATCAGCAAAAGATCCCGAGAAAGCCGTCGACCATGCTTGCGAAAACAATACGCTGCCCAAGCTGACTTAGTGGCAAACAGCTTTTTGCAAAGCAGACAGCCATGTACTGTAGGAGCACCTCTACCTGCTGAACATGCGCCTCTGTGGATTGGCAAATCTGCTTCACGAAGCATTTCCAAAAGGTGCGATGCCCATATGTCAACCTCAACCTCAATTGTCAGCTTCATCAGCAGCTTCTTGCTTGCTTTCTTCAACAAGCCTTTCCAAACTCCAGGTTGGTGGACTCCAAGGCTAGTCCAAAAGGCCAGATCTGCAGCTGGGCACGGCCTGGGAATTGTAGGGTCAATCAAGGCATGCCACCAAATCAAGTCTTCTTGGACACAGCAATGCCAACTACCTTCAAGAGCAATGAGAGCCCACAGAGCATCAGGCCCATAAGCCAAAACACTGCGATAGTAGGTAAGTCTGCAAAGTCGCAAGACGTCCCGTGGACTTGGATATCCAACGTAAGCACAAACTTGGCGTCTTTCCAACAATAAAAGGGCCTCGCGATCCACATCAGCCGCAAGAAGTCGCCTGAGCAGCATCATGATGCCATGCGCGAAAGCGGCCCAATCTTTTGAGCCAATGTTGAGCCATGTGCCAGCCCCAAAATAGGCCGTAGTGATCACACAATTTTGGAAGATACTGAATCGCTTGGTCATCATCATGTTGGATAGAAAAAGCCACATCGTCTGCCCAGGTCGAAGCCAAAAAGTCCACTGACGCATCGGTACCTGGAGCAGCTGTAAGTCCATGCTTTCCATTCCATTGCAGCTTAATCATGAGTCCTCTCGACACCATTTCATCCTTGATGATTCTGAGAAGGTCCATCATGACGAAGTTGAAAAGCAAATGAGCCCAGCCGTCACCTGGTCTGGTTCCACACAGCGTCCGGATCAGGCCAGGGCTGTTCCTCACATGAAACCACGTATTTCCGTGAAAGGAGAAAGCTTGTTGTCTGACCCGTTCAGACATGCCAGCGCAAGTTGCTATGTACTCTTGCTCGTGCAAAGCCTCGTATAGGTCAACTGCGTATGGTCAGGCAGTTGCAAGTGGCTCGTGAGTTTGCGCAGCTCGGCTTCAGAGCAAGTGGGCCCAATGCTAAGATGGCGAAGAACTCGGTAATATATATATATATGCGCTTTAAATCAACGAACAAATGCCAGTTGAACGCTTTGTGTGGTGGCAAAGAGCTTTAAGAGTCTAACCCCATGAGATGCAAATTCAACCGGTCTCCCCGGAAAGCCTCCGCAATGCAATCCGTCTGCCTGTGCAGTGAAGGTTGGCAAGGCATGTTGTCTAAAAACATTGTGGAAAGCTTTGGCGACCTGCGAAGAAACCAAAATGCCTCTGTATGAGTTGGGGTGAGTTGTTGGCCCTTACCCTTTGTAGGCCTCGCAAAGTACGCCGCCTTTGAACTGGATGGGCTCGGAGTGGTAAGAAGAGCTTTTGGCAAACAGCGGGTACAAAAAGCCCGCAAAGAACTTAGCTGAGGGACTATGTGGTCAGTGCCAGCCGCTCTAAGTGAGTGTGCTCTACGCAGGGAGCTTCGATTTCCTCAAGCGTAGGCAAACACAAAAAGTCATCTGGCCCCGGCGTAGTTTGAAGCAAATCTTCCAAACCACAGAGCTGAAGCAACTCAACTAAATCAACACCATGACCAGCTTCAATGTTTGCAAAGTGCCCTTGCCATGCTCGTTGTAAAGCCGTCTGGTCGCAAAGTTTGGTAAAGCATATTGCTTGGCCTGTGATCAGCTTCTTCTGCAACTGCGCGTCCAAGAACGAAATGCGGCCGGCTTTGAATTGAGCCCGTAGCTGTCCATTCAAGACCTTGAGCTGAGGCCGCAATGTCATAGCCATGGAAATCAGCTGGAAAGAAGCCAAAATACCATTCAGCATGCATTGACCAAGTGGAGACTGGTGCCTCCAAGCTTAGAAAGCTTCAAGCAAAATGTTCTCACGCGGCAAAGAAAATAATCTGCCGTTTGAGGCTGTTTCGTGACCTCCTCAACATCCATGCCTCTTCGGAGACATATCGCCGCCTGAAACTCCTCTTCGGCTTGGGAAATTCCTGCCGGAGCTGAGCTATCAGTGCTTGATGCGCAAGATGCCAATGCTGATGGGGGTCAATAATCCAAGGAAAAGAAGGCAACGCGGAAAAGAAAAGGGCGCCACGCATCATCGTCGCGGCAGCGTCTAACTGCCCACCAATCCACTCCATCATTGTTCGACTTGCAAAGATCTATCTTTGTTTTCAAGGGCCCTTTGATACTCAAGAAAGCGGGGAGGTGGTCTACATTCGCATTGCCACTAATTATCCAAGTCAGCAGAATTGAAAGATTCAAGAACAAGATGTTTCCATGCGCACCGGATAGCAAAGTAGTCCAATCTCTTCCCCCAACCTGAGAGTGAAGCATTGCTAAACCAGGTCGTAGAACTGCCGCTGTGGCATCCTTCGTAAGTCGAAGGAAGCCAACAATCTGCAACCGCCAAGAAGCGAGCTAAATGCCTGCCATTTGTATCTTCAGACGAAGCATCAAAGGGACCAATGTGATCTGGGCGAGGTGGTTGTCCAACATCAGCATTTGCATCAAAGAAACCAAGGCAAAGGCTTCCTCCCAGAAAAGTCATCGTATTGTCAATCGCTCTGTGCAACCATTCCGTTTTGTCAAAATCAGAACGCCCTTGATGAGGAGCGTGGCCAACAATGATGAAGAGAGAAGCTGCTTCTGGGACTGGAACTCTTGCAACCAAAAGCCTTGAAGTCGAAACCAGCACTGTGATTGCCCCTGTGTCAATGTAAACAGGCCTCGCACCAACAAAGCCGATGGGAATGGTTGTGTTGACCGCTAAGGCGACACCTCCAGATGCTGCAGAAATTAAGCAAAAGCCGTCGGCAATCCAAATGCGGGAATCTTGACGACGCGTTTCTTGAAGACCAGCTATTGCTACACCAAGATGATGAAGCTGGCTGCGATAGTCGGCCCATTTGCCTGCGAAGCTATTCTGGTCATCTCCACCTTGACGACGCCCAGCTGAAGAAGTCCAGCAAGTAGTCCCTGCCCGCCAGGAAACCGAACATGAATAAACTCCTCAGCCTCCTGCGCAGTAGTGATAAGCTTGTTGAGTGGCAGGCGATGTCGTAGGCGAAGATATGATCCCATGCAGCAAAAAGTTTTCATTCTGGCAAATGCGATCTCGATGGTCTGTATCAGGAGGCGAGACAAAGGGCTCCCTAGAATGGGGGGGACCACAAAGGAGATCAAATAATTGAATCGGACCTGACTGTGTGTGCATACTACCCCCCCCAAGCGATTGCAATGCCAATGCCAGCCGCTTGCCATCGAAACCTGTGACAAAGGTTTCTGCTCCGTCTTGCGCGGGGCACCATACCCACCACGCCCACGATGTTGTGGTGCGTAGTAGTTCCACGATGCCTGCTCCCATGACATGTCCCGTTCTTTGTAAACGGGCCGCGAATGATGAGATTCCAGCAAGCTCAGCGCAGCCTCTCTGCGCCTCCGTTGGCACCAAGAGAGTAAATCAATTTCCTGGCCTTTGCTCTTTTCCCTCGTTGATTTCGATGCCAACAGGGCGATGGAGCAATAGCTGAAACACGTTGCAAAGCAACTGGGGATCGGGATGGATCTAAGACCCAACTTAGCTATTCTCGAGCCCTATTGGATGTAGCTAAAGAACGCAAAAAAATGTGGATATATTGTATATACCAATAAAAGTGAGGTGTAAAAGAGAAGTGTCAGCTGTCCGTGTTCAGGCATCCTGTGCAACCACAATGCGTCACAATATGCATGCACGCACCTTGTGTATCAAAAGAAACGGAGATTATATAATGTACATACACAGAGAGATAAAATATCATAGGATCGATTTGGGTTGTGTTGCATGTGCATCAAACCTGCCAACATGAAATACATATAATTTGGAACAAAATCAAATATATGCCCCATGCCTATCCATAGCCACATTTACCCTTGCACTCCCTCACCCACTACCAGTTTGTAGGACTCTCCAAAAGCATCATGCATAGTTTGATGACAATCTCATAGTGTAACAAGGCCCAACTGACAGGAATCCCACTTTTGTTTGGGACCTCCTGTCATGACGTGTCCTACTTCCCACTAGGCTGGAATGAACCATGAGCCGAGCTTCGCTGGTGTAACACTCCTTCTGCTGCCATATGAGCTTTGCGTCATGATTGGCGGCCTTCCAATCCTCGGACGACCGCCGTTGCAAGCTGAGATCATCCAGGGATATCTGACAATCTTTATAGAGCCATCCTAATCATCCTACAACTATATCCAAGGATAATCAAGGGATATCTTTGTCTGAAAAGTTTGGGTACCAAAACTGATGGTGAATCAGTGAATCGGAATCAGTGAATCGATGTTAATCATCATATGTGCCATGTGAATTGCTATGTTTTACGACGGTATCCTCCGTTCTCAGACACATCCATGTGAAACAACTACTTACTGGGATTTTCTCAAGGAACCCACAGCAGTAATAAAGCATATTCCCTATAGATTCCTCAAGTAGTGGATTTCCCATTGGAATTCAAAGCAATTAATGTGGGAAACACAATTTCCTCAACCCATTAATTATTAATATATTCTTGTTTGTTATATGCCCACTATTCGTGCACCATTGTTCACCACTATTAACCACTATTAACCACTATAACCACTATTAACCACTATTAACCATATAATAAACAGTATCAAATCTCCGGTCCATCTGACTCCATCTATTCCATTAATATCCCATTAAATCACCATAACCACAGCTATCATTAAATATCCCTGAAATTTCCAGCAATATGATAAGCAGTCCAGGCATCCTTTTCGGCAGCCTTCCAAATAGGCTCCAGCGCCTGGCTGTGTGGACAGTCCTGCTGCGAAGTGGCCACGGTGCCACAGCGGACGTGGGGGTTGATGGTCGTGGATGTGGAGATTGTCCATTAAGGATATCTCACATGTATAATTACCTGCGTTGCATGGATATTATGTATATATATATATATATATATGCGTATACATATAAAAATGGATATGCATACGTATATGTATATATATATATAGATATGTATGTGTACATGTTGATATCCGTATGTATTGTATGTATGTGTATATATATATTAATGTGTGTGTGCGACGTAATTATGAAATTGATATGGACGATTCAAATAATTCTGGGGAATCCCTTTGGTCATTGAGTCCAGCTTCATTTCGGGCTACTTGTTACGAGCTGCTTGGAAATCTGTTGCATGGGTATTTGGCAATATGGGGTACCCCAATAGCTGGATACTTTATAATGGGAAATCCCAATCTAAAGTTCTAAAATTGATAATTTGGGGGTACCTTCATGTAGGAAACCTCCATATTAATATATTTGTTAATAGTTAAACATATTTAAATATCCCATTAAACAGCAATATCCCATTAGTTGATAGTTATATATATAGTTATATAAGTTATGTATCATACTGTGGATGGTTGCGAAATAGTCCGTACCTTGACCAACGGACATGCAACGGGCTTCTCCTTGGCGTAGAACTTCACCACGCGCTGCACATCCTCCGCCTTAAGCTTCTTGGCCGCCAGCACCGGGGCGCTGGAGGCGGGATCTGCCTGGGAAAGAGGCCATGGAAAACCCATGCGAAAGCCATGGGAAACGCCAGATCTGCACCTGCGGGCATCCATTTTGGACATGTTTTCAGATGGTTCCATGAAAATGTAGGGGAGCACCAAATGGTTTAGGATAGTATAATAGTTTAGACTTAAAAACTCATGTTCACGATTGAAATGGCAATTTCAGGATAAGTCCCATGGTTCAGTACTGCCGAAACGGGTCGCAGGCTCCCGTGTTCAGATGTTGGACCCATGCCCAAAGAGGGGCAGGGGGTCTGTGAAATATCACCGTCATATTCCTATCCATCAGTTCAAGTATTTGGTCCACCGACTGAAAGACTGAAAATAAAGCAACCCAAAATGCCAGTATTGAAAATCCCAACTTCAGCATACCCCCCCACATCACACCATCTCAGTGACCTGCCTCGGATGCTGCCTGCTCGTTCAGTGGCCAATGGTTCTGCAACCAATCTGCCACCGACTCCCCCGCAGAGCGGATGCTGCTGGGCAGCAGGATGAAGGAACTGGCGACATCCACGTGTGGCAAGTGGTGAAGCAACTCACCGTGCACCATGCGGACCGCCCGACTATTGGAAGATGTTGAATGATCTCAGAATCACCCCGGCATTGAGGGGATTCTTGAGACGAAGGGCAAGAGCGAAAAAACAACACGTTGCCTCGAAGTTCTGGACCATTGAGCCACAGAACAGGCAGTTTATTTTCAAACAATTACAGTTCGATATGTTCCAATTGCGTGAACGAATCCGAAACCACTGGTGCAGTGCATCTTTCCAAGTACTGTTAAGTCCGTAAGTCCGATGCTACTAATCAGTCACCTGCATGGCTAACCTTCGATACCCAGAACAAATCATTTTTTACTGGGGCATATATATCTATATCTATATCTCTATCTATCTATCTATCTATCTATCCATCCATCCATCCATCCATCCATCCAAATCATCCATCCATCCATCCATCCATCCATCCATCGCTCTATCTATCGATCTATCGATCGATCTATCGATCAACATGGCTCAAAGCAACATAAACTAGCTAGAGCAACACCCAAAAAGGTAAAGTCCTACTAAAATGTTGGTAAAAATTCAAGAAGAAGCCATGAATAACAATGCAAAAAAAAAACACACAAACATAATATTTAGGAGCAAAACACAAACAACCACAAAAACAATTATAATATTACAATACATATATATATATATATGAATGTAAATGAATTAAAGAAAAAATATGTATTTAATTTATATATATATATACAGATACAGATATTTACAAGAAAGATGTATAGCAGCTGTCATCGGCTCCCCGCCTGCCACGTGAGATCTTCCGATCGAGCGCCGCGCTCTGAACCGGTGCCAAAGTCAAGGGCCTCCGGCAGGAACATCCCCATGGCCAAAGGGGGAAATTCGTTGGAGGATAACATTGATCCCATCCCCCTTACATACTATATAAACATCCCTTCAGAGCCTTGGATGGTCCCAAGCATATGTGTTTTTACGTGTTTTTATCACCTACATCCACCATGGTTTTTAAGGGGTGTTCAATATGAACAGGGGAAGGGATTTGTAATAGTTGGTTGGCTATAAAGTTGTAACCCATAAGAATTCCCCATTCCGATTCAATCACCATTTTGCATGGTTTAATCCCAGTATATAAACCATAGTAAAACCACTATTCAGTCTATTCAATGATAGCTATAATATCCCATTCATATCCCATTAAAATAGTATTCAAAAACCCTTTCCCATTCACCAAGCTGGACAAGATCTGACTTCGGCCCGTCATGGATGTCGCCTTGATGGCCCACATCACGGGCTCTGGCAAGTTTAAGTCCTGATGTCCACGACCAAAAAAGCCCAAGGAGTCCGAAGGAGGTAGAAAAAAATGAAAAAAATGTCATAAAATAACGTAGATGCAACTTACTGTTTCTCTGTTTTTAATGTGTTCTCTCTCTCTCTATTATTGCACGCGGATGCTGAACTGCCTACTTGACAAGAAATGGTTCATTTGGCTGCTTCATCACCAGCTGGATATGATAATATCATGTTAGCAAATGCATGAAGATTAGTTAAGCGCATAATATATAATTATCAACTTCTTCAAATTTGTTGGGCCGGGCATGCTTTGGGATTAGACATTCCCAACAAATCACAGTCATTGCGTGCAGGGACTATCATTCTACATCAAACAAAACACAGGTACCCCGAACACAGAACTCAGCAACAGCTGAGTTGTAAAAACACCCTGGGCAAACGCTGTTTTTCATCATCCAGTTCATGATGCACAACTCCTTGATACTTGCATTCATGGCACATCTTATACGTATCCAATATTATTCAGCCATATTCGAAGGACAAGCAAACACATCATCTATACCTATACATGCGTGCATACATGCAGCTAATTATCTGATATCACCGGGCCACATTCCTCCAGCTTTCATGGGGGCTCTAAAGAAATCACGCGATAAACTAGAGATTTCCTTTTCCCAAGAGTTGGTGAATTTTTCTGGTTGCCTTCAACAACCAACAGGTCCTGGCCAGCGCCCCGTTGGATCTTACCATCTGACAGTGGTGTGTTGAAGCTCCACCTTGAAACCGGAGAGCTTCACCAGCGATGACATGGGGATCATGAATTGATCCATGTAAGCCCTCTGGTAATCTGTCACAGCGATCGAAAATCACCATCTTTAATAGGTAAATCAACGAACTAAATGGGCCGTTTTCAATAGCTATGTTAGATTACCGGACGGTAGTGTTTTTTGATTTTTGTTTTGTCTCTCTCTCTCTCTTTTAATTAGTTGTTTTCGTCTCTTGCTGACACATCACATGCCTGGCTTGGGTCTGTTGGGTCACCAATTGTCTTGCTGCTGTGACTTGTGGCAATTGCAAGAGGGTGCACAAAAGTGTTCCAAACACTTTAGCAAAAACGAAGGTTCAAACAAGGAACATGATGAACGCAAGCCAGCAGCCTTCTCAGTTTTCTCGTGAAACATCACGCAGAAATATCCGTGCCATGTGGAAAACAAAATGTCTTTCACATATAACATGTATTAAGAGAGACATGTGAAATAAATCCGTCACATGATGCATGAGGCAACAACATACTGTGTAGATCTTCATTTCCTACCTTGTTTTGGAGAAACAACAAACTTCAACAAGCTTAAGGAACTCTCTACTGACGGGACAAGCGGTTGCAATGTTCTCTTGATTCAATCCATCGTTTGCAAATATGATGGCTTGATATGACACAAATAATACACACACACATATATATATATGTATATATACGCATTAAATAACATTATAATATGATATATATATATATATATAATTATTTATAATATATATCTAGTACCATGACAGCCAAGACCCGCTGAAAAAGCAGGTTCTTATGTGAGAACCTGGTTATTGAACCAAATATGTTGAAAAACTAGGTTTTTCACAACAACCTATATTTTACCATCAACATTGTCATTCATCAAGTTATATATATTAAACATGTATATAGATTAACATATATTAACATTTATAGCCCTGTCCCGCCTTCTTCAGGTCAAGTTGCCAACATCGTGGATCAAGAACACCGTCGATCAAGAAGATAGATGCTGGGATATTTAGAATGAGACATGTTTTGATGAAACTATAGAATGATTATATATCCAAAATGGCTCTAGGATATTCATCCGTGCTTTAAGTAACACACCCATTGACAATCAAAGCAGATAACTTTAAAAACCCACATGGGATATTAACTGTTCTTTTTAAACATGTGACTATCCAACAACATATCTCATCATGCCCTGACTTGGCTCGCGCAATGGTTTTCTCCAAGCGTGGCAGCAGTGTTCTCAAATGAGGCGAGGTCCTGCCGGGTGTCAAGATAGCAAAGAGATGCCATTGAAATGGGGAGTTCGAGAATCTCATATATCTTTGAATCATGGGATTTTGTCATGGGAAGATCAATGAACCCTCGGGATAACACGCATGAAAAAACACATATATGTGCCGCAAGGCTTTTTTCTCAAGGTTGTGAGTGGTGGGCAGCAACCACCCCTGAGCCATGGGGACGGCACGAGTGCCCAAGAAGCCAAAAGTTGATATCAAAGGGTTGGCAAATGAATGGGACAATTATCCTGCAGTCAGGGAGTACTTACGTGATCCGGAACTGCTGGTACTGTTTCCTGAAAAGACTAGCGTCAATGTGAGAACAGCGTCATTGCCACATGTGAATGCCATCTTGGAAGCTATTCTTCTTAGATCAGCAACCCTTGATGGGCATCCCCAACCAGCTGTTGCGCCCCTGAGAAAACAGTTGGAGCTCGTGTACAAGAAGGTTGGCAGGACCACAGTCGATGAAGCGGTGGTTATTTCTGATTCCTGGTATATCCGCAAATTCCTGGGATTGGTCAAGTTGAAGACGAGGAAGGAGTTGCCTTCTACAGCCCCTTGTCTATAACATGTCCAACCACACATCCAGAGTCACACGCAAAATACATAAGTTAATTGAACAGTATGTAGATAATCCAGCTGAATTTCAAGCCCAACAGAAGACAACCACCCACTGCTATCGCCCAACTAAGTCGAAACCTTTCCAGAAATTGTGCTGTATCCTGAACCCCATGCTTGAGGACTGTTATGCATCATATGCCAGTATCATATGTGTTTGCACCCGTATTTGTCTATATATATAGGAGCCTTTGGGTTAACCCCATGACTTGCCAGGAGATCTGCAACCAAATCAACAAGGCCCAGGAAGAGAAGGCTGCAGCAGCTGCAGCTCAACAAGCCGAGGCGCTCTATACAGGGTCTGTAGCTTCTGATATTTAAATGGGTATAGCACATATATACATGGCATTGTACCATTCCCAAATGATACTAAACATTTTGCGCCGCTTTGTGCATTTGATCTGTATATATTTAAGAACCATCACTTCATAAGCCGTGACTTCAAAACCATCCAGGAGCTAGATGAAGATCCTGATGCCTATGACTCTGACAGCAGTAGCGATGATGATGAAAGTGATGATGGTAGTGGTAGCAGTGAACATGGTGACGTTGAAATTACCGGGGTGGATGTTCCAGCTGCAGTGGCAACCAATGCAGAGCCCAGCACATCAAGCGGGATGCCAACTATGCCCCATGAAGGGGCAGCAGTTCCCAGCCCAGGTTCCCAGCCCATCAGTCCGGCGATTGAGGAGAAGCAGGATCCCATTGAAGCGCATTTGCGCCCGGCACCTAGCAATCTGTTCAATCTCATGATGCGGATGAAACCCACATAACTTTTCATGTTGGGGTCCTAGGTCAACAACAGGAAACTTGCAGTGCGCTGAAAGCACAGCTTTCGAGGGATTTGGACGCTGCGCGCGCACGTCTGGCTGAGTTGGTGCCCCAGTTTTCCAGGTTGATTAATAATTGAGATTTCCCAGTATAGGCTTTATATATGTGATATAATTCAAACCATCTTCAAGTGAGGATCCGGGAGAAGAAACTTCGTCTTCAAAGTGCCGTTCAAAGGATGAAGACCGAAAGTTTGGACCAACCAACGGGACCGCATTTTGTTGAAATCAGTTTTTATTATATATATGATTGCCCAACATATTATAAAGCCACACTCTCTTTGGAACCTCTATATATATGCATATCGATTCATATCAGTCATATCAATGGCTCTGCGGCCGCTCTGGACAGGATCACCTGCTGCGTCTCCCAATGCTGCAGTGGCCGGGGACCACGTGGAAAGCCAGCCAGTGGAAATCATGAAAGTTCCAGTCCCTTCGGACCCTTTGCCTACCTCTTCACCCGATATTCCATCGAAACTACGCCGGGAGAAATATCAAGGGGAAAGGAAGGCTGAATTTGAAAAGGAGGTGGCAACCCCGGCTACTTGGGTTCAACTCTTGTGAAATGGGTTTCAATTGCACATTTGGGTTTTGTGCGCATTGCCTTTTCAAAGGTTTGCGTCAATTTTCTTATTTAACAATCTTGGCAACATGCTTCCCAAAACTAAGGCTGCAGTGCCGGCGGCAGCCCCTCCTACAGAAGAGGACCCTGGGAAAGTGGAGATGAAGAGTGATGACAACAATGGTGATATGAAAGATGGCACCAAAGATGCCATGAATGATGACTTGGGCTTTGTGACTAGAGATGATCAACTCAAATTCAAATCCACAAAGAAAAGAACACGCAGAACCAAAACTGCGGTCAAAAGCAAGCGTAAGAACAAGAAAGGCAAGACAAACAAGACAAGCAAGACACCTAAGTCAAAGAAGAATGCGCCCAAGGAGCCAGAGGAACCAGAGGAAGGATCCCAGGAAGAAGCAAAAAACAAGAAACCACCGACCAGAATTGCTGTGGGTCGCAAGCGCAAGGTGCTCACTTCACCACAGAAAAGATGCAAAATCAAGAGTGCCAGCTCCGCTCCTGACAAAAAACCTCAGTGCTTTGGGCCCGGTCACGATGACACACCAGCCCCACCAGCCCCACCAGCCCCTGCAAAGCGAGGTAAAGCACCCATGGCCAAGGCCAAAGCCAAAGCCAAGACCAAAGCAACATGCAAAGCAGCGGCCAGCCCGAAAGCAAAGAACACGCGCAAAAAGCAAGTGAAGGAGGCACCCGAAGGCGAGGCAACGCCCAAAAAAACACGAGGCAGAAAGGCTGTCAGAAACACAGGCGATGACTACTGGGAAGAGCAAAAAACATCACCTTTGTTCTCGGCTGAGATGGTTAAGGAGTTGGAAGAGTTCGCACTGCGCTTTGATACATCCCTGGAAGTCAAAAGCACAAAATTCAAAGAGTTTTGCTCAGCACAGCAAGACAAAGAGTTGTGGCATCACAGGTTGAACAGGTACTGGACCCGAATGACTTGCGGGGTGACTTTGAAGGAAACAGGTAAAGACGTTCTCCATTTTGGTTTCACCAGCTCATGCGCATGTGACGTCCACAAGATGGCGATTTCAGTGAAGTGTGCTATGATTTCAGCAACTTAGCGGTTATCTTAAAGAGTTGTGGCATGTTGTGGCACAAGTTTCAAACATTTTCAAACAAACATGACTTTTTGAATGTTTTCTTCGTATGTTTTCTCTCTCTCTGTTAACTGGATCTCTCCCTCTCTTGTAAGGCAGTGGGGTTGGAGAACAAGGAGCCCTACGAGAGAGATGGACTTCTCAACGAAAAGCTGAAACATAATGCTGCCCTTGCCCTCTTTTTGTTGGCGAACCGAGTCTGACCTGAAATTTTGGGTCATCTTATATACATAGAGCCGGGCAACTTCTGATTTGGGGTGAATATATGGGGCCAAGATCACAGCTCATAGGCGAGCAACCCGTTTGGTTCGCTGATTGCACTTCAAGACTATATACTTTCAAAGAAGTATAGCACCCACGAAAACATTGCTCAGACTTTCATGGTTTCATCAGTCTCTGGGTATATAGTTTTGATCTGGTTGCTGCAGGGGCTATGTGAGGCAACATATATATAGAAGGATTCCAGAGGCAATGAAATTTGCCTTACGCTTCCCGGCATTGATCTCTTGATCTCTGCAGTGTGGTCTTGATTTGACTGGTCGATCGAGGATGGAAAAACCTGACTTTGTTTGGCGCTCTTGCTCTCGCTGCTGCGTCTGTTTCCTACCAATAAATGGGTTTGCTTTGGATTTCCCCCTGCAATTATATAAAAAGATATATAGGTGTGTATATGTATATATTTATAGATGGGTCATGTCCCTGGTATGCACGCCACAAGCAACATGGGTTGAACACGGTTTTGTTCATCAGGCTTTTCCATCTTTATATGAAGGATTTGGGAGATGGTACCAGGCAAGTTGCTATCATCAACATAGTTCAATTCAAATCAACAGGATAAAAAAAGTTGGGGTGCAGGATATTCAATTTACACACTCACGATAGACCAGCCCGTGCTTCTCTCCAGCCTGCAGGCTGCCGATCGATTGGCATGGGCCTGCGCGGCAATATCTGGAAGGTGCGAACCAAGTTTCAGGCAAAGACTAAAGGGCGTGGAGCTGGCTCGATTAGGGTTATGGGGAAAGAGCTGGTGACACATTTGTGCCTATATATATACATGGAAGTATATCAAATTGGAATTGCATGAGAGCTGTCATGCAGCGCTGCTTAAATTCAAATGCAAAAAAAACATGGTGCATAATCCCCTGCACGCAGTTTGATGGATCAAAGAGCTTACGTGTCTCTTCATATACCGGTATATAGAGATGGATCGGTTCAGGGATCCCAGTCAGTTGGACCAGCTGTTCTTTCAACTGCAGTGCCTTGAGTGCCCAAAGGCCAGGCTCTCAAAGATACCGCTCCTGTCACGGGATCTGCCATTTGCCATGACACAATGCAATTAATATACTTATATATATAAATATAACATTATGCAGTTTTGACCGAATGCTTGGAAAAAACAGCTCACCTATATAATTCAAATTTTTGGGGCTCTTTCCATGCACTGTCTGTTTGAGGTGATGGCCCTGATCATTCTCATGATCTTATGGACGCCGACCCTGCGTTGCTCTGAGGTGAGAGCTGGTGATTCTGTAGAAAGGGACCCCAATCAAACATGTGATCCATGCATTTGTGTAAAATCAATTTAATTGAACGACTGAAGCAATGAAGTATATAGCTCATAAAGATTGATGAAGGACATTCTCCATTGCACATATATATATATATAGATTGATGAACGATCCATTGTATATATAAACCATCCACGCAAAAGCCAGGAGTTTGAGACGCTGGAGTTTTTCGCGGGGCGCGGAAACTTGAGTAGGTGTATGAGACTCTCTGGGCGAAAAACTTGTAGCTTCGATATCCTCTACAAGTCAGGAAAGGGGCGCTCAAGACCATATGGAAGCAATGCTATGGACATCAACTCAACTTCGGGCTATGCGTAGATTGCCTGACATTATATATATGGTCTTTCTTTCTGTCAATTTCTTGATTTGGATATATACCATGCATGCAAGGTTTATTTTCTTTTGATCATAAATTCAAAGCCCAAAAGAAAAACCCAGAATCTCTTAAGAAGGGAAATGGATCCATCGTCAATTGAGCGTTCAATTCCATCATTTGTTTAAACAACTGGGTTGGAGATCCAAATCTACATATCTGATGACTGATGGTATTACTTTTTGCTGCATATATCAATTCATCCCATTTCATGGTTTTGGACCACATCTATACACAACTGGTTGTTCTGTTTCGATACATTACTATATATATATATAGGGATGGTTTTCTCTATATATGCATATGGCATATTCTGAAACCACCCGCTTGAGAAATGGGAGTGACAATCGAACATGTCCAGGGTCTCTTTGGGAAACAGGTATCAAACACATGCAGTCGAACATTAAGTTATCCCATGAGCTTGCTACTCAAGACATGCAAGAAATTTTATATATATGAAATGTGTTTCGAACCACTTCTCTTTCATATACTTTTGAATCGGTATCGGTATGCCTGCCACAACCCAGGCTTTGCATCCTTGCCTTGCTTTGCACAAAGATCCGGTTTCTTGCGACCTACGCGATCAAGTGTGCAAGCTGGACGGCTGTGAACCGGGGAACGAGTGGGCGATCGGCTTGTGCTAGCATTGGCCATGAAGGTTTTGCTAGTGTTGACAATTCAAACACGATGGCAAGCAGGAACCTTTGGTTTACAACAATCTGATTAACAATCTTTTTCCATGTATGTGAATGGGGTTCATCCATGCAGTGGTTCATTGTTCAATATATATATGTGGGAATCACAAACCCAACGGCTTTGTCAATCATCTTTTCCACTATTTTGCAGTTAAGGACCTGCCTACTTTGTTTGTTGACAACGGCATTGGGGGGAACATGGGCAGTGGAGCAACCAGAACTATCAGTGCTAGAGTACTTTCCACCTTTCCTTGCACTATTAACTGCTTTGTACAAAGCTTATGGTGAAACCGCTGCACCTGGTCTGTCATTCGCAATTTATATTTTTGTTATCTGTCATGCAGGAATGGTTGGTTTCCAAATAGATAGTTTGGCTGATATATACAAATATGTATTTAATTTGGCTGATATCGAAATATATCGATCGAGAGTATTTAGAGTTGTTCCCCAAGGTATACAGAGCCAAGTGGTATATGCTCCACTACGGATCACTGACACCAAAGCCCCACTACGCGTGGTGCAACAGCAACGCAATCCAGGGGCTCAACATGGGCCGACTGCTTGGGTGGAAGAAGCGGCTGGCTTTAGGTGATATCCCCAAAGTCAAAACCTGTGAGACTTACAAGGACAAGAATGGAAAAACCCGCTATAAAGGAACGGCCGCATTGCGGAAAACCGAGTACCTCAATTTTGTGATGGGCATTTATATAGTTTTTTATGGTTTCCCCGATCTTGATATACTTGGTAGTATACTGATCAAATTGGTTTTGATTTTTCCCTTATATATACACCAATTCAAACAAGCATCCTACTTCATCCTGCTGAGGGAGTATCCTGTGAGATTCGGATTCAAGCTTGTGGACTTGTATGATGATCTGACTACGTCGAGTCGTGGCCGTGCACCTTTCCCAAGTGACCCAGCTGGGATTCCAAGCGCACCTGAATCGTTCAGGCGAATGCCAGAAGGTGGCCACGCCCTTCAGTTTGCACAGCTGGACCAAGTGTTTAATTATTTACGCCGGGGAAAACATATGGTTATTCCCAATGAGTGGAAGGACCTGGTTCCCAAACCCAAATGATTGCCTGGTTCATTTGGAGCTATAAAGCCCTGCAATATATATTTGGAATGAAATCGAAATTCTGGAGGGTATAACATAATTTTCAAGTTTTTGGGTGATCTATAACCTTTCGAATCGGACAACATGTGACATTTTATGATTTTTTGTGAAAAAATATGGTAAATTATAGGTTCTGGTCTGAAAAACCTGGTTTTTAGCCAAATAACCCGTAAATAACCCGTAGAAAACCCGTATTTTTTGGGACCCTGAAAAACCTGGTTTTTAGGAACCCGTAATTAACCCGTAAAAAACCCGTAATTAACCCGTAATAACCCGTAAAAAAAATATGGGTTCTTGGCTCCAAATTCCACTGTGCCACGAACGAGTTTTTAGGCTCGACTGGCTGCTTTTGCATGGGAAAAACGGGATGAAATGTGCTCGGTAGTGATTTCGCTGCCGCTTTTGTTTCGATTGTGTCAGTTTTTGTGTTTCAAGCACTTTTGCCCAGCTTTGGTTGCATATATTCCAGTTCAAATTGTGCATTTGAAGGGTTCACAGGGTTCCAGAGCCCCTCTTGGTGTTTCTATATATATATTTGTGGTGTCTTCTGCGCCATGAGCGTGGATTCGAAACTGACCACTACCAGAGTGTGGAGTTGCGCCACGTTGGAAGATGGCATGGAGCAACTAGTTAATGAGGCAAACCAGGTAGCCCAAGAAGAGTTGGACCTGATGAAGCTTATAGAGGACCATATATACATATATATATATATATACATGAAACATATGGTGCATGAAATGTGAATCAAAAAGAACTTGCACAACAAATATAAAATCTAACATGGCGCCGTCTTCAGGACATGGAACGACAGAAGGCAAAGGGCTCGGAAGGCCAAGTTGCAGTTCCACCAAAAGATGTCCCTTGCATGTATATATGAAAGGTTTGAATTCATACCATTGCCATAAACCATTACCATATACAGTATATATCTCACACCATGTACCACCTGCCAAGGTTCCTGAAGATGCACCTGTGGCTCCCGACATTTCCGAGATGGAAACTCTGCCTGCCTGGGCCTTGGCAATGGAATCTGGAACAGTTGATGATTTCAATGGGCAGCAACTTTTGTGAAGTGGATCCATCAAGCATGAGACTATACAATGCAAGTGATACAATGAATGGGCAACAGCATGAATATATATATATATATATATATCGGGTCTGTATTGTCTAGATTCCTCAATGTTCTCCATGATCGAATTGGTGGTGTGATCACCCCTCAGGCCTCTGAGAGCCAGCTTCCATCGCCGCCTGCAAGCGTGCCGGGGACAAACCCAAGTACTCCAAAGCCAGTTGAAAGCGTAGCATCGAGCGTACCACCCACGCCCGTTGAAGATGTTGAAGCGGAAGCTGGAGCTAAGGAGAAATCCTATATTATTGCACCGCACTTTGATATATAAAATCAGGAAACTCATCGCAATGTATAGTTCGAGAAAACTATTTTAAGTCAAACTCGATATATATACTTCATTGTTGCAGGAGAGCATGGAACAAAGACCAGTGCCGACTCCGGTTCGTGCGGATGCTCAACATGATGAAGAAGAGGACTTGGCTGCTGCAGAGCGCAGTACCCGCCAGGAGCCTCCACATCTATCGCATCTCTCTTCCCAAGCTTTCTCAAATACACCTTAGCACCCAATAAACCATGAGTGCAAAATCTCTTCATCCATGCATGCCAGGAGAAATTGATCGCCGCGGCTGCTGCACGAGTGCGGCGCATGTGTACTGCTAAGAAAGTGTGTAAGGGAATGAACGTCCCGCAATGGGTGGTTGATGAATGGAAAGAACGACCCAAAAAGGAAACAGCCAAAGTCCTGATGGATGTGAACTTTGACCAGGCCAGGTGATGTAAAACACATGAATTATAAGATACACAAATTTCATAGCTTGTCTCAGGAGAAGTTCATTCAGACCCTCGAAGTGATCGTGCGGCGCAAGTCCAGCATGAAGATGGTTGTGAATGAGGAATGGCGCAGTGAAAAGGAGATGAAAGATGATTTGAAGTGGACAGCGTTCCTTGTTTTAAAACGGGTTGATTGAGACTCATCACAACAGCTGTACCATGATGTACCATTGGACCATGTATGTAAAATATAGGCCAACACGAAATGCTATATATAGGTGGAGTACCGTTTGAAATTGCTCAAAGTAAAAAAAACCAACATCGACTGTCAGCTCAGGGCTCGCATTGCGGGCGCCAAGAAGGCCTGTGAAGCTAAGAAAGCGACGCATTGCAGGCGCTTGCTGCTCCAACAGACCTTGTCACTCATGAGCACTGTCGTCATTGAATGAAGTGAAAACCATTGCAAACCCAATTTCAAATTCCTTCTGATGCATGCATGTGATATATTTTTTCAGAACCAACCATGCCACCGCCAGAAAAAACATGTATGACGGCATCGATGAGTACTACGTGGTGGTCAAGGAGTCCGGGTCCCGTGAAGAGGAGGAGACACAGGAGGAAGTCAGACAGAGGAAGGAGAAGGAGTCAGATGAGGCTCCAACTGAACATGTTTCCACAAAACCTATATACATATATACATATCGACTTCTTACCCTCTAAATATATAGAGTATCCCTCGATCGATCTTCTATATATATATATATACGTGACTTCTTATATATATACTTCACATTCAAATATCCATGCTTGACCGCCAGGCGGAGAAGCCCGTGATCCGTGATGGTGCTTTTTCAAACCTGAGCCGCATGCAGGAAAGGTTGGCTGCTGATGCCGCTGCGCCAGCCAATGCCCAGGGCAAGCCTTCGGACCAACCGGGTGAGGCTGGTATATGATTTTTTGGGGTATGTTTTATACTGCAGTCAGAGTCAGGGTGATTTGGTCTTGTATGCATCTTATATGCATGTTCTATACATTTCAATTGAATCAGATATATATATATATATCTATATGTTCATATACAATCCCAATTAAAAATTGTCGATGTTCATGCTAGATAGCCCTTCGCATCCAGGTGAAAGAAAAGCTCAGGAAATTCCTCGAAGCCATGATGACGAAGTCAGGTAAAATTCGATCCCTCATCCGGGAAATCAAGGATAACTACACCAACAGTGACATGATGACCAGGCAGCGATGCATGTTTGATCCATGTCACATGTCTATATTTTCAAGGGTTTGGCCCCTGCATGCCTCAATTATATGTCAACATCCCTTGTCAATCAATCAGCTATAACCCTCATCAACCAACCTTGGGTTGCCATGCAGGCAGATCAAAGTCTTGGAGGATCAATTGACCAAAATGGACAGTCAGTATGACGCTTGCAACACCGTCATGGCGAAGGGTGAGATCACGGCATACCAAGGGACGCTTCTAAGCTGTATAATCTAAACAATGATGTCCATTTTGACCAGTGGAATTGACAGGCAATTTGGTTTGGATATACCCTTGTCATGTATCCCAGGTTTGTTCAAGATGCAACGAGTGCTATGAACAATGCCACCTATGCGTGTGGAGCTCAACAATCCTACACATATATATACCTGTCAATTTAGTTTTGGGCTGCCCGTTCAGGTGCTCGGCCGCCTGCGCTGCAGAAGCCAAAGCAAGGTTCAAACCTGAGCTCACCATGTCCATGCATGCAGAAAGAAATTCAACACCACCTTTCATATATGTGGCCTCCCCTCCATGAAGCTGGTTTTGCTAAATTACAGAAATCCACGCCACCTTGAATTCAATATGCCATTCGAATCTTTTCGCAACTTCAGGAACGCCAAGAAGTACGAGAAGAAGGACTCGGCAGGATCTGGGAGACCAGACAAGAAAGAGAAGAAAGATAAGAAAGACAAGAAAGAGAAGAAACGAAAGGCAGCGGAGGAGGAAGACGACGATGACGAGGATGAGGAGGAGGAAAAGCCTAAGCCGAGAACACGTAAGACTGACAGCAAAGCGAAGGCGAAGGTCAAGAGCAAGAGTAAGAAGTGATATGTATATAGACTGGGTTCTCCAGGATTGCTTGTGGCAATCCCTCTTTATGGTCTTTGGAACCTGCAGGATTCCTGTATATACTTTTTATAAATGTGTATATTGGATCGATGGTCCTGCGGGGGTTCACGCCCACATGAGGCCGAACCAGTAAACTACTCATGTCAAACCTGCAATCTCAAGTTGACAGTTTCACCCGTGATAACCGCTAAATTCATATATATTTATATGACAATGGTTTTGACGGAAAATGTTCATCTTAACGATGCAGGGTGGCATGAGGAAACCTTAGATGTTGAAACAATCGACAGTAGAACGCGGGGTCAAGATGTGAATGCTCGAAAAACAAACAAAACAGTTTTCACGTTTCCACATGTTCTTTGATTGCCACATGGGCTCCCGGCCAGGTGCTGGCAAAGCTCTCAAAGGATTCACTGGCGACATTGGCGATGGAGTTCATACCTCAGAGTTGGATCAGAGGGCGCCATGAACACCAAACTTTTATATGCCTGAACCTGCAGCTGCAATGCTTATCTTCGAATTCTATCAATCATACATGATCATCGATGCAAATCATTTTTTTTAGATCGATGCATGCACATGCAAAACAAATTTAACCGCATGGTTGGATGGATTGACAAGGCTTATGGCTTTTAAATCGAGATGGCATGCAGTCACCGCATATAGTAAATTCCTTGGTTCGATGGATGTGCCATGGATGAATCTCCAGAGGAGGAACTGCTTGATCTCTTCACATGCCATCGGACTGAAACTTGGCATTTTGCAACATGAATCACTGAACATACCCGGTGACATGTATATCAAAGTCAACATGTCATGCCCAACTTATATGATATAGTATATATATCTCAGGATTTTTCCCCATGTATACCTTTTCGAGTTCATAGTTGGTTGATGCATTGAGGAAGCCGATGGCCCGTTCCCATGGAGCTCCGTGGCTAGTGGCAATCATCAACAACACAAAACCTGCAGTGTGAAAAACACCCCAGCACCAGTTCTACCTGAGTGGGTCTCATTCCTGCCGCCCAGTTTGCGAACCAACCCAGGCATCCGGACCATTGCTTTGGAGGCAGCATCCATGGGATGCATCAGTTTCAACATTCCCAAGAGCCCTAATTTAGTTTCTGGGCGTGTGCTCCAGCACTGCATCAATGTATTGCAGGGTTTGTTTCAGAAACATGAACCCCTCATATTTAAGTTGGGGTATACTCACGACCCATGCTGGAGATGGAAGAATGATTTGTATGGGTATTGCCATGCCCGAGAAAAATATAGTGATATGACCGTCCTATGGGTATCTGATGAACCTCATGGACCTGCGATGCTGGAAGCCTCACTGATTGAGATGTTCAAAAGTATCTAGACTGCAAACATTCACCATGGATTCCTTGCTTAATAACCCTTCATGCGCCAAGAACTTCAGCTCCCTTGGCTTGCCAAGGCAGACGGGGCATCAAGAACATTCGATTGGGCGGCGACACTGTCGACACAACAGTGCATGGAGTGCACATGTGCTATGTAGTATACAGGTCTTTCAAGTTCAAGCCGGTGTGACGGCATGACCTTTTGCTATAATCACAAGCCGGCTTCGTTCCAATGGGATGTTGGGAATATATATATATATATATATATTCAACAGTCTATATATTTTAATCGATCGATGTTGGTTATAAAAAAAAATGTATATACCTGCATGGTAAGGGTTTTATAACACAAATGTATTTATGGGGTTCCTTTCAATATCCCGCGCGAAAACTTTGGGCATTGCACATGCAGCGCCAAAGCTTGGGCACTGTGTGTATTTGACAACAGGCTTTGAAGGCTTGAGTGGGCAGAGGGGAAAAGCTGAGCGTTGTCAAACTCTGGGTGTTGCTGAGCGTTTTTCAGACTTTGACACAAATACAAAGCCTCATGTTTTTTTCGCCTGTTTGTTTGCACTCACAGGACAGTGTGATTATACACCCCTGCCCGGCTCTGAGGTCACTTCATGCAGGGAGGTGATTCGGGCAGCCAAGAACATAGTCAGTGATCTTGGGGAAAAGAATGTATCCAAAAGCGCTGGGCTTGCGGAATTGAGTAGATGTACAGAAAGCCATTCCGAATGGGATGTGCACCAGGTAGCCAAAACATATCAGCTCATGCTACCGATCAAACTGACATCACTGCCAAAGAAACGAGGAACCCGGTTCACAGGTGATTTCAAGGCGATCTCACTGACTGATTGGGCCCAATTCTTAGTGGACCATGATAAGTGGCATGTGCTTCTGGGGCTGTGGAAACCCAACCCTGCCAGAGAAAAGCCATCCTGAAGGAGTTCTGGGCTCGCTTCAAGGTTATGGAGCCTGGTCATGGCATTTGGGAAGAGTTTTCTCGGCACAACGTGGATACAAGTGTCTGCTGTCCTCTTATGTTCCATGGCGATGAAGGCCGTGGACGGAAGCGAAGTGCTTTTCTCGTCTGTGCCTACCACAGCTATTTAGGCTTTGGCACAGCTGCTGCCAATTCTGCGAGAACGAAAAGGGAATACTGTTCCATGAAGTTGAACTATAGTACTTCAACACACATCACTCGGATGCTCACGGCGGTGCTCCCCAAGATGACGCAAGATGATGTGGCATTCAAAGCCATCATGGATTTTGTTGTGAAGGATTGCCTTCGCATGTTGAGAGATGGAGTGACATCTGCACATGGACAAAAGTTTCACTTTGGAATTTTGTCAGTGACAGGAGACTGGATGTTTCTAGCCAAAGCAGGCAACCTTGCCCGCTCTTTCGCCAATGTTCCGAAGCGCCCTCTTGGGCCGCAATCGCGGCCCAAGGGAATCTGCCACATGTGCCGTGCAGGGCAGCTACGATTGCCCTTTGAAGACTGTCGAAGGCAGCCAGCCTGGAAAGCAACCTTGTTTGAAGTGACGGATGAACCTTTCAATCAGCGACCTGTTCTTTTGCAAATTCCCCATGATCCTGCCAAAGCGGCTTCGCTGTTCAAATTTGACTTTTGGCATGCGTTCCATTTGGGACAGGGAAAGTCCTTCACAGCCGCAGTGCTAGCATTATTGTCGGATCAAATGAGAAGTACCAGTGTGGATGCAAGATTCTTGGAGTTGACTCAGATTTTTCTGGAATGGTGCGATGAAAGTCACACCACGCCATACTTGAGTGGCATCACCAAAGAGACAATTGGATGGCCGGACAGATCGACATACCCAAACGCAATGTGGAACAAAGGCCACGTGACGACTTGCATGATGAAGTTTTTGGAAGCATACTTGCACAAGCACCGCGCTTCTTTCAACGATTCCCCGATGCTGCAGATGTGTTATGATGCATGTCGCATCATGAACCAGGCGATGGAGGAGATGTATCGCAATGACGTGTGGCTGTCAGCAGGAACTGCCAATCGCATCGGCAGCCATGGCTTGCAGTTTGTCCAGCTGTACGGGAAGTTGGCCAAGCTGGCCTACGATTCGGGTTTGGCACTTTTTATTTATATGCCAAAAGCTCACGTGGTGCACCACGTCTTCGATGAATGTGCAGATGCTATGGCTTGGCATTTCAATCCGTTGTGCCATGGAGTACAGGTCAGTGAAGATTACATAGGAAAGAAAAGCCGCCTTGCACGAAAAGTTCACCCATCCCAGGCTATTCGCCGTGTCTTGGAACGCTCATTGAAGGCAGGATATAAGTATTGGAACGAAGCCGGGCTTATCGAGTGATGAAGAAAAAAAGGAAGCTACATGTGCGAGGTTGGGGGAAATTGGATGATTATTGAGGAAATGGTAAAACATGAAAAATCACTGATTTTGAAGAACCTGGTTTTTTGCATAAAACCCTGGCTCTTGATCAAGAACCTACAATTTTTGAGGCTCTGGGTTCTTCTGGTATATGTATATATATATAATACTAAATAAATATGTATATATCCCCATACTTTCTCTGGTCGACTCCCTCCCTCCATGGTTTGGATCGGCCATGGAACACGTAGAGGCCACCCAGCGTCGCCAAGGAGAGCCAGAAAGTAGCCGAAGCTTCCTGAACGGCGAACCATCCTGGAGTGGATATGGTAAGTTCAAGAAAAATCACTAAAATTGGAATAACTATTATGAAGAGCCCTTATTCTATCTACTTCATCTTTACGACATATATGTATATATATATATAAATATAAGTATTTGAGTATATGATAGTATATAAGTATTTGAGTATATGAGTGTGTGTGTGTGTGTGGGCACAGGAGATTTTCGGAGCCATGGAGATCACGGCATACGGCGATTTCATTGGCCAAACTTCGCAGCATAAGATCAATAATTTGATCCACTGTGCTCCAGTGAAGCATCTGTGTGCTTCGAGGAAAAAACATAAATCGTATTAAATAGTCAACAACACGACATGGATTCGCTGAAAATAGGTGGTCTTCTCTCCATGCTAAGGCCATTGAATGATGGAGAAAATGATGATAATCCATCAAACTTGAGGGGTGAACTATTTTGGTGATGTCAAACAAAAACATATTATATCATGTGGATGTATCACATTATTTTCTCAATCAACTGTCATGAGCATACAAACGATCAGTTGATGTGATTTTATGTAATGCTTGTACCTGCCCTATTTCTTTAAAACATTTCCTGTTCGGATTTTTTTGGTTTGCCCTATCCTTCCATATCCTTCCATCTCCGTCGGAATTCCTTGACTGTAACAGCAACACCTATTACCAGGAACACATGTATACTATACATTTACAGTCATATACATATTTACATATATTCACATAATTATAAAGATATATAATTTATGTTGTACACATGAATGTTAATCTGTGTAAATCCTCGGCATCTGTTAGTTTTCTTCCATCTTCCATATGGTTTTCTATACTTCCGAGCCCGGACCGTGTCCTGGAAGAGCACAGGGCCAAAGATGCAAATCTCAGTGCAATGAGCCGTATGCATATTAACAATTATTAACATGGATTTCTACACATACAACACACATGTGCATATCCATATTTCTACATATCATAAATATATATATATATATATATATTAATATATATATACACACTTTTTGTCTGTCTGATGCTATTTGTATTTATGATTGTGATTGATTATGCATGTATATTTGTATATTACAAATAATTATATATACATATATGATCATGTATGCATATGACATCATATGACATTATATTATGATATTATATGATTCTCTCTCATTCTCTCTCTCTCTCTCCATTGTCCTATCCAAGAGTTCAGTCACAGACTGAAGGCAAGCCAAAGGCCCAGCCCCAGAAACAGTTTGTCAGCCAGCGAGCTCTGTGGCAAGCCGCGTCATGTCACTGCACCAGGCAGCAGGCAAAATAGAAAGCTATGATTGTATATGTCATGCATAAGTTCATACGTATATTATATATAATTCTCTATATTTGTGTCCAAACAAATATTGATACAAGTTGAGTATCAGTGGAGCCAGTGCTGGCTTGGAAACAATCAGCTGCCATGGGGGGAACATGTTCCGAAACGGAGTGGCTGAAGAGCACCGTTCATAACGTCATGACGAAAAAACACCCTCCCAAGACGATAGATTTTAGCAAACTCCTACGAAAAGAGTGATAGATTGATATATAGTTTGAATCGGTTCTATCTTTTTGGGTATTATTTGGGGATTAGTGTATTTCTGTTTCCATCGAAAGAAAATGAGGTCCCTGGAAGCTTTCGCAAGTTCACATAGGATGTGAGTAATGTGAAGCACAAAAAAATATTTCTACGTGAACTTGCTTGGACATCCTCCTCAAAGAGGTCGTTCCGGATACTTCACTCGGATGTCTGATAACAGGTGATAAAAGAGTACCCTCAATTCATCAATCTTACGAAGGAAGTTCAGAAACTCAGTTTCCCCGTCTCAAAAACAACATTATCTTCTGGTAATTCAACGTAGCTATGGAATATGGCTGATTTAATATAGTACGATATGATTTGAAACATATGGAAACAAACTTGATTTTCATTGATTTTCCATAGCTATGTTAAATTACCAGAGGGTATGTTCCCGTATGTTCCCAACAAAAAAGTAGACACGTTAGAGCCGCTCAGCCCAGGACAAAGGGAAGCACCTGGCCGTGGACCCTGGCTAAAAAGGGAGGAGTTAAGAGGTGAAGTGACTGGAAAGGATGGACATGGTGGGTTTAACCATGGGAAATGGTGGTAAATGGTGGGCTTGAACCGGAACCCCTGGAATCCTCTGTGTTGGAACTGGAACTTGGTTTGACCAAACTACATCAACATAACATGTTCTTGAAAAATGCAACGGCGAACATGTCTGACATGTTTTTCTGTTTTGGAGGGCGGAATCATCCATGAATGCAAAAACTAAAGCGGGGGAATAGCGATTGATCCAGGCTGGATATGGTTACATCATGTTACATTATTTATACGGTTGAATTACTCCCAATCAATCCCAATCAGCCCTCAACATGGTCCTCCTCCCAGCCCTTGCCATCCCGACTTGGAAGACCCACAGATTTTAAGTGGCTAAAACAACCTGGTGAGTCAGTCCCGTGGACCCATCCTGTCAACCATCCCCACAAAACATAACCTTCTGCTGATCAAACATTGCTTGCTGGAGGGAAAAAAACATTTAGCAATGTCCCTCTCTCTCTCTCTCTCCATCGCCAATCTGGTTCAGTTCAGCGAGGCTGAAGGCGATCATTTAGCCATTTAATTTAGTTCGATAAGTTTCACATTCAAAAGCCCAATGATTGCGGGTGATTTAGCTACAGCTAGCCATGTTTGGGGATCCTCCTAAAAGGACCTCCCCCGGCCCTGAGCCCCTCACCAGGAAGGACAAGTCCAGGGCGCGCTTCTCCTGCCGAGACCCCCAGAAACCAATTCAACTCAACCAACATAACTACATATATATATATATTATATGTAAGCATATATATATATATATATATAAGTGTATATGTATATAGGGTACATATATACATAATATGTATATATATATATATATTATATTATAAATGTATACATATATACATATATACATATATGTATATATATTGTGAATCTTAGCCTCAAGAAACCGGGGATACCCTGTCCCAAACACGAACCCTGTTCTATTGTTTTGTCCTTACCTGCCGTAGCAAAGGCTCCTCAGCCCGCCCTCCTCTGTTTGAGAAAGGATCGCGGAAAGAACGGTGATGCGAGGCCAGGCAACATGTTCCAAAAGGCACCTTAAGTCTTCCAGCAAACCAGGAGAGTTTGACACTCGTTCTCTTTTGACAAAACACCAACTTCAATTTTCCAAAAAGAAACTTGTGGTGCCGGTCCATGGCCTTTCTTGCCGTTGAAAAGCTCGAGTTCCAACCCAGAAATCAGTTTCGGTCCTATTCCCAAAATTAGTTACCCTTTGAGCACTAAGCTTCCTCAAATCCACTGGACAGTCAGTGATCCCAATAGGAGTAAACTTGACAACCCTGGGTTTTTGATGTACTCGAACTAATTCATGGCTGTCCCTCCATGTCCAAAAGTCATGCATCGACGGGAATTTTTATGTCATTGACTTGGTTTGCAGATTCCATATCTCCACAAGTGGTATTTTCAGCCAACTTGGCCTGGTCCTTGACCCAACTGACGCGTTGGCGCTTATCCAACCTTTCTTTCAACACATGTTCCTCATCCCTGAGACTGTACATCCCAGTTCTGAGACATTCTCGGAGAATCTCGGAATCCATTGATTTCGTTAAACAGTCCGACAACATGGCCTGAGATGACACCCATCTGGCAACGCAGTTCTCTCTGAGTCTTTCACGGATCAACAAACACTCAATGGTCGTTCGATGCTCTGAACACTGTGGAATTGCCGTTCGGGTTAGTAAATCGTAAGCCCCTTTGCAATCGGTAACCAGTGCTGGTGTTCTCTCTTCCAAGAGAAGCTGCTCTGGCTGTCGCCAGTTGCACAATGGATTTCTCATCCAAGCCCAGAGAACCCGAATCCACATCAAGCGGTCTACGGAATTGCACAAAGCTGCAGCTTCAGCCCCCAACGTGCTTCGCACTACCCTGGGTATTCTTTTGCTGGTCCAAGCAACAGGTGCGACTATTGCCCTCTTGTTCTCCAACAATTGAGGTGTTGTTGCAAAAATTAAAGTCCCCTGGTGTGCACAGTTTTGCTCATTTGATAAAAAGGAGGCATCTGAGAAGGCACAGAAAGTCACATCTTCTGGTGCAATTGGAAGCACCATGAGAGAGACCGGATTTTGTTTGGCCTCATACAGCACTCGATTGGCTGCAACTAATTCTGCAACTGTGGCTTTGCAAACTGCAGACTGGAGTTCTCCAACCTTTGCCGAAATGTCTGGCCTCGTGTGCACCGCAGCGTACTGCAGTGCTCCCACCAAACTTCGAAGTTCAGTCCTTTCTGTTTCAGAGACTGCCGCTGTTGGTTGCTGTCTTCGGGTCTTTGGAATGCTGATTGGAGAAATCTTGTCAACATAGGAGATCTGATCATACTCAATACTGAAATCATCCCACTGACGGAAATTTATCCCCGTATACTTGAACTCTTTTCTTTCAAAAGACCCAAACTTAAATCTCTTTTCTATGCGGCGCAGCATTTCCATGAAAACTTGATCCCCTCCAGCGATGCCATCATCGACATGGATTCCAAGAGTTCCATGACAGATGGTTTTGCCATCTTTTCCCTTGGAATACAATCCAAACACACATGGATCTAGAGGACATTGTGTACACCCTTGTTTGATCAACTCATCCCGAAACTCACAGAACCAAAGATATGGAGCGTCAATGCGACCATAAGCTCCTCCATCCAAAGCACATTGATCCTGTTCCCCAATTTCTAGGGCTTCCCTTAGTTCAGGAGGTGGATGAATTCCAAGTTCTCTTCCGTCCCCTTTTCCATGCAGAAAAGCCGTGCTTACATCAAAAGATACAAGTTCCCAACGGTTTGATGCTACTGTTTGGAGGACTGCCATTCGGCCATCCTTGGTCAGTGTTGGTGCATCGTTGGTCACTGAATCTATTCCAGGGTCTTCAAACCCGATGATGACTAAACGAGCTTTGGCACGCTCTCCTGTGGATGAAAGCTCAGCTGGAGATTCTGAGCCGGTTGCACTCTTCCAATTTAAAATCCAACGGCAACGCATCAAAGCATGCTCAGGAATTTTCTTTCCAACTACACGCCTCACAGTTTTGTGATGCAACCATGCTCCAATCTCTTTGTGTTTGGCAGCTGCAAACAAACGCTGATCATGTTCCCCCAACTCTTTAAGTTTTACTTCCACTCGCTTCTTTCGCATTTCGGAAGCGAGATAGACCACTTCATCACCAGAACAGTTTTGTTTATGGGAATCCCAGACTTCCATCCCTGACCAGTTTTCCGGGGTGATATCTATCTCCCAAAATCCATCATTCCCCAAAACCTCAACCGTATCCCCAAAGTTTGCATCAGACAATTCCCCAGGATTAGCTTCAGGTATGGGTGCTGTCAAAGGATCCACTGACTGTCCTTCTGGTGCATTTGAGGGGGACAATCTTGAATTTGCGTCCAGAGCTGCACTATCATTTCCTGATTCCGAACTTACACTAGGCGCCTGTTCAGGTTCCGGAATGGAAGAAGTTTCTTGGACTTGTTCTGAACCCTCAACAACATCACTAAAACCGGGTACTTCCTCACCCAAATCAAAATAATCCTGATACTGTGCTTTCTTCAACCAATCTCCAACAGGATGCTTTGCCTCTTCTGTCTTTTGAACTTCTTTCCATTCCCGAAACGACGCTGGTCTGACTTGCTCCGGACTGGCTCGAATCAACTTGTTGGCATGTGATAGCCATAGAACCTTTGTTCCTTCAACCATGGCAATTCTGGCGGGTCCAAACCATTTTCCCCGTTCTCTCCTCATGTTTCCCCCAACTTTCTTCCAATATAAAACCCAATCCCCAATTTCATAGGGGTCTCTTAGGGGTCTACTTCTTCTCAAAAGGGCCCTCCGCAAACTGCTGCAGTTGTCAGCCTCTACAAAAGCCTTTCTTGCGGAACATCTTAGTTCCAGGGCTCTTCTGAAATGATCGCTGGAAGAGCCTTCATCTGCTGCAAGCAAATGACTGGCCGCACTTTCACCTGACACTACGGATGCAGGGAGCCTTCGAGCTATTCCCAAAACAGCTTGCTCGGGAGTATAGCCATGTATCCTGGCCATGGTGTTCTTTGCAGTGAAAGCCTGACGAAGTGCCTGAATGAAGCCCTCTGCATCCAAAATTGGTGACTCAGCATTCATCCTATCCAGCATTCTTTTAATGACATGCCCATGGGATTCTACTCTACCAAGCTGCCAGTGTGAGTCAGTAGCTGTCATTTTGAGTTCAATGTCCTCACTCTGCATCTTGTTCAACCAATGACTGCCAACATACTCAGCGGCTGGATCCAAGTACACAGTTTTCGGGGGTCCCGCCCATGACAGCCAAAGCTCATCGAAGCAACGTACTTGTGAATCCGCATCATCCCCACACAAACGACCCAAATGAAACAAGGTTCCCTCATCCAAAACATGAAAGAAACTAAAGACAGTCCCCTGACTATTGGTCCAAACTGCTTTATCCAAACCAACAACTTCATTGAAACCAAGATTTGTGTGGATTGCTGATGGTCGTGCCAAGCGGTATCCCTGCTGCGTTTCGCTGCAGGCATCACATTGGAACTCCAATGCCCCGGCAATCAAATGTGGATCAGCATGGGTATCTTTCAAGAAACGTGCCAGTTTGTTTGGGTCTGGATGTCCCATTCTGTGATGAACCCTTCGGAGCCATTCCCGTTCTTCTTTACTCAAATCAAGAAACCGTGGACCATGTTTGGCTACCCCTTTTGGTGGAAAACCCTTTTCATATTCCCCACCCTTTTGAGGTTTCTCACATGTCTCCAAAGTTTCACCTGGCCGATGACGTTTCGCATCAGACTCTGCAGGAGTCTCGCTGGCACGCTTGGCCATATCTACCCTGACAGGTTCTTCAACTTCGGGAACATGTTTTTCACTGACCATCATGGGAGTTTTGGAAACTTGGGTAGGAAAAGGTTTTCCAAACACAGTCATGCAAAGTTTGGCTGGCTTTGACTTGACAGTTCTCCTCGTCCTAGGCAACTCCAACCACTTTTCAGGATTTCCTACCTGTTCCACTTCCCCTGTCTGACGGTGCAGTATGAACGTTTGACGGATTGGAACTTCCGTCTCAGGATAGTTTCCTTTTGGGAGACGGAAACGGTCCGTGCCCCTGCAGATTTCCACTCCCACCACTTGAAAAGTACTACAGAGGTTCTTAGCATCCTCAAACAACAGCTCCTCCGGCCCCACGACTACTGTGCCTACCCTTGGGGCCCTTTTCTCTACCCTTACAAAAACTCCTGCCAAGACTTCTTTTCGGGGTTTCTTTCGGGGATTTTCTCTGGAAGCTTCAGAACCCTGCAGTGGTCTCCGGTGAGTGGCACACTTCTGAGCTTTGAGCTCTCCTGCCAAAATCAATTGTTCTTGAGAAACGGATGGCTCAATACACAGCTCTGCCAATTCCAATGGTATTTCACCAGAAACCTTGCTTCTCAAAAGATACCAACAAACATTCTTCGCAAAACCATTGGAATACCGAGCTGCATACTCAGAGAGATTTATCCGACGCCCTAGGTATCGGATGGACCCTTCAATTGGCTGATGATTGTGTCGCTTGCTGCAGTATCGGGAGTCCAAAGTTTCATGGAGCTCTCGTGAAGTCGTTCTGACAATGCTTCTTTTCCGAAGAAAATTGTTACCCTGAGGAACCTTGAGTTTTCCAACTTCACACATGTCAAAAACTGCTCTAAGAGTCCCATTCACAACATTTTCCAAACGTTTCTGTTCAAACACTTCAGAACCCTGTGGTTGTTCCATGTGAAAATGCCTACCATTAACAACCTGATAATCATAAACTTCACTGCGCAAAGAGAGATGTGTTTGTTCTGCTTGGCGACCTTGTAGAATTCGGTCATGAGCTCCCTGACTGCGACACATATTCAGCCGACTGAAGTTTCCCCAGAACTTACATTCCGGAGACATCCATACATCACGGGGACATTCTTGAAGAAGTATGTCCCAAAGTTTTGCTTGGCCCTGTGCAGTTGACAAATCTCCGTCCTTTCTGGTGAATCTCTTTGCACGTAGTCCCATTTTAAGAGCCATCTCTGTCAAGTTTGATCCTTCTTCACAGTAAATCTCCAGAAGATCCAATTTGCATTTCTGATTATTGTTTTGAAAAGTCTTGGATGGAGATTTGTCTCGTTGTGCGGTGACTTCCCACGACAGTGCCAGCATCACGTCCAGTTCCTTTTGAATCAAAACTGACAATCGTTCTAACTCCCGGTGACAATCACCAACATCTTTTGGAGTGGACATGTTCTCATCAGTCTCGATTGTGACTGGTGCCGGAGTCACTGAGCAGGAGATCTCTACTTGTCGGTTTGTTTCCTCATCAAATCGAGCTCCCGTTGCAAGATGGCAATCTTGGTCATGATGGCCTGTTCCTTCTCGACATCTTTGTCCAGAGTCATGCCTTCGTTCTCCAAGATCTCTGGGCTGAGGCTCCTCTTTGGTGGTGGAGAAAGCTCGAGGTGGTCGGCCATGAGTTCCCACTCCAGGCTTGCGGTATCTGGCTTCCATGGTGTTGTCGTTCCCTTGAACGAAGCTGCCGACATTGGAGCCGCCATTGCTTTGGAAGCCGCTGTGATTGGCATCTGATTGTTGCCCATGTTCATCGCCCGGACATAGTTCTGGAAACTCAAAGCCCACGCATTTGTGAGGTTCGGGTGATTCATCATGAATGCCCGGTACTTGTGGTCCTGGTTGTACACCTCTTGGAAGCTCTTGTTCTGATGCTTCCCTTCTGGAAAGCGCTGATCTCCCCACTGTGCCATCGTCTGGATTCCCTGAGGTCGACGAATTGGAGCTTGGCTTGGACTTGCATAGTTCAGCCCTGCATCCTCTGGGAATTGAAGAAGCCCCTCCATTTCCGGATTGCCACTCGTCGATGGGTTGCCCTTCATGTTCGCCATGTGAGCGCTTGGAAGAACAGAGCGAGACTGAACGTAGATCTCGGGTATGAGCCGTTTCAGCTGCTGAGTTCTCCACGCTCTGTTCTGTAGTTGCTGCTGCTGTGCTTGTGTGATTTTGCTTTTGCCTACATTCCATGTGATCACTTGCAAAAGTAACGACTTCACACGACTTGACATTCCAGTCCTTCTGACTGGTTTTGGAAAATACTTGCAGCACTTCTGACAACTCTACGGTGAATAACCCTTTTGGATTCGTTTTGAGGGGAACCCTACATCCAAGTTCACGAAAAATCAATTCACCATTGCCAGATGACACATCAGCCGCAGTCGATTTCAAAAATGCATTCGAGAGCAAAAATGGGGTCTCTCCATTTACCACTTCCAACCTCATCCACCTGTCACCAATCGGAAGATACAAAGCACCAACACTTGATAAAACACCATTGTTTCCAAACCTGAAAACTGTTTCTGATTTTCCCCATTGCACTCGATCTTGCACAGCCTTTGGAAGACTTTCGATCAGCCTTTTTACTCGACGTTGCCCAATCACGGATTTGCTTGCACCCGTGTCAATGATGCCTGGACAGCCTACTTCGGCACTCAAAATTGTTTCAGATCCAACACCCTTAGTCCTGGAAGAAATGCGATCAACAACTCTTTACAACCGTTGCTTCAAACGAGAGATATCCAAAGATTGGGCAACTTTGTTGATTGTTTCAAAATTCCTACCAGAACCCGTCATGAAAATGAATTCTTCATTAACATGGGAAATCACCTTTTGGTTTCCCAACAACTCAAGAGGAGGTCTAGTTGAAAGAGACCCGGAAGTGCAGTCCTGTTGTCCATGAAGAAGATCATGAAGTGAGATCACCGCCTCATTGATCGGCGGCAGGTCGACGATCTCCTCCTCAAAGCTCTCACTCTCCACCTTCAGCGCCACATTGACGTCAGCAGTAGAGGTAGTGGTGGAAGTGCTTGATTTCTTCGGACATTCCCACTTCCAATGTCCCTTCTGTCCACATACCCTGCAGTGAGAGGCAGCGATGCGATCTGCCAACGATTGACGGCGTTTGCCCCCACCTTTGAAGTTGAAGCCCTTCTTCATGCTCTTACCTTTGCCCTTGGGCGGCCAAAAACCTCTTGCTTTGATGCGATCTCGGATTCTGCCCCGAGCTTCTGAGTACGCTGAGAAGCACAAGCTCAACTCTGGTGAGTCCTGAACCACTTCGACCAGCTGGTCTTCAAATTCTGCTATCACCTGAGCATCTTCATCCCCTTGTTCTGCCATGGATTGGAGAATCCAATCCTCATCCATCACTTCATCTTCAAAGACGTTGTGAGCTTCTTCAATTTCATCCTCCATGTAGTTGACTGGATAGACCTTTTTCTTGAGCTCTGACGTTGAGCCACTTCCCAACACCTTCGTGTGAAGCGACCGCATCGCCATCTCGATCTTTTCAGCACTGATTTTTCCAGCTGTCATCACGATGACCTTGCGTTTGTCGTCTGGCGTAAGTGCACTCTGTTTGAGAAGTATGAAAGCTTTCATCTCTTTCACTGTCACTTCTCCTAAGTCCTGAAAAGCCACATTGAGCCGATTGACAAAACTCATGTTGGTCTCGTCGTTCTTCTGAACGATCTTGTAGATGGCCCGGTCAAACTTCTCATAGGTCTGCAGCTCAGCAGCTTCTTCCCACGTAGCTATGGAAGACAGAAGCACCTGGATGCCCTGCTCAGGATCTGCCAGCTTGGAGGTGTCAGTGGTACGGATCTGGGCCCATGCTGTTCCCTTCAGCAGCATCGCCAGCCTCGGAGCAAGCATCGGCTTGTCCTTGGTTGGACAGATGGAGTGTATGAACTTCACCTTTTCCACATACTCCCGAGGGTCATCTGTGGCCGGGTCAAAGGATGGAAGCAGCGACCAGATTGAACTCGTCCGATCATCCGCAGTCGACGTGCTCCCTTCGCCCGTCGTGAACATGGCTACAGCACTGGAAATCCCTTCTTCTTTTGAAGACTGGGATCAAGAAAGGTTCAGAGTGTTTGTTGTTGTCACTTGCAAACAAAATTGGTAAAGGCCACAGGTGCCAGATTAAATTAACCAACTTGCAAAATTTCCTAGGAACCCCGTTCCTACCTTAATTAAAAGAGTGAGATTTCCTTACCTATGGATGCCTCTATAGAGGCTCCGCTACCAATGTGAATCTTAGCCTCAAGAAACCGGGGATACCCTGTCCCAAACACGAACCCTGTTCTATTGTTTTGTCCTTACCTGCCGTAGCAAAGGCTCCTCAGCCCGCCCTCCTCTGTTTGAGAAAGGATCGCGGAAAGAACGGTGATGCGAGGCCAGGCAACATGTTCCAAAAGGCACCTTAAGTCTTCCAGCAAACCAGGAGAGTTTGACAATATATATATATATGTGTGTGTATATATGTATTGTACTATCATGTGGGTAGGAAACTCAATTTGTAGCTCCAACTGGCTCTCCATTTTATTTGGGGGATATGTGGAGACCCATAGCTCAGCTCACCGCTCCCTCTATTCACCACTGCCCAGGCACCTCGTACCCCATGCCATAGGGACCACCAGGCTTCCGAGCACGTAGCGCGGGCCTCGCCATGCCAACAGGCGTGCAGAGTCAGGGTGGTTATTGATGGTCATAAGTCACAGCATATTACACCTTCCCCCAAATCAACATTGACCCTGATGTATCCATGTAGAAACCCAATCTTCCAAGGGGTCTATGTGAATTTGAGGGGTAGTAATCATGGTGAAACTTGAAATGTAACCCCTTTAACAACTAACTGTATGGTTATTTAAATATTATTAATCAGCTTACAACTTCAACTCTAACCCCAAGAAGAAACAAAGGCAAACCAATACAGAACTGTATATAATTGTCCCAAACACTTTGAACCATTGTGCCAAAGAGATCTGAATACTGTTCAATGGTTGTCCCCGCCACCCATGTTTGGACACTCTTGAAGTACTCTGCCAAAAAAATGGGAAACTAAGAATTTGCTAAATAGGTTTGGCATAATTGCATTGCAAAACCGACACAAAATAGCCGTAAAAAGCTTCAAGATCTTTAAGACCAAGTTACACAGTGAAGAGCCACAAGCCCCAAATGCCGAAGAGTTTCAACCTCAGAGGGCCAAACAGAGGTGGGTCCATCCGATCCTCTCCTCAAATCTCCAGAAAATGGCGAATGCTGAGAATAGCAGGGATCTTTTGCTTCAGTTTCAACGAGATGTTCAACCTGGTGGCAAGCACTCTCTCTCTCTCTCTCTTTCTCTCTCTCTCTCTTTATAACTACCCATCTTCCTTGGGAAAACATGAAAAATATATCATATATTGCCAACTTCCCACAGCTGCAGCTTTCAAGCTTCCGCGCGCTAGCATCGAACCTGAAAGGGTGGCGATGGAGATGGCACCCAGTTCCCAGCATGAACGCGCACCTGCTACAATCCTTTTGTCCAGTGACGAACACACCCAATCATGTCTTGAAGAATATCTTCCAACATAGTAACATATCTATATCTATATCTATATGATATATTTATATGTCATCCTGTAGATATCATCACCATACATTGATGACCAAACTCTGCGGGCACCGGATGCCCCGAATACCTCGAGGGCAGCGGATCTAGATCTGGGATCCCACACCTCTGGCGTTGATCCCCGCCCATGTGAGATCTGGCACCTCCATGGCATCCATGTGAGTCATTAACAAATGTATTGCAAGAGCAAAACAAGAGGAACAGATTACTCATCAGCTATTAACTATTATTAACTATGAAAAAATCTTGGGAGATGGGAACACCATGTTCTCAAATGGGAATTCAGGATTCATGCGCGACAGCGCTTAGCCGCCATTTAGTCGCCGTTTAGTCAAGTCACCACTTCATGTACGTCACACGTCCGTAAAAAAAATCAACGGCCCTGCCAAGAGACCCAGGGAAAGGCATCGTAGCACATGGCTCCGAAGGCAAAAATGGACCTGGACAAAAGGAGTAGATAGCTTAGATATACTGTACTTTTTAGGATCTTTTAGGTTTGGTTTTGTATTGTAAGGATATGTATATATATATATATACTATAGTGATATTGGATATGTAACGATATGATGAACACATGACATCGCGATGATTTGTCTGGCTACTGGTTCATTGCGGTGAATGCATGGGGTTAATTCCTACTGGTTTCTGTCGCAAGACAAGCGGATTGAGAACTCAATCTAATAGATGACCATAAACCTGTAAATATCTGTAGATATCTATAGATGATCTTCGCATGCATAGGCTTAGAATGGCTTAGACCATGTTGCATGCAGCTGCTGCCAACAAAAACCACCGGCCATCCGCCCGCTGAGGGTCTCACAGAATGGCCTGGACGAGAAACCTTGGCTGATGACTTGGACCATCTCCTGGGGCGAACAAAAACTAGAAACATACGATAAACATACAATAAACATCAATAAACATACTGTATTGGCTAGTCCATCTTAGTCATTTTGATTCAGCTGTAGTAGATTGGCAGGAACAAACATCAGCACCTAGAATTGATGGATGAAACCGGCCCAGTGTTAAACCAAGCAGCTCGAGTTTCAAGTTGTTCGTCATGACCAACTTCATTTCGTTGACAATCTGAGCCACCGATCATGGGTCAAGATGATGCTCAATCTTTCCAAGGCAGTGCAAGGTTCCCAACTTTTCCAGTTATATTTTTGACCATGGCTTTTCTGGCGAACTGACCGCTCTCTGAAAAGTATGTCACTGCCAAAAGCTGAATTTGCCCACGCCAAAATATGACGAACAAAAAAAGAAAAGGACACCTGCTATACCTCAAACATGCTCAAATGATTGCTTAAAATGATTGCACACCCCTTCCGACAACGCCACCTTCATCTGCTTTTCTTCGATTTTGTCCTGGTGGCCAGCATTTCAGTTCTGCGTGGGCAGAAAATTTGAAGAATCATTCTGATGCAACATGTGAACATATGTGACAGTAGATTTTTTTTTAAAAAAAAACTTTAGACACACCCACTAGCAAAACTCATGTTCAGTGGGATATGATTATCAGCCAATTCCGGCTCAAGATTAAGCCGTTATCAAAGTAAATCAATGTTTATCTGTTTGTCATCATTCATCCAGGTCCTGGTATTAAATAAATGAATAAACACACATATATATATATATATGCACCCGATTCAATATCCGAGGAGAATATGTGAAACCGTTAAAATTTTAAACCCACGGATATAGTATAGGATCGCACGATATCGCACATACATGCTGCTGGTTAACACCAACAAACTAAGTGACAGGATCCCTCCCCCTTGTCTCGGAGAATCATCCTATTTAGCAAAGGGTTAATAACCCTAAGTATAACTAAGTCCTCCAAGATCTCCAAGTGGGTTACTGTATCCCATCTGTGCCATCTACGACTGGGGCCTCCATAAGCACTAGTGGATCTAATTGGGATGATCCTCCAATACCGTGGTGAACACACAAACTGCTTTCTAGTTTTGAGCGGTCTCCACAAAAGTTCATTGCTTCATTGCAGACCGTCTTATGTCCGAACTTCAATAAAATACCAGCAGCACACGTAGTGGTTAAAGTGTCCTCCAACTCCTTGATCTTCTCCATCTCTTCATCTGGCGTGGCCTGTGACCCAGGGGGAAACATGGGGAAACGTAGAGGAATGGTAAAATGCTTCAAGAAAACAATGGTGTCTGTATATCTACACATATATATAATATAATATTATATTATATTAGATTATATAATACATGTATAATATAATATAATATAATAGAATACAATATAATATAATATAATATAATATAATACATATATGTATATATTATATACATATGTTACATATGATTGTTTCCTGCAGAGTTACCATGACATTAACACAAGGACATGCAACACTCCCATTTCAATCAGAACATCACCAGTGATATGAATGAGTGATATTCCGTTGCCATGCTTGATCCAAATGCACACAAGTACATGCAACATTTTGATCAACTTCCAAACATTTCAAACAGCCAACCTGTGAAACGTCCATAATGTTTGAAATCGCATGACTGACCATGCCTGACGCAAAAGTGATTCGTTAGCTAAATGTTGTTCATATGATTCCTTCGTAATTTTTTGGCGGGGGAAAAAAGAAGAACAAACTTTACTAGGTACATATTTGTGAACCTCCTGTGTTTTATGGTAAATACACGTACATACTCCGCCGATCTATACTAATACCCCGTCATTCTCAACCAACCAAGGCATCGATGAAACAACCGTGTTCATTGTTAAATTCCCATTTTTGATGGTTAAAACCACATTTTTGATGGTTAACACTACATTTTTTTGCAGATTCAACTCCGTGTCTTTGTTGTTATGACATGTTACCAACCAAATTGACATATGTCAACAGTATATGTTAACACTTGTCCACCTATATATATATATATATAGAATTATAGAGATATGTATATTATATATATATATATGTGTGTGTGTACGTGTATATGTATAAATATATTAACATATGTTAACCACCTGTTTTGCTACTGTAATTCAAATCCATGGCCGTGAAGAAAAAAAACACGTTGCTGCTCGATGGCCTTGAGCTGAGCCTTCAGCAGGATCACCTCCCGCTCGGTATTCACGATGGTGCCAGGGTTCAAGACCATATCCAAGGTCCTCGGGCGCGGCCGATGGGATATGGATGGGATAGAGGTGTAAGGGCTGAGGATTGACCACGAAAAAACTGGGGATTTTAATCATTTTGATGATTCTGGGTTAAACTACAATTGTTCACTAACCTGAAATATTCTCCTTAAGAACCATGATTCCAGTGAGGTCGCAGTGAGGTCACGGTGAGGTCAGTCAGTATAATATTTACCTAGATAATTTGATTTGTTGTCCACAGTTCTGGACATGTATCGAATTTTGTTAAAATAATTCCTTTACTATCCCTTCCCTAATATTAAACACCCCCTTAGAGACCATGGTTTAGTAGGGAATTTCCGCATTCCATTGGGACCATTTATGGGGTCTTCAATATTAGGGTGATGGGATTAGCTCAAAACATGTTCGGCCAGTACCCCCATCGATCAAAAAAATCTCTAACCAGGCCGCAGGCCGATATGGGGGGTTCACCTGGCGTCCCAGTCCAGGAAGCTCCACGAGCGCTGCCACAAGTCCTGTTTAAATACTGGGACACCTTCGGTACCCAGCCGGAAACGTGTCCAAGTTAGAGTATGTTCGAGTGGGATATTGAATGCTCTTCGAATTGGGAGAAATTGTCCATCAACACTTTGTCAATCATCCAGCTGGTAAATGACCTACGGGCGCCGGGCTACTGTTTGCTACCGTCTGGTATCCAAGGTGCAAGGACTTATCGTTGTTCATCTTCTTCAGTCGTTCCTCAAGCTCCATGACCTGGGGGAAACGTTGGCGCGAGATGGGAAGGTCATGGAGACCGGCTTTCCGGACTGGCCCAAGAGTTGGACACCAACAAAAACCGCTAGCCGCGCGGGTTGCAACACACCCCAACCAAAACAAAGATCGTCATCAACCGGATCAAAAGAAGTTGAACACCACTGAGTATTGAACTTCTTGATTCCGACCTGCTTGAGCTAATGGCCACTCAGTAGAGCCGATCGCTCAATTACCACCATCCGCTCTTTGCTTGTTCTTAGCTAAACCTGTGAAACACATTATGACATACAATGAATCCCCCAGAAACGGGTGTGGCAGCTGACTTACCACAACTAAACACGGCACTTCTGGCTGTCTAAACATTGGAATATAGTCTTGATGTGAGAAACTGAGAAACCAACCAATGGAAATATCGGTGTCGCAAGAATAATTTCCTGTACATTTTATAGCACCATTAAAAGCCAATTACTAACCAGTTAGCTAACTCCATGGCCCATGTCAGCACATTATATCCCACTGAAATGATGGTTTTAAATAGTTTTAAGTAGTTTTACTGTAAATAGTTTTAATATTTAAATGTGTTTAAATGCTTGACCAACATCACAAAAAAAGTGGGTGGGTTCCACTTTTTTCAGGTAGTTCCATTTCTGAGACGTCCCTGCCATTGGATCGTCTCCCGAAACTTCTTCGAAAAACGGCTCCATGTCGTCTTCTTTTGGCGCCTCGCTGTCCTGCCGAGACCGTAAGGCCAAAAACAATCGAGGAAACCCGGGGTTGTATTACACCATAGGAAAACATAGGGAAAAAATGCGGAAAAAAAAAATGCCTTTTTGGGGTGATGTTGTTTCCAGTTCTTCCGATGTTGTTTCCAGTTCTTCCATTGCTACCGAGCACCGCATTTTCCAGGTGGAAATGCGCAGAAGTACCCCGTAATCAAACATGGCTTGCTGTAAAATCCTTTATAGCGATGATTTTCCAGCTATAAACATGTATTCTCCTGTATTTGTTTTTTGGACTTGAAATCCTTATGGTTGTCGAGTTTCTCTCTTTTGGACACTCCTGGAAAGAAAATGCATGTAATCATTAATGCTGGCCACATCCGAATCGCTAGTTTGCTTGACATGGCCCACACATGTCCACACTGTTTCCATGACCAACGTCAAAGTATCCCACCAAAAAGAATAATATTCCAGTAGGATATTCCTTTCTAAAGTGCTAATATAGATTATACATCTAATCGTAACAATGGCTGCAGCAAATATGAACACAACCAGTCACCAGTTGATTTTTCTCTTATCTAGCGTAATATGAGCCGTTGTCAAAATTCAGCATCTTCGCTAAGCTCCCACAAACCAGTTGGACGCTTTTGGGCGAGGCACTATCGCTACACGGTGTTTGGTGCATTTTCCAGACACAAGAGAACTCTACATAAGTGGTCTACCAGTCTACCAGAACTTTGACAATACCTCATAGACAGTATGTACATTAAAGAACTGAAACCACCAACCAGTTAATATCATCATTCTGATCTCAAATCTCTTTGAAGAATCTTGAATCATGAAACAAAACACATTTGGAACACATTTGACTCCACAAACATCAATATATCCAAAGAGCTCCTTCTCCGTCGCCTCCATGCTCTTGGTTTCCTTGATCTTCACCGCCTGAGCGCCTGGCCATAGGTTTCAAATGTTTGCCGGAGAGTATACACACGAATCAATACGAATCACCCAACATTACCAGGACAACATCCCAAGAATCAAAATTGGAAAAGGCTTGGGAATTGCCAACATTCTGGTAATATTCCCAGCCTGTGCAGGTTGTTGCCAGTTATTATGTTGGGAACATTGCCAACATTACCAGTCAACCTGCAATAACCTGCACAATCATTGCCAAGATCGGTGCCAGAATGAGCCACCGGCCTTCGGCTCGGCGACGCAGGTGTCCGTGCGTGGTAGCTCTCCGCCTTCCCATGGCTGAAACTTCGAGAATTGGGAGTGGGTGCATGAGCACCTTTCCCGCAATTAGATGCATGTAAAACATTTGAATACCAGTATCTTCTGCATGTAGATGCCTATGATGCCTTAAAAAACTACAGTGCTTACAAGCTACCGCAAGTTACAAAAGTCTGAATGTGTTGTTCATGTGCAATGAGCCTACAATGTGCCCCATATTTCATGATCTGACCCTCCGGATCCCGGGTAGCACCTCTTGTACCCATATGCGAACCATGGTGCTGGTATATTTGTCTACAAAACTGGGCGATTTTGAACAAGGGCAAATGTTGGTAAATATTCAGCACCATGGAGCATATGGGGTATTGTAAGTGCAGTAAATTACCTACAAATTCTATTCTACATTTTACCGAGTGAACAATGAACATACATATTATCCCGCAAAAACAATTTATCATATATGATTCACATTATATAAACAGGTGGGCTGATGTTTTCTCCATTCAACTTTCCATCAACTCTTCCAACAAAGAATGTGGGACGATATACACTATCCATATCTATCCATGAGTATCAAACAATGATGGTTTCCCCAATGTTTTTACTGCAGCTTATCCATTTCTCAGGCTCGCCACTCCTTCGCTTTGCCGGCCTGGCGGACCATCTCCACAACACACCCAGCGCCTGCATGGTGTACGAAACCAGCGTCTTCCCTTCTCCAAATAGGAAGCAGTAGGTTAATATTATAATTGGATGATATAAAATGATATAAAAAACAAATCATTAACTATATAATAGCACATTCTACTATATAACATAATACTCACATATACTCACATCACAACAATATGATATTCCGATTATATGGTATACACTCATGAAATCTAACGTGGATATAAATGCTATTCCCACTGTCAGCTAACATGGACCTCCGTACCGTCCTGGTAATATCTGCATTCCCCAGGAACTACGCGTAACTTTTTTTTAACATGGGAAGCCAAATTGCTAACATGGACTCTGACCAGAGGCAGTTGGATATAGAAGTTGCAGCTTTGTTTGTCAATCTTTTTGATTTTTCAACCGTTTTTCAATTAACCTGGACCAGATATGGTTTTTCAAGCCTCGTTCCTACGGGTCTATGTTAGCCACATTTTCTGGAGATATCAAAATGCGGATTTTTGGGAGTAGATTTTTGTGGCAAGATTTCACCTAACAAGGACCTGAACCAGCTTTGATAGCATGATCTCCTCACATCATGAGTGGCACAACTGTTTTTGGATGTCTTTGTGACTCTTTGTGGGGTGAACCCTTACTGGACCCAAAAAAGCTTCAAAATCAACAATTTTCTTTACTGTAATAGATTGAATAAGGAAAAAACTCCTGGTCGATGTTGCCAATCTGGCTACTTGCTGAACTAACGATTATGATATACTATTAGAGGTTTCGGGAACCCTGGGCAGGATCTATGTTAGTCGTCCTGTTGCCAAAACTTTGGTTTTGGATTGGAAATCATGACTGGCACAGCTGTTTTTGGATGTCTTTGTGACTCTTTGTGGGGTGAGCCCTTACTGGACCCAAAAAAACTTCAAATTCAAAATCAAGAATTTTATATAATAGATTGAATAAGGAAAAAACTCCTGGTCGATGTTGCCAATCTGGCTACTTGCTGAACTAATGATTATGATATACTATTGGAGGTTTTGGGAACCCTGGGCAGGATCTATATTAGTCGTCCTGTTGCCAAAACTTTGGTTTTGGATTGGAAATCATGACTGGCACAACTGTTTAGTAGTAGTAGTAGTAGTAGTAGTAGTAGTATAGTAGTAGTAGTAGTAGTAGTAGTAGTAGTAATAGTAGTAGTAGTAGTAGCAGTTGTGCCAGTCATGATTTCCAATCCAAAACCAAAGTTTTGGCAACAGGACGACTAACATAGATCCTGCCCAGGGTTCCCAAAACCTCTAATAGTATATCATAATCGTTAGTTCAGCAAGTAGCCAGATTGGCAACATCGACCAGGAGTTTTTTCCTTATTCAATCTATTACAGTAAAGAAAATTGTTGATTTTGAAGCTTTTTTGGGTCCAGTAAGGGTTCACCCCACAAAGAGTCACAAAGATATCCAAAAACAGTTGTGCCAGTCATGATTTCCAATCCAAAATCCAAAGTTTTGGCAACAGGACGACTAACATAGATCCTGCCCAGGGTTCCCAAAACCTCCAATAGTATATCATAATCATTAGTTCAGCAAGTAGCCAGATTGGCAATATCGACCAGGAGTTTTTTCCTTATTCAATCTATCATATAAAATTTTTGATTTTGAAGCTTTTTTGGGTCCAGTAAGGGTTCACCCCACAAAGAGTCACAAAGACATCCAAAAACAATTATACCAGTCATGATTTCCAATCCAAAACCAAAGTTTTAGTAACAGGACGACTAACATAGATCCTGCCCAGGATTCCCAAAACCTCCAATAGTATATCATAATCATTAGTTCAGCAAGTAGCCAGATTGGAAACATCGACCAGGAATTTTTTCCTTATTCAATCTATTATGTAAAATTGTTGATTTTGAAGCTTTTTTGGGTCCAGTAAAAATTCGCCCCACAAAGAGTCACAAAGACATCCAAAAACAGTTGTGCCAGTCATGATTTCCAATCCAAAACCAAAATTTTGGCAACAGGACGACTAACATAGATCCCGCCCAGGGTTCCCAAAACCTCCAATAGTATATTATAATCATTAGTTCAGCAAGTAGCCAGATTGGCAACATCGACCGGAGTTTTTTCTTTATTCAATCTATTATATAAAATTCTTGATTTTGAAGCTTTTTTGGGTCCAGTAAGGGTTCACCCCACAAAGAGTCACAAAGACATCCAAAAACAGTTGTGCCAGTCATGATTTCTAATTCAAAACCAAAGTTTTGGCAACAGGACGACTAACATAGATCCTGCCCAGGGTTCCCAAAACCTCCAATAGTATATTATAATCATTAGTTCAGCAAGTAGCCAGATTGGCAACATCGACCAGGAGTTTTTTCCTTATTCAATCTATTATGTAAAATTCTTGATTTTGAAGCTTTTTTGGGTCCAGTAAGGGTTCACCCCACAAAGAGTCACAAAGACATCCAAAAACAGTTGTGCCAGTCATGATTTCTAATCCAAAACCAAAGTTTTGGCAACAGGACGACTAACATAGATCCTGCCCAGGGTTCCCAAAACCTCCAATAGTATATCATAATCGTTAGTTCAGCAAGTAGCCAGATTGGCAACATCGACCAGGAGTTTTTTCCTTATTCAATCTATCATATAAAATTCTTGATTTTGAAGCTTTTTTGGGTCCAGTAAGGGTTCACCCCACAAAGAGTCACAAAGACATCCAAAAACAGTTGTGCCAGTCATGATTTCCAATCCAAAACCAAAGTTTTGGCAACAGGACGACTAACATAGATCCTGCTCAGGGTTCCCAAAACCTCCAATAGTATATCATAATCATTAGTTCAGCAAGTAGCCAGATTGGCAACATCGACCAGGAGTTTTTTCCTTATTCAATCTATCATATAAAATTCTTGATTTTGAAGCTTTTTTGGGTCCAGTAAGGGTTCACCCCACAAAGAGTCACAAAGACATCCAAAAACAGTTGTGCCAGTCATGATTTCCAATCCAAAACCAAAGTTTTGGCAACAGGACGACTAACATAGATCCTGCCCAGGGTTCCCAAAACCTCCAATAGTATATCAAAACCGTTAGTTCAGCAAGTAGCCAGATTGGCAACATCGACCAGGAGTTTTTTCCTTATTCAATCTATTATGTAAAATTGTTGATTTTGAAGCTTTTTTGGGTCCAGTAAAGATTCACCACACAAAGAGTCACAAAGACATCCAAAAACAGTTGTGCCAGTCATGATTTCCAATCCAAAACCAAAGTTTTGGCAACAGGACGACTAACATAGATCCTGCCCAGGGTTCCCAAAACCTCCAATAATATATCATAATCATTAGTTCAGCAAGTAGCCAGATTGGAAACATCGACCAGGAGTTTTTTCTTTATTCAATCTATTATATAAAATTGTTGATTTTGAAGCTTTTTTGGGTCCAGTAAGGGTTCACCCCACAAAGAGTCACAAAGACATTCAAAAACAGTTGTGCCAGTCATGATTTCCAATCCAAAACCAAAGTTTTGGCAACAGGACGACTAACATAGATCCTGCCCAGGGTTCCCAAAACCTCCAATAGTATATCATAATCGTTAGTTCAGCAAGTAGCCAGATTGGCAACATCGACCAGGAGTTATTTCCTTATTCAATCTATTATGTAAAATTCTTGATTTTGAAGCTTTTTTGGGTCCAGTAAGGGTTCACCCCACAAAGAGTCACAAAGACATCCAAAAACAGTTGTGCCAGTCATGATTTCCAATCCAAAACCAAAGTTTTGGCAACAGGACGACTAACATAGATCCTGCCCAGGGCTCCGAAAACTTCCATTTTTCCCGTCCCTCCAATGCGCGCGCGCGCCTTGGCGGAAAATGACAGCGGATGAAATCTCAAAGGTTGCTACTGTCATTTTCCGCCAACGCGCGTGCGCATTGGAGGGACTGAAAAATTGGAAGTTTTGGGAACCCTGGGCAGGATCTATGTTAGCCGTCCTGTTGCCAAAACTTTGGTTTTGGATTGGAAATCATGACTGGCACAACTGTTTTTGGATGTCTTTGTGACTCTTTGTGGGGTGAACCCTTACTGGACCCAAAAAAGCTTCAAAATCAAGAATTTTACATAACAGATTGAATAAAGAAAAAACTCCTGGTCGATGTTTCCAATCTGGCTACTTGCTGAACTAATGATTATGATATACTATTGGAGGTTTTGGGAACCCTGGGCAGGATCTATGTTAGTCGTCCTGTTGCCAAAACTTTGGTTTTGGATTGGAAATCATGACTGGCACAACTGTTTTTGGATGTCTTTGTGACTCTTTTTGGGGTGAACCTTTACTGGACCCAAAAAAGCTTCAAAATCAGCAATTTTACATAATAGATTGAATAAGGAAAAAACTCCTGGTCGATGTTGCCAATCTGGCTACTTGCTGAACTAACGGTTATGATATACTATTGGAGGTTTTGGGAACCCTGGGCAGGATCTATGTTAGCCGTCCTGTTGCCAAAACTTCGGTTTTGGATTGGAAATCATGACTGGCACAACTGTTTTTTGGATGTCTTTGTGACTCTTTTTGGGGTGAACCCTTACTGGACCCAAAAAAGCTTCAAAATCAAGAATTTTATATGATAGATTGAATAAGGAAAAACTCCTGGTCGATGTTGCCAATCTGGCTACTTGCTGAACTAACGGTTATGATATACTATTGGAGGTTTTGGGAACCCTGGGCAGGATCTATGTTAGTCGTCCTGTTGCCAAAACTTTGGTTTTGGATTGGAAATCATGACTGGCACAACTGTTTTTGGATGTCTTTGTGACTCTTTGTGGGGTGAACCCTTACTGGACCCAAAAAAGCTTCAAAATCAAGAATTTTACATAATAGATTGAATAAAGAAAAAACTCCTGGTCGATGTTGCCAATCTGGCTACTTGCTGAACTAATGATTATGATATACTATTGGAGGTTTTGGGAACCCTGGGCAGGATCTATGTTAGTCGTCCTGTTGCCAAAACTTTGGTTTTGGATTGAAAATCATGACTGGCACAACTGTTTTTGGATGTCTTTGTGACTCTTTGTGGGGTGAACCCTTACTGGACCCAAAAAAAACTTCAAAATCAACAATTTTATATAATAGATTGAATAAGGAAAAAACTCCTGGTCGATGTTACCAATCTGGCTACTTGCTGAACTAATGATTATGATATACTATTGGAGGTTTTGGGAACCCTGGGCAGGATCTATGTTAGCCGTCCTGTTGCCAAAACTTCGGTTTTGGATTGGAAATCATGACTGGCACAACTGTTTTTTGGATGTCTTTGTGACTCTTTTTGGGGTGAACCCTTACTGGACCCAAAAAAGCTTCAAAATCAAGAATTTTATATGATAGATTGAATAAGGAAAAACTCCTGGTCGATGTTGCCAATCTGGCTACTTGCTGAACTAACGGTTATGATATACTATTGGAGGTTTTGGGAACCCTGGGCAGGATCTATGTTAGCCGTCCTGTTGCCAAAACTTCGGTTTTGGATTGGAAATCATGACTGGCACAACTGTTTTTTGGATGTCTTTGTAACTCTTTGTGGGGTGAACCCTTACTGGACCCAAAAAAGCTTCAAAATCAAAAATTTTATATGATAGATTGAATAAGGAAAAAACTCCTGGTCGATGTTACCAATCTGGCTACTTGCTGAACTAACGATTATAATATACTATTGGAGGTTTTGGGAACCCTGGGCAGGATCTATGTTAGTCGTCCTGTTGCCAAAACATTGGTTTTGGATTGAAAATCATGACTGGCACAACTGTTTTTGGATGTCTTTGTGACTCTTTGTGGGGTGAACCCTTACTGGACCCAAAAAAGCTTCAAAATCAACAATTTTATATGATAGATTGAATAAGGAAAAAACTCCTGGTCGATGTTGCCCGATCTGGCTACTTGCTGAACTAATGATTATGATATACTATTGGAGGTTTTGGGAACCCTGGACAGGATCTATGTTAGTCGTCCTGTTGCCAAACTTTTGATAACAGGATGACCCACGCGCTGAACCCTCCATTTCAGCTAACGTGGACCTTCCTGCATGAGCCTCTCATGGCGACAAAAATCATCAAAAATCATCAAAAATCACAGCTTCAAAATAACAACTAACATGGACCAATTCCGGCTTTGTAAAAAACAACATAAATTCAACTAACATGGACTGCCGTTTTTTTTTCGTAATAAGTTAGATTTCGGGAGAGTAAATTGGTATAATAATATGATACTGACATTACAATAATTCGATTGTTACCAGTAGGATGGTAGGTCCAACCCACCTCCCTGGGCCCTCCCAAAATCCTCAGGAACCCCGACGAGTCCGCTGGAAGCTGCCTTGGGGAGACCAAAAAGAGCTGCCTTGGAAAATCACCAGGAACAACAATTGGTTGAGGTACTGGAAATGTATTGCATTGCAAATACGCTTGAGAGGGAAACCAAACAAATCCATTGCTTCAAGGAATTTCTAAATGGCAATGGGAAACCAAATCATTCAATGCTTTTCATACGTATTTGAACCATTGCGTTGCAAACCAGAAAGGGACCCGGTTTCTACAAACAACGGCTGAACCGGGAACATGGATGCTATCAACCCCACTTCAAATTCGAAGTAAAACTCCCAGTTTGTTCGATGGGAAATTGCTACGTATCTGAAGTATCTAACACCACAGCCAAAACACCTTCTGATCGGCCGCTACTAGTCATACATGTTCTTAATATACAATACAATATCCCGTTCTGGTGGACAATCATCTAATTGTTTCCCGGAAAGTTGCCTGGGAGAACCAGTTTTAAGAGTTGCTTACAGTAGACTAGATCATCTTAGCTTAGCTCCCCGTTTCATATCGTTTCCTGGTGGCCATCTTCCCTTTCTCTGATCAAAGCGAGCGAGAAGGGCTTCTCACTGATAAATTGGCCAAAATAAACCCATCGATGTGCATTTACTTAGATATGTTTTTGTTTTTTTTTTGAATATGTATACTGTACATATATATATATATATATAATGTACACTATATACCCCACATACACATACAAAAAATAAAAAATAGGAAAACATGTAATACAATATAACATATTCTATGTTTAAAATACAATAAACATCAACAAATAATATGAGTTCATATAATGTCATATAATATGGCAAAATAGCAAAATAAAATTAAACGACAAATGTGATATACTAAAATAAAATCAAATATGATATCATAAAATAAAATAGAATATGATATATTCAAAAGAACATGATATAATCAAATATCATATAACATAATTAATAGAACACACCACAATAAATATAATATTGAAACATGCCCCAGAAATAAAATACAATACAATAAATAAACACACACACAAAACATAATGCCATAAAAACTAATACTTTATGAACATGTTTATATATATATATATCTAATTAAATATAATATAGTAAAGAATAATGAACCGAAATGAAATATAGTAAAGCATAAGAATGAAGAATAACACAATTTAGTCAACAAAAAAACAAACTAACATAATAACAAACACACATTCAAAAATTAAAGAAAACATTATAGTAAAACATAACTTATTTAGGTAAAATAACATATAATACATAAACAAACATCACAACAACCAATAAAAACAATAGTAACGTATAATACACTAGAATAGACAAAAACAAATGCAACGTAACATACAAAAAATAAAGAACATAATACATACAAGCACTTGTATATATAATAGTGTAAATCATGATATACATTAGGTTAACTTAATATTTTTTAAAAAACAACAACATATCAAGTATTATAATGCAACATATAATGTAAAACAATAACATATGATATATTTTAACATAGTTTATAGTATAATGAAATATTACAATTTAATATAACAAAATAAAATTCAAACTAATTTAATGAAATGAAATATTATTCACTGTAAGATAAGATAAAATAATCTAATATGATACAAGTTAAGATCATATAAATAATTTAACATAATTTCATATATATATATATAATATAAACTAATATATATATATATATTAAAAACATAAATCAGTAAGTATCTCCATATTTCCATAAATAAATAAACGCACATATATTTATTTACATATATATATATATATGTGTGTGTGTGCGTATGTATATATATATATATATTTCTATATATCCACTATGTTCCACGAAATACATTCCAGTTCAGGCACGGCCCCGAAAGGTCGGCAGCTGAGACGCCCCACGGCTCCTCTACTGGAAGTGGCCGCACCGGCCTCGTCGTGAACTGCGGGGTTAGATGGAGGTAGCACATCCGGAGGGAGTTGATATGATGTTATAAAAAAAATATAAGGATTTATTGTGAATTTTGAGTCCACTTCTCTGTAGTTTTGTGAGTTTTCTGGGAGTATATTAGCGTATGGTGCGGTTTCATGTTGATGAACCCTATAGATACTGGTGGATAGCCAATGAGAACAAACATTAAGCAACAATAAAATGGCTCATCCTAGGTAGCCTGCAAAAGTACAATATTTTTTTTGGGCCCATGGTACCATAGCCGGCAAACAAGTTACAGTGATTTGACTCCTGAATCTGCAGAGCCGAAAACAAATCCTGAACCAAGGATTACTCAGTTGACCCATGGAGAAATAATCTGGTCTGTACCATATCTAGTCGCACTCTATCGGTTTTGCGGGGATGCCCCAAAATAATCCAGGTTTTAGCAAGCCGGGCTGGGAAGTTACAATTTTGAATCCCCAATGTAGGCAAACGAGGATTTTCATGATCGAACCTCTAACAAACAAGCCCTCTCACACAGGGCTAACCTTAGGTCTCTTGTTTAAAAAAAACCTTAGGTATCCGTTTAGTCGCACAAAATCCTCAGCCTAACCTGATTCTGGCATGCGAAGTTCCACCAAATCACCCCCTTATTCTGGGGGTGCAGTTCCACTGATAAGGTTCTGGAGTTACTAGCATAGATTACCATAGTTATAACAGTCATTATACCCATTAGAACAACCCAATTGCACCAAGGATTCTTCACCAAAATCCGTAAGGAAACCAAAGCTCGGCTGAGCAGAGGTGCTTGAAGCTGTGGCAAAGTGGCTGGCCTGGCACAGGTCAGGTGCTCAACATGTTGAATGGAAAATCGTCAATAATATATAGACTATATATTACTATATATTATATATAGTTCAACTAGAACGTAATTTAATAAACTATAGAATGAAAAAATCAAATTAGAATATATAGTGACTATTACTGAAACCGCCATGGTTACCAGTGAATCACACATGTGTGAGGTTCCCGCAATCTCATCTCGAACACTTGGTGACTTGGTCAAACAACTTCACAACCTTTTCATCTAAAAGGCTACTGTATGTGGTATTCAGGTAAGCTTCTGGTCAACTTATCTTGTATCGGCAACTGGTGCCGGGATAGCTTATCAATATCCATGTATTTCAACAGCTCAAAATACAAAATGATATGGTTCAATTGTGTGCATCTGCAGTCTGCGCCAATCTTTGCAGGCAAAATAGCCAGGTATTCATGGGGCTAATATGCAAAGAGCATACTGTAAATCCTAGTTTTACAGAGATGCAATGCACAAGAACTACTTGGCATGATGCCAAGTACTCCTTAGCCCACTTGCACAATGCATAATCCAAATATATCATAACTACCCAGTTTCATGTTCACATGTGTGGCCAAACCTCCAATGTTCAAATCTCATCGACCAGGTTGGCGTGGCACATGCAATCACCTCATCTTCACATGATACCCCTACCTTGGGGTGCACTTCTAGTCACGTATATTGCCAATACTTATTGCCACAGGGTTTGTATCGCAATCTACCCTGGTCTTAACGATAGTCATACACCTTAGTGGATCCATGTTTGAGAAAATCATACATCTCTGAACATAAGATTTAAATCCTAGGTTTGGGGGTTTCCTAAAATGGGGGTACCCCAAAAATGGATGGTTTATAGTGGAAAATCCTCTTGAAATGGATGATTTAGGGGGAAGCCCTATTTAGGAACCTCCGTTTGGGGTTGAACGTGGTTCCAGCTATACACAACTGCAACTCCCCATGTCCACCCTCTGCCCCCAGAGTTAAAACCTTGAGGTAGCTCCTCCAAGCTGTCGCTCCTCCAGCGGCAACGATGATCAAAGTGTAGCAGCTTGGCAAACCCAAAAAATGCCAAAAAGCACTGGAAAACTGGAAAATAGAGGGAAAAATCATCTGACTAGCATCAAATATCAAATTCGTACTATCTTTTGGATTTTTTGGGTTGATAGCAAACTGGTATATCCCGCTGAGCGCCTCGAAGGGTCGAAGCACAGGTAGCACAGGTGCCCTAGGCTGGGTGGAGTTCCCACTGAAAAGTGTTCACCCAGTTGTCCTTGTAACCCGTGGGGGGACTTATGACCACCAGGGTTATTAACCACTTCATATTCCAGATCTGATTTAAGTTTGTTTCTCTTTGACAGGACGTCACTATTTTTGATGGCAAGGACAGGTTCAAAAATGGACTGCCTGCGTCTTGTGCAATTCCCCTGAAACCATCACAATCCATGTGAATCTCATCGGCTACAGGCAGACTCGCGCATATGTGCACTTCAGGAAGCACAAGGGTGTCAAAAATTAAGGTGCGAGCATATGTATGTATATATATATATAATATATATATATATAGAGAGAGAGAGGGAGAGACAGAGATTAATTATATATATATAAAATTATACTTGTGCCAGTCGTACGTGTATAATATATAAATAGAGAAATGAATTTGACATTTGCATAAATTTGCAGTGTCCAAACCATCTATCGTTCCATTCCATTATAATAATATATTATATATACTGGTTGGCCAAGAATGGGCTTCCCAGCTAATCGATTACAATCGGTAATATATCACGGTTAGTATAACCGCTCAACACATCGTCAACCGACTTTCATTGATTGAATCCAATATTTTCTGGCTAAAATCTATATAGAATGGTTAAACCACCATTTTTCACGGGGTTAAACCACCATTTTTCATGGGTTCAACCACCATTCTGCACCTAATAAACCGCTATAGTTTGCTGGCGCATTCCAATGCAGTCCTGGCCTCAGAGGCGTCGCAAGCGTAGCAATGCCCGGCGTCGCCATTGCGGCTGGGTCTAAAACAGCTGCGGCCACCAAGGGGATGAGAATGCATGTTTATATGCAAATACATCTACATTTAGATGCGGGTGTACATGTACATATGTATATATATATATATACATAAATTATAAATATACATACACATTATATAATACATATGCATTTTATCATGACGCATATATATACATATAATTATATTTACCAAAAAACACTGTTACATATATATATATGTATATACACATACAAACACAAGTCCAGGAGGTATGTGAATAAAAATACATATGTATGGATGAATATATACACAAATATATATGTATATATATATATAAATAAATAAATAACTTTTTTTTAGAAAAACATAATTACATGAAAGCAAATAACCAAATACATAGATATAAATACAAATGATAGTATTATATATATATGTATGAGCAAATGTATTAGATATATGTATACACTTAGACCAATGAAAGAACATAATTGTATGACTGTATGACTCAATTTTCCGGCGACGGTGCATCACGGTGGCTAAGCAGGGCGATCCATAGGATCTTCGAGGGGGGAGTCGGGGGCTTTGGCAGGCTTTAGGGGTCCCAAACATTGCAAAGGTTGATGGTTCCATTTACTTGAGGATCTAGATCATGTAAATGTGTCTCAACATGTACTCAGTAACCCAAAAGCACATTGAATGCACATTGACATACAGATCAAGCGCCCACAAGCGAGTGTTCAACAAATACTGAATGCAGTACTGCTGAAAAATGTTACTAGTCACTACCAAACCTTTTGAGGTGCTAATTGACAATGATGAGCCTACCTATCACAACCTGCAAAGGACATACAAATATCAGCTTCAATGGGATAAGCAATCCACACCCTCCATTCCAAGAATTGGAAAATCCATAAGAAACCTTCATCTTTCAAGTGAAATCCATGGTTTCTTCTAAATTCTCATATGGGACAAATCATATGGAAACCATCATAGCACCATATGGAATATGGATATGTAAGCACTATAGCATACTATAGCTATATATATATATATATTCCATTAAAACATATTGCGTCCTTTGAGGCCATAGTATATAGTTGTATATTTCTGTTCTCTGAAAATATTGTTGTTAATTATATATCTCCATGCATGAATGGCAGTAAAAACAAGCATATGATTATAATAAGGAATCATAATTATTATAAAAATATTATATAATATGTTCCCTGAAACTAACACTTTGATCTATGACTCCGACACAACTTCCCCCGTCGCCCGGAGGTGTCCCTCCCGAATCGCATCTGCATCTTCGGCATGATGCGACACGGTGCGTGCCCAGCGGCACCGGGACAGAAGGAACGACAGGAGCCTTTCAGTAAGGATGCATGTTCTTTGTGGGTAGTGCCACATGTATAATAGTATACATAATCATATATACAATAAGTGTGTGTAGCATGTGTGTATGCATATATATATATATATACACAGTATAGTTGTACATGCACATGTATATATATATATGTATATACATGTGTATATATGTATATAGTGATGTGAACAAATGACATTCAGTTTCATTATTTGGGGGTCCCAACATATTTGTACAATGTCACTTTACTAATCTTTCATCCTGAGAAAACAAGCAAGAAAACATGGTGTTTTTACCAAACACAGTGACTATCGGGTTACCTGTAACTTGCAATTTGAGCCAGTCTGGCAGCTTGTTCATGACAAAAAAACATATCTATCGCGAACTGTCTTGAAAGTTTGGCAAACATGAACACTCCTGACGTGGCAGTTTTGCACTTTCTTTCTTAGCTACAATGAGGAGTATTAGGATGCCCGTGTAAGGGCACAAACATGTGATGGTTTATATGAAAAAACATGTACATAATGATAATGATAATAGTGACATATGTGTATATATTTTAAACATATTCAATACTATATATACATATATATATGTGTACATATGCAATAATAAAACATAATATATGCATGTTAAATTGACTCACGCACTGAATCCTGTTTTGGCTGGTGCTGCAACTGTTCAGTGATGGGGCCGCGCTTTGCGCGGAAGGCTGGCCAGCCCATGAACGCCTTTTTCGAAAGGCTTCGCCACAGTAAAAAGAGCAGCACGAGCTGCTGCTCCAAGGGAGGGTGGCCTGTGGGGCCGTGAACTTCGACCGTTCACCACTTGAACATGCCGGGTCATGTTAAAAAGGACTTTTTTTTGTATATGGGGTTTTTGTTTTTGTTTCTGGGTCTGTTGTGTGGTTCTTTTTGTTTGTGTGCATGTCTCTGCTTTTGCTTCGTTGTTATATCTTGCATCTCTTGATATTTTGTGTTTCGTTGTTGTTTTTTGCTCTTGGCTTTTGTTTTGTCAGCTGTTTCTTTTTGTTTGTGTCGTCTTTTCTGTGCCCTTGTCGTTGCCTCGCCTCACTTGTTCTCTCTTGTATTGCGACTGGGTTTGGCTCGCGGATGGAAGGTTTTTTGGGGGATGGGGGGTGGGTGAGGGGGGGGCAGGCTCAATGCCAGAAGCGCATTGTGCGTTTCACCTCCGCTTGCGGGATGCGCGCATGCTTTGGCTCGAGAAGGAAAAAGGCAGCAGAGATCTCGCGGCAGGCACAGCAGCACAGAGGATGGCGCAAGTTGGCTCAAGAAGGAAAAAGAATTGCAGATTTTCCTGGCAGGCAGCAGAGATCTCGTGGCACGCACAGCACAGAGGACGGCGCAAGTTGGCTCAAGAAGGAAAAAGAATTGCAGATTTCCCTGGCAGGCAGCAGAGAATTCGTGGCAGGCACAGCACAGAGGATGGCGCAAGTTGGCTCAAGAAGGAAAAAAAATGCAGATTTCGTGGCAGGCACAGCAAAGAGGCTAAAGATAGCAAAGTCTTGTTTTATTTTTGGTTTTTGAATGGCCAGGCACACAGTTCGTATCTTTCGATCAGTGCCGGTTGGGACTTTTATCGCCGTTGGGGGGTCCAATCAAGAAAAGGACAAGGTTCCTCACCAATGTGCCTTCCGTTGTCCATCACTTTAATCAAATGCAATGCACGTGTGTTCGTCAGCACACAAGGGTGCAGGGCTCTGAATCAGGCCAACGTCTAAGCACTGGGTCGCAATTCTATCCTGAGGGCATGTGTGACCTTTTGGTCCAAGATCCTGAGGAAGCTTAATCTTTCAGGTGACCTGAACCGATTTACTTACCAATCAGGTTACCAGAGTACAGTTTTGACGCGGTAAGCTTAATATTATGGAGCAAGGCCAAAAACAAAGAGCTCAAATGCAAACATGTTTCACTGGAAAATCCCTTGATCTATGAGCAAGCTCAGGCATGCACGGAGATGTGGTGAACAAATTGTGTTTCGCCATAACTTTGCTAAAGTGCAAACCATTCACAACTGCTACAACTTAATTTTATGAAAGTTGAGTTGTTGTGAGCTGTATGTCTCAATGGATTTTTATGGCGAAAACATTTTTTTTCACCACATCTCCGTGCATGCCTGAGCTTGCTCATAGATCAAGGGATTTTCCAGTGAAACATGTTTGCATTTGAGCTCTTTGTTTTTGGCCTTGCTCCATAATATTAAGCTTACCGCGTCAAAACTGTACTCTGGTAACCTGATTGGTAAGTAAATCGGTTCAGGTCACCTGAAAGATTAAGCTTCCTCAGAATCTTGGACCAAAAGGTCACACATGCCCTCAGGATAGAATTGCGACCCAGTGCTTAGACGTTGGCCTGATTCAGAGCCCTGCGCCCTTGTGTGCTGACGAACACACGTGCATTGCATTTGATTAAAGTGATGGACAACGGAAGGCACATTGGTGAGGAACCTTGTCCTTTTCTTGATCGGACCCCCCAACGGCGATAAAAGTCCCAACCGGCACTGATCGAAAGATACGAACTGTGTGCCTGGCCATTCAAAAACCAAAAATAAAACAAGACTTTGCTATCTTTAGCCTCTTTGCTGTGCCTGCCACGAAATCTGCATTTTTTTTCCTTCTTGAGCCAACTTGCGCCATCCTCTGTGCTGTGCCTGCCACGAAATCTCTGCTGCCTGCCAGGGAAATCTGCAATTCTTTTTCCTTCTTGAGCCAACTTGCGCCGTCCTCTGTGCTGTGCGTGCCACGAGATCTCTGCTGCCTGCCAGGAAAATCTGCAATGCTTGTTCCTTCTTGAGCCAACTTGCGCCATCCTCTGTGCTGCTGTGCCTGCCGCGAGATCTCTGCTGCCTTTTTCCTTCTCGAGCCAAAGCATGCGCGCATCCCCCACCCCGCAAGCGGAGGTGAAACGCACAATGCGCTTCTGGCATTGAGCCTGCCCCCCCCCACCCACCCCCCATCCCCCAAAAAACCTTCCATCCGCGAGCCAAACCCAGTCGCAATACAAGAGAGAACAAGTGAGGCGAGGCAACGACAAGGGCACAGAAAAGACGACACAAACAAAAAGAAACAGCTGACAAAACAAAAGCCAAGAGCAAAAAACAACAACGAAACACAAAATATCAAGAGATGCAAGATATAACAACGAAGCAAAAGCAGAGACATGCACACAAACAAAAAGAACCACACAACAGACCCAGAAACAAAAACAAAAACCCCATATACAAAAAAAAGTCTTTTAAATTGACTCACGCACTGAATCCTGTTTTGGCTGGTGCTGCAACTGTTCAGTGATGGGGCCGCGCTTTGCGCGGAAGGCTGGCCAGCCCATGAACGCCTTTTTCGAAAGGCTTCGCCACAGTAAAAAGAGCAGCACGAGCTGCTGCTCCACCTATGGCCGTGGCCTACAACTAGTCAGGGAAAATGAATTTCTCCATGGCACGTTGTGCGCTGCGGGCCTTGATCTCATTGCAAATGAAGATTGGCAATGCGCCCTGTAGCACAGCTATCTTTGTCCTAGTCCGCTCTGGCAGAGCAGGCAAAACTGAAACTGCTGTCATTTCTTGGAGGTAGTATGAAAGAGTCTTCAAATGTTGCAACCGCATTTTCCACAGCAAATCTTGAATAGAAGTACCTTTTCGATGTGCTCTGACTGCTCCACCCGGTCTCAAGGAACCGGGGGTCAATTTGAACTCTTTTCGCACGCCAAGCTGCGCCAAACCTTTATCCCACCTAGTTCTGAAGGCAGAAGGGGTCCCAGGATAAAGAAAATCTTTTGCAGAAAGAGGATCCCAAACCGCCTCCAAAAAGGAAACGACAGGACCAAAATCAATTGTGATATACTGAATCGTAGGACCCCTGCGACGCGACTTTGGCAAAGCAATCTTCACATAAATCACCGCATCTTCAGTCAGCAGATCTTTTGGCGTCAGCACGTCTCTTCGTCGTGCTTTCAAAAGCTCACCTACTCGGGAAATTCCGTAGAAAGCAGCTAAAAGAACCGCTGTCCAACGAGGCCAGCCCCAAGCAATTCCCAGAGAGGCTAAAGCTTCCAGGATAGGCTCAGGTAGAGGCGGCCTATGTCGAGTGGGCTCAGCAATTTCCCATCTCGAAACAACTTCCCAGGCAGAGTGAATATAAGAGCCGGAAATTCTTTTTGGCAATGCGCCACCAGTTGTCGATACCCATACAGCGGTTTTCCTGATGCAAAGGAGTCATGACCAAACCCAACCAGCACAGAGATAAAAAGCTCGAGCGAGCTGCTCATCCATTCCAGCAAATCACGTCCGGGAAAATGCTCTTCGAACCAGGTTAGGAAAGCTGTCCACAGTCTGCCTCGCAGCAAAATTGTAGCAGGTTCCAGTGTTTTGATATCCCCTAAACGACCTTCTCGAGCGAAAATTTGTCTTCCTCTGGGCCCAGGATTTTGAGCTTCCCCGATTCGCAAGCTCTGCGCTTTGCAGCACTGAGAAATGTTGAGCTTTCGTCTCCCAGCTAGTAGGCCCGAGTCGGCCAGCATCGCTGCAGCAAGCATCCAATTCAGTTTGCGAGGATAGGCCTCAGCAATCTTAGTATAGTTCAGCCCCGCAGCTTTTGATCGACCCCTCGATCGACCCCTCAGGACCACATGCGGGGTCTTGCACTGGCACATAAGCCTCTGCCCTTGAAGCTGTCCATTTGTCCTAAATCTCGTTCTCTTCCGCCAGGGCGTTGAAAAACGACAATAGTCCACTACCAGGTCCCCTATACCAAAACGTCTCAGCAAAGGCTCCCAGGACAGCTCCCCTACTTGGCGCCACAACCAGGAAGGGTGCGGGTTCTCCACCCAAAAAATAATTTCAGATTTGCAACACGCTTCCACTGCCTGCAGCACAAACTTCAGCAGTAGATTTCCAACGCGGTTCTTTTCTTGTTGAAGCTCGCTAGCCCAAGGCACCCCTTCAGGATACTCGCGATTCCTGAAAGGTGGAGTTACTGCAGTGCTGAAAGAGGCGCAGACAGGTCCAGCTCCCATGGCTCTAAAGGCACCGCAACCTATTAACCTTAGTATTTGACCTTGCAAGGGAGGAGAGAGAAGATTTTCGGAAGGAGAGTGAGAGAGATCAAAGGTAAGAACCCACGTCTGAGCTTGCTTGACCAACTCCTTCGCCACTCCTCTGCTTCCAGAAAACAGGTCTAAATACCCTGGACCAGACGCTAGTGCTTCTTCCAAACTTCCAAAGCAGCTTGAAAACTCAAATTGGCTAGAATCAAACATCCGCAGCAGTTTCGTCACCTCAGCCGACAACCCAGCTGGCTCTGCTCTCTGCTCCAAGCTAGAAGAAGGAGTTTTGGATGTCGCACAGGCCACTTTTTCAAGCTTCTCAAACTTGGGGGGCTTCACATCCCCGGTGACAGCAACCTTCTTTTGCTCTCTGGTCTTTCTTTTCTCTTCAATTTTGCTCCTACCATTGTAGTCCCATTGCCGTGCAAGCTCGGCTTCCTCAGGCAGACCCGCCACAGCAGTGCGATCCAAACCAAGCTCTTCCAAAAAAGCATCATAAGCAGTGAACTCGCCTACTTTCAGATCTCTCAACCAGGAAGATTCCTCCTCTGACGGCCCACGCACCTCTGCCCCTCGCGTAGGATCATCAGCTGGGTTTAGTTTTGATCTGACGAAGCCATAGAAGGGCCGCACATTGGCTGCTAAGTGCTCGGGAATGGACCGACGCAATTCTCTGTTCAAACTCCGTGAAGATGAGCGGCCTTTCATCAAGCAGGCCAGCGAAACTTGACTGTCTTGCAAATGAATGTAAAAAGAATCCTCTGCTTCAGCCCCTACTGACCTCTCAGCCTCCAAAGCAGCTCTAACTTCACCTATATTGATATGCCTCCGTCTCCTCACCTTTCTGATCTTTCCCAACTTGACAAATCGCTGGCTAGTGACCAGCTCACGCCAAACAGGGTTCATGTCATAGCTAGAGTCAGGAAGCTCGCTCTCTTCCTCAGGCCAACCTTTTTCCCGCCAGTAAGCTTTGACTGGAGAAAGCAGTTTACTCCAAGCTCCTTTTTGCAAAGCCAGTTTGTGAAGCTCAGCTGTAGCCGAGCTTCCAATCTCCGCGCTGACAGCAGCCTCGGCGTGAGTCGAGGCATCAGAGCAAACCACTCTTGAAAAAGGTTTCAAACGGAAGTCGATCTCAGCAAATGGTAGAAGGGCCAGAGCGCACAAAATTTCGTCTTTGAGTTCTCGAGAGAGCTGCACCACCTCATGCCTCTCTCGTCCTCTCTGAGCTCCGTACACCTCTTCCAAAACAGCCATCAATCGTCTACGCACCTGAAAAATAGAAACCAGTGACCCTGCAACGATCTCAAGGAGAGCAACAGAAGCTTGACCCAATTGAAGAATGTTGAGGAGGATGAAAGCCAAAGGAATGCTACGTTTCAAACTCGGTCTCGCAACAGCCCTAGCACCATCCAGTTCTAGGCCCCAAAATTCACCTCGTAAAGAATTGAAGACGGCCTTGCCTTCATGCCGTGGCAGGCCCACATTTTCGTAGACTTTGCGCACTGCGCGAATGATCTCAGCGCACTCGCTCGTCTCCTTCTCAGCCTCGCTCACACCTCGGGGAACAGCTTGAAGCAGAACAAGGTCATCGATCATCAAGCCGGCAAGCCACCTCTTCCGACTGGGACGCCCTTGTAGCGTCACAAAGTCGCTCAAAGAGAAAAGGCCGCTCTGCAGTAAGCATCCCAAGTGCGAGGTCTGGCCATAGCTGACTGCATTCGGGTCCCCCATAGCCATCGTTCCTAAAGCCGGGACCAGGGTTCCTGCTTTCCAGAGTTTTTTATCAAAACGCCTAAGATGAGCAACTTCATGGGGCCTAACAACAAACTTGAGAACATTCCTAAGGGTCCTTTGAGGGGAAATTAAAAAGGCATGATAAAATTCCCTTAGATCTTCGGCAAACGTCCTAATCTCCTCGTAAGGCTCGACGAAGAAATGGAGAAGCTGAGACACAGAAGCAAGGCTCCTAATCCAGCGCTTTTCGGGATCTTCTAGGCAGTTGGCAGGGCGAGCGTCCAGCACCATGCGGTCTCGGGCCTCGTCCTTCGGCACCACAAAGAGCCCATTCTCAAAACCCTGTCGCGCAAATTTGCTAGGGAGCAAAGCAAGGCGACCACAGCTATCCAGCAGTTCCAAAAATTTGACCCTGTCCTTCTGAGCCATCCTAACCCTGACTCGAGGCGGCCCCACGTCCTCCAAAACGGGAGGCCTAGCAAAGTCCAGAGGCCGCGAAAAAGTGGCCCCATTGTCATCATCCAAAAAAGGTAAAGGATCAAATGAAGGAGTCTGCCAAAATTTCAGCCGCTCAGGTTTGACTGCTCTAGCCAAACAAGCAGGGTCTTTGCTCAAAACGCCAACCACGTCGCCGGGAGAACCTTGATTTCCCCAGCTACTCTGCATCCCCAGTTTTCCACCGTTCCCATATTTGTTGCCCTCATGAAAGTTTGAAAAAGCAGCTGCAGCCAAATCGACCAAAACTTCTTCCACATTCTCGACCTTAGCAGCCGCTCGACCCATCAAAGCTGGTGTGACTGCATCTTGGTCATTCCATGTCTCAATTGCCGTGGAAATCCTTCCCACGACTTCCCATTGGCGCTTGTTCAGAGCCGTTCCTAAGGGAGGCGTGACCGTACGCCAATGCCGCTCTGGAAACTTGAGAAAGTTCAAAACAAGCACCACAAAGTTGCAGCCTAGCTTTCTAGCGCTCTCCTGTCTTCCCCGTCGGCCACCTCGACGATGAAGTTCAGGATAGGGCAGGGGCAAAGGCCACACCCGCCCAGTAGATGCCTTCTTCAAGGCATGTCCAGCACGCACCGCAAGCCATGTGAGGGAGAGTCTGCTTCGTGCTCGCCCAAGAAAATCAAAAAGTGAATTCCACAAACTGTACCCGTGCACCGTGGTGGCGCGAGAACCCGGCAGTGCATCTTCGTGCCCCGCCTCATACTTGTTCGCGCCACCCTCATAGCTCTTGCCTAGTTCTGCTGCCCCGAGGGCTCCTCCTCCGCCCCCTTCCTTTTGCTCTCTGACTTCGTCTGGCCTTTTCCCCCTTTTGCTCCTTTCTTTGGCTGCGGACGATCTACTTCGTCTCGCTTTGGGTGATCTCCTTTGCCGCCTTTGCCCTGGCTGAGCCTCTTTCTGGACTCGAGGTAGGAATCTTTGCTGCGGACTTTCCACATGAGGACGTCCTGCCACCTCTCGTCCAGCAGCTTCGAAGCAGCTTGATCCCAGGTCTCGGGCAGCTTCTTGCCTTGGAAAGACGCAAAGGAGGCGGCTCCTCCAGAAGGATCTCTTGGCTCAACAGCCAGTTGCCGCCGTCCAGCGACGTCTGATCTGCCGCTGCCATCATCAGAGCACAACGGGCTCGGGCTTCGTCGCTCCTGCCTTGCCTCAGGCAATCGTGGATTCCCGCTATAGCCCACACATACCTCAGTGTGGTTGGGTAGTGCAGGAGGCGGGAACGGTACTCCATCCATGCCCTCGTTGAAATCAAACTCAGAGCAGGCACTCCCGGCGCCATGCGAAGAAGTTGGAAATCCTCGTCCATCAGGTTCTCGATGGTCTGGAAAACATACTTTGGGTCCTCCAGAAGGCTGCGACGAAGCTTCTTGTACAGGGCTGCTTTTGACTTCCCAGAAGAGCTGCTGCTCGGATCTTGAGCTTCGGCGTCTGCTCCATCCAACAAAGCGTCTAGGCCCCTGGGCTTTTTCTGCGCCGCCAAGCTGTCCACAATCTTGGTCAGCTTCATCACGGCTTTCTGCATGGAGAGATCTCCCATGGAATTTTGTCGATCTTCCACCAGCTCTTCCTCCTCCTCGGGAGCCTCTTCCGACTCCACTTCTTCTTCCTCCTCCGAATCCACTGCCATAATGGGTTTTCTGGAAGTGCCCGGAGCGTCTCCGAGCTTGTGGCTTTTGGACACCATGGAGCCCAATCTCTGCAACTCGGCTTCCCCCACTCCGGCTTTTCTCGCCGCTGCTACAACTGAAGGATCCAGACCGGCTATCTGGACCGGACCAACTCGGCTCGACCTCTCGTCGGCCTCCTGGGTTCCAACTGCCTTCCGCTGAGACTTGCTTTTTGCGGACAAACTTTGAGGATCGCCCTTTCGCAGAGCAAGAAAATTTTCCATGTTCTTTTGCAAACCAAAAACCATCTTCTCCATGCGTTCCATGCGTTCCATGCGCGCTTCCACAGCGCTGCTGCCGCCAGCAGGCGGAGGCTCTTCCTCTCCAGGAGAGCCGCTCATGGCCGAGACGAAGGCGAACTGTTCGTCCGCGGCTTCCACCAAACTCTGAGCATAGGGGAGCAGCAAAACATCTGATTCTCCTTGCAGCCGGTACACATCGGCAATCGGCTCTTGAATTCTTGCAATTTTCAGCTGGGACACAAAGTTTTTGTCCAAAAATCCCAGCCATAACTGAGAGTCCTCTTCTGCCAAAGGGATCTCCCGGTCTGTAACAGCCGAGCAAACCACAGAAACTTTGATGGCTTTGCCCAGAGTAGTCCGAGGAACCAGGCGACGTGCCACGGTTCTGTCCCAGGCTTCCGCAGGCAAAGCAACAAGCAACTTGCCGTCTAGCTCGACAATGGGGATAATATAGAGCGACTTTTCAACGTCGCCCTCGACAAAAGAAAAACTCGCTGGCTCGTAGTGATAGTTCACTTCGCCAAGGCCCTGAACCACAAGAGCCTGAGCGACCTCCTCTGGTAAATCAGACATTTCTCAGGGATTCCGGCAAAGCAACGCCGGCTTCCAAGCAGGCTACCTTCGCTTCCCACTTGGTTGCAAATCCACAAAAAATGCTGTCTCCCACGTCTGCGCCAATCTTGCAAAGGTTCCGGACGTCCTGAAAGGAGTCGGAGCAAATGGGCTTTGGGAGGCGTCTGCCCCTGAAATCAGCCAGAATCAAATAGCAACGGTTGGCTAGCTTCAGCCTGTCTCTGCCAGATGAACCTCTGTGCTCGCCGTTGAGAGCACGGCGCAAAAACTGGCCAATCTCGACGGCCAACTGGCGCCGGCGCCGACTTGACTGATCCTCTTTGTCCACCTCCAAGGAAGAGCCCCTGGCTGAATCAGCTGAGCCCGCAGAACTGACGCGGGTCCAGCTCTTGGTCTCTTCTCTTTCCGCCTCCAGTCGCTGCACCCTCTCTTCCAACTCAGTCACTCTAGTCAAGGCGCTTTCACAAAGAGAGCGCAGCACTAGCACTTCGCTTTTCATCGAAGTCACTTCTGAGCTCATGCAAGGACTCGGTACAAAGGCCTAGTAGCAGCTCCTTCGGCTGCTAGCCTCACTTGCAGAAATCGAGTCCACTGGATCCGCAAAACGATCAGCAGGTCCACAAAAACGTTCAAGCTGAGCCCCACGAAGATGCCCACCAAAACTGAGTAAAAGTCCAGGTGCCAATCAGGTTGAGGCCGTATGAATGTGCAAAGCTCTGACGTGAGAGGAGGAAATGAAGGAGAAGGAGGAATGGAGAGTTCCAGGGGTCCCCTTAAAATATCCCTTGCAAGGCTAAACGCTAAGGAGGTCAGACTTCCCGAAGCCACTGCTGTAGCTACTGGGCGCATCTGAGCCGTGAACTTCGACCGTTCACCACTTGAACATGCCGGGGCATACGTATCATTACATATTCAGTATATATATATATATAGTAAGAATATGATAACTATTCATGTTGTGACTTTAAACAGTTCATATGTCATATAATGTAATATATATATACATTTTATATTTTAGTATGCGAAGTTATACAATAGGAGAACAAACATAATTAATCGTAGTAGTGGCACTACGAATATAGGATGTGCGCAAAGATGCGCATAAGCACTTGTACTAATACTGCTATAGAGTCCTTTACTACTGTACTGCACTTGCACACTTGCTACCTGACCTTGCAAACAATTCAATATCTTCCATCATCAAAATGACTGCAAGACTCCGCTTCACACGACAAACCGTGATCGGTTTGTTTGTGGAGGCGAGGATTATTTTCGGGCCGAGGCAGACTTGACAAGTGGTCTATTGCGGCTGTCAAGAAATCCTTCTGCTTTTGGCTGTAGTGTTTCAAGGATCTTGGACGGCACAATAAGGCATAATATATGCACAATATACGTAAGCTACTCCCTTACAACTTGCAAACGCTGGAAGTAGACTCTGAATGCGCACATAGGATACCAGTAGATGATCCCCAAACCAAGGGAACCGAGATTCCTATTATTTCCTAAGGGTTCCGTGGTTATCGCACCCTGAAATGCAACACGGAAGCCAAGAATATGTAGGCCATGTGCCATTCGTTGCTTTCCAGGTTGGGGTTCATCCCTTTCATGAAATCATGAAGAATGCCAGGAAAAATGATGTAGCAAGCCTTGGACATTTCTGAGTTGATGTCAACCCCGGATTATTTTGAACCCTCGACTATATCCATTGGGGGGTCCCAACAAAAAATAAACGTGTTCAAAACTGCTGGATATATATATATATATATACGTACATCAATATAAATATAAATCTAAGTATATATATATATATATATATACGATTATATACGTATATAAATATGCAGGAAACCCCTGGATAAATAAACTGAGGGGTTTTGCAAAATCCTGGGTGAAGCTTCAAACAGAGGTCACTGTCAGGACGATGATCGGTGGCCTCGGGCCTCGGAGTGTCCGGTGTCACGTGGCTAGCTGGGAAATCCTCTATGAATATCTTGAAATGGAAGTTTTAATGGGACAAACATCTATAGATGGTGGATTGAACGCATTGCCATGTTTGATTACCGGGGGTATATGTATGTTGGGTTGATTGGTTGGGAAAAAGGGACACCCAAGTCCTTTGGTTGCTACCATCCATTCTCCTTGTTTGTTCTTGGAACTTAAACAATGCCGGGAGAAGTGCTCACATGCTTGGGACATGCTAGACAAAACATCCCAGCACACTAACTTCATCTGCTAGCGTGACTTGTGGCCAGCAGGAATTGCACCATTTCGGCAGAATGAAATCCTAATCAACAAGACCCTCTTCTGGGGAGTCTAAGATGACATGAAATAAATAATTCCACCAGCGAATCACCTTTCTGTCTCGATGCATTCTTACGGGGAAGGGATTAAAAGCAATGCTACCTGATCCCACAGTTGGGATCCTCATTGTCTTCTATTGGTCATGTCAATCCATCTCAAAGAATCCCAAGAATAGCCTATCATTCCCTGACTGTAGGCATGAAACAAATATGAAACAATTGCAATGCTTCCTGGAGCAACAAAATGCCGTAAGTCAGCTAGGTTTGGATTTAAATTTCTATATAATGTTGACTTACGATTTATAAACTAAGCCTGAATAAAGCTAAAAAAACTCCCAAACTAAATAATAAACTACCCCTAAATAAAGCTATGTTTGTTGGCCCTAAGCCCAGATTTGCCCAGATGGGGCTGAACAAAAATTGCCTATGCTTTATTTGAGGTGGCTTTCATGTACTAATTCATATTGCCAGCTCATTAGATCTTACCTTGATAACTTCAAATTTTCAAAAATAATGGTTGCTCTTTTCCATTCAAAACCTTTATTCAAAATTATCCAAAATCAATCCCAAATCAACTCGTCAAGGGTACCCCCCATGAGGTGCCTTAGCACTAATTAGAGTTTGACCCTGAATAAAGCTACTGAGCTTCCCCTTCCCGCTGATCAAGAAATGAATGCTCAATCAATACTAAATCCATGAAATGAATACTAAATCAATACTAAATCCATGAAATGAATACTAAATCAATACCAAATCCATGACATGAATACTAAATCAATACTAAATCCATGAAATGAGTACTAAATCAATACTAAAACAATTGTTGGATTCCGTATTTTTTGGAAATTGCATTTTATATTATCGTTTTAAATTGTGGTAATTGAAAACCAATACATACAAACAAGTTTGATGGTGGCTTTAAGTTTATTTAGGGGAAAAGAGGGGGGGGCCACGTTTATAAATCAGAGGTGGACATTAGATTAGATTAGTCACCTACCTACATAAGCATTAAGCATAAGGGGAAAACAATGAAAAACAACATATATTATGTACGACTAAAACACGAAAGAACCTTCAGGGATGATCCCAGAATGCCCAGGGTCCTCCCCGACACCCCCGAGCAACCCCTACCCACCTTAAGGCTTCAAATAAGATTGACCTCGGTCCAACGGCCAGGTCTGTGAAAACTGGGGAACACCCAACTTATCCCAAGTTTATAGTTTATAGCAATTTGACTCCGGAAGATATGGGACAATGGATGAACATGGTGCACTGCAGAACTGGGAGCTTGGTGTCCCTTTGGGTGTCGGCTGTTCACGACCACAGGTCACAGGGTAAAGCGCCAGGAACAAAAGATATTGCTAATGTGTCCCTCAACGCTTGATTAGAACGTGATACAACGATTCTGGTGATTGAGCCGTACATCCCGAAACTATATGACACTATTGCATGATCATCGTACAATATGTATTAGATGTGTGTTTATGCGCAATAGAGTACACGGGGATCATCAGTGCCAGGGATGAAAACTTACAGCATCTGAGCCATCTCCTCGCGATTTACTGTAGTTGCGTTGGGTTGGGGGGAAAACGCACATCACTCATTTGAAACCACCAGCCAGCCATAACGAGCCCCAAATGTGCCATCATTTTGACCGTGATCACACATTTTCTCAGACCCGGACGTTCCTGCATTAGCTTTTGGAATGCATGCTTTGCAGCCTGCGGCAATTTGCATCAATTCTACAGAAATTTGGCCTGAAACTGAGAGGCCGTGTCTTGCAGTGAGATCACCATATTTCTATCCCGAATCTCATGGCGCGAACAAGCGGAGTTCAAAACATGTTCTTTCCGCATTTTCATTGCATGCCATTGCTTGGTTGCATAATTCCTCTTTTGCTCGAAGATGAACCCCTCTTCATCGTGCATAGTGGTTAAACCACCGATCCCGGCAATAGAAGTGGTACTTGGAGACTTGGATATCATATGCCCATTTTTATGCACAAAACACAAGTGCAATAACATCACATACACACACACACCACGCACACAAAGAAGAAAGAGCCTATTCTGTGGCCCCAAACAGTTACATCTCTATGCTTTGGCCAAGCCGAAAGGCTTGCAGGCAGGATACTTTCTTACCTTTTACCACGCCCACACCTCCTCACAGTGAGTATTTTTATCTGGATGCAGCTGCCTGCGCGGTTCGCTCACATAAGGATGTTGTGAAAATCACCAGTGACTTGGAATTGGGGTATTGATGCTCTTCCTGAGCTTCCTGTACTCATAAAATGTGGGGGGTACTTCATATATACCCTCTGGTAAATATAACGTACTAGTGGCTATTGAAATTCATTGCTGCTCAAAGTCTCAAAGGTAAATAATTCATCATGTTTACCATCTATAAATGGGCCATGGCTTCCATAGCAAACTGTTAATCAACCAGAGGGAAACTATCTATGTTTTTTACTGGGTGACTGGGTTCCCCTTGGGCTGGCCGTCAGCAATCTCAAGACCTTCAAGACCAAACAATTCACCATCTTAATTGGCAGTTAGAAGATCGGCAAAACTTCGGGGCGAGCAAACTTGAACTGATGGCTTGAAATTGGTTGAGCAGCAAGGGACTTCAATACCTATTGTATCTTATACTGTAGCAATGTCTTCAGCACAGGCTGTTGAACAAGCTGACCGTCAGCTGACTTGACTCATCGGTATGGATCAAAAATAGCTAACCAGAATTTGTTCATTCCCATGGTGATGGATTGTACCGTTATTCTATGTTACATATATATATATATATGTATATGATATATATATATATATTGTTTACATTTTCCTCAAACGAACACCAGTTTGTTTTGAATGATTTCTCCAGTTACCTGACCCATCTTTGGGAATCCGAGCTGATATCCTATGACTTGATCCTTTCCTGTTTATCAGGGCTGTACAATCCACATGGATCACCAAGCACCAAGCACTGGGTTCCATATCTGTCCTCAAAATCACCCCGAAAGATGGGGGGTTCTCCTACAAGGTGCCCCTCCCATTTCCAAGTAGGTTTATAGTTTATAAACGTATAAACTGCATGAACTGTAATTATATATATCCAAAAAAATAGTTAACAAACCAACTTCGCTATTTCGGGGGCACATCTCCACATCTTCCACCTTTGAAGGTCGCGGAAGATCAGCTTTCGGACCTCCAAACGGGCAGCCGGAAAGAGAGGCCGTGAAGCGGGGCCAAGCTTTGCATGTGGCCAAGAAAAGTAATTAGGCGGGTTGAATCTGGAAAGAACGAGGAAAAATGCAACATGAATTGAGACTTGAGAATACGTGCTGAGAAATGTGGTTGAATTGTTGAACAAACTCAAGTCAAGAGCGGACAAACAACAACGTGCACTCAAGGAAAGCGAAACTGCGGAGACAGTCAGGCTGGTTGAAAATGGTTTGGGCCCTTGCAAATAAGAACGAAAGAAAGAAAGCGTGGGAAGGCCACACTGATTCAACAGCTCTTTTGTGGCTACCCCAAGCACTCAAGGCATGTCCCAATC